CCCCTCATCGGGGTCGAAGACTTGGGAGAGCGGATAATTCAGGGATAGAGTTATACGCCCTGGCGCGACAACTGATGTCGCGGTTGCGGGTGAATAAGACGGAGAATGCGGTTCTCCTAGGCGAATAGGCACGACTATAGCAGAAGAATCTGTATCGAGATTCGGTACCTAGCAATCAATATAGAATCAAGAAAGATTACCAATGTAGAGGGCGTCTTGGTGTTTGTTGAATACGTGACACATTTAGTTTGATAGTCCAGGGCAGCTCGTTTAAATATTGAACGGTTATGGAAGTTATTTCAAAGTGGCATTTAAAGCAACAGTGTTGTAGTTGAGTAGGTACGATAAGCCGTTGAATTGGTTTAGACAAAAGCTAAAGAGCTGATATTAGAGTGAAACGTTCTCGCTCCGTTTGTAGCTCTGATTTTGTAGTGGTATAGGGGAAGGTTGATTTGACTATAGGTTATACGCTAATGAATGAGCTTGATATCACTTATATGCTTTTGTAGCTCTACTTATAATAGTCTACATAATCTACAGGCTTGAGGGAATGGAGTATTCTAAGTCGAGGCACTTTTATACTCCTTACTATCTCCATCGCTATTCAAGTCAAGACACCACATCCCGTCAAGAAGTACCAAAGTTACAAGATAAGTCACGAAGAATAAGATATCACAAGCAGTCTAATAGATAGAGAGCATTTATATATCGTACATAATCCTACTACACATTCAATTTAGTTACTTTAGTATAAATAAATTTCCGTTTGTGATGATAAGTACCGCAACTTGATGTTATTATACACTACGCATTAATATATTGCGCAACCGAACCCATAATACTATTTACCCACTTATAAACAACCAATGATTTCAGTACTCCTAACCAGAGAAGTGGTATCTTTTGACTCCTTGAAAGCGGATTCCATCATCCTCTCCTTAATAACGCCGTAGAACTTGTGCTAAACAGGCTCGAAGAATGTAGCTATTGCAGAATCACATTTGATTGGAAGGCTCGTCGCCAGGCTTGTTCCCAGGATTCGTAGTGGGATCCTATCCCACGGTCGTTTCGGCAACCTTATCGATTTCCTCATCGCGACTGCTCCAACCATCGTAAACTCGCATCAACTTCTCGGTTTCCTTGTTCATAGAACCGACCCAGTTAGCTAAGGCATCGCGGGCCTGGCTGATTATCTCCTGGCTTTCCTCCTCGGCGGCAAGTTTTGCGGTCTCCTGTCGCTTCTTCTCTTCGGCCTGGCGTAGTTCATCTCTTGCCTTTCGCTTTGCGCGACGGTCCTCGACTTCACGGGCGCGGTCAGCAAGATAGCGGACGCTATGTCCGAGGCCAGCACTCTCGCTAGATAGACCGCGGTGCGGGCGGTCTAGAGGAGGTTGGGTGAAGAATAACACGTGACCAGCTTCGTCGCGTTGGAATTGCTCGCGAACTTCCTCGGGAATCTTGTCATTCAATGCGTCATCCAAGCGGTAAACTTCGACCGGACGGGGCGGGTTATAGACGTTAGCTTGCCCGTGTGGAGCGGGACTAGGCGCGGCGGCCATGGGAGCTCGCGGGGGCGTTGGCGCAATACGATGCGACGTATCGTAGGCGGGCATTGGCGAGTTGATTGGGTGAGGAGGCGGGTGGTGAGACTGATGGGGTACGGGGACTGGAGTAGTGCTGTATTGAGGCGGGTATCCGTTGTAAGCAGCAGGCTGGTGAGGAGGCTGATGCGGTTGGAAGTGTGGTACGGGAGTCATCTGTGGTGTGGTATGACCATGGCTGCCGTGTGGAGGACCCTGGACACCCTGAACCGGAAAGCCGGGATGGGGGACGCCAGCATGGTTGCCGTATTGTGGCACAGGGACCGGGGTTGGACTGGGACGCGGTGCGAAGGGATTAGGCGAAGCATAAGCGCCGACATGTCCAGGCGTCGGCGTAGCTGGAGCCGGGATAGTAGAAAAGTGATGAGTATTACCCATGGCGATATCACCCTGAACGTCGATAGGACGCGCTGCCATCATTGAAGGACGACGGACTGAATCCATCATAGGGAGAGGCGGAGGTGGAGATGGTGTTGGTTCCGGAGGGGGAGATTCCTGTAAAGAAAGAATGTATGAGCAAGGTGAGAAATTAGATTAATTTTAAGTGACGCGCTCAGTGAGACATTAGGAAAAAAAGAGAGAGAGAGAGAGAGAGAGAGAGAAGAGGATTACATTGCTATCCACCCGTGAACTTTTATCTTTGCAAAATGTTAAGGCAAAAGGGTAAGAAAAGCTTGCAATGCAATCGATAAGACAGAAAGAGTAAGATAGGAATGTCAGTAGAGGGGCACATTAAATCCATTTACTCTTTTGTTTTGTTTTTGTTTTTTTGGTCCCTTCTTATTCCCTTTATCCCCCTTTACATGTTTGCTGCTCAACTGGCATCTAGGGGGGGGAGGGGGTATGAAGGTTACGAAATATGATTGCGATAGCAACGTTTAGGTGCGCGGGGCAAAAAAAAATTAAAAATAAGGAGATAGGAGACAGGAGACTACTTACATTCGGCTCTCTTTCGCGACAATGCACGGCCCCAATGAGGGGCGGCGCATTAGGTGCTCCCCAGGTTGGCTTGGGTAAGGGATCCGTTGGCTTCGCATCATCTTGAAGAAGATGCTTAATGGGACTGATCACCTTCTTAAGCTTGCGAGGCGCCTCAAACAGATCCATCTCGTAGTCCTTCTCACGGACCTCGTCAGGTAAGCAGCTCGCCCACGTTTTGATCTTGTTGAGTTTATGCTTCTCCTCGTTATATCGCGCCTCGCAAACATAGACGTCTTTGTTCTTAGGGAACCCCCGCGGCCTACCTCTGTTGTAGCGAGTCACAAACATGACAAAGCACCGATCTACTACTTCGTCGATGCGATGGTCCCGATACTGGCCCGTCTTGACCACTTCGTTTTCGAGGAAATGCTTCTCGAACCGATGGACCGTCTGCTCTGGGCGGTAGTACCAGCACGCATTCACCCACTTCTGTCCCGACTTATCCTCCCAAGTTCGGTAGATCTGCGCCACGATGGGCTTGGTTAGATCGTTCGGGTTGGTAATATGAACCCAGTCACCTAAGTTCAGTCAATACTCCTCATCACACGTGATAGAAGAAGCGACAATTCATAAAACTTACCAACTCTCCAGATCTCCCCTTTATGGAAAATTTCTGGTAGGGGTCGCCTACCATCCTCGTCTTCGAATTCGCTATCGGGCTTGGCCTTCTCCTGTTCAGCAAGCAAATGGGTTTGCCGCTGCAACTCGACCGCATCCTTATACAGTTGGCTGTCTTCTTCGTTATACAGCTTTGCGTTCTCGAACATCAAATCGAGGTCTCTCAGCACCTGATCCACGTTCTGATACTTCTTCCTCTTGGCTTTACGCTTGATCAGATCCATAGCTATGGGGTTCTTTATGGCGGCGAAGTAATCTGGAGTCGTCTGCTTGTCCGGAAGCCTCTCGAACGGGACGATTAGCAGATCTCCATCGGGATGCTTTGGCTTTCGGAGACCTTTTAACAGTGTGTGGATGCGGGCTTCCAGCGGAGTAAAAACCTTAGGAGGACGGCCTCGTCTCTTGTGTGAATCGTCATCCCTCGTGTCGGCTTTTCGTCCCGAAGTCGAGTGACGACCACCCCGTCGCCCACGTCGTCGACCACCCTCATCGTCCGAATCGTCGTCATCGTCGTCTTCTTCGTCTTCTTCATCTTCCTCTTCCACTTCTTCCTCATCTGGATCCGGAGGAGGGGAATCCTCCGCCTCGGGAATCTCTCCTAGGTCTGGGAGTACGGCATCCTCGGGCTTGATAGTTCCCTCACTGACTAGCCTTTGAAGTTCCTCCTTAAAGATCTCTCGTAAACGAGCGGCGTCTTGAAAGAATTCCGAGGAAGGTCGATTATAGACCATGGCATTGTGGGAGATGAGGGCGACATCCCTGACAAATTCGGAGAAGGCCGTGTATTGTTTTCTAAGCTTCTTGGTCTACAATGGGAAGTATCAGTGTCAGGACGACGTGAAAAGGGGGATCAACTGGACTGGTGACTCACTCGAACGGTGCTAAAAGCGATGGGCTCCTTTATAACGTCGTAGTATTCTGGGATCAGTCGTCGGTTCGGGATGCGCTGAAAGTGCGAGGCAATATGGTAACCGCTATTGAGTTCATTGTTAGATGAAATAACAACCACTAACCAGGCCAGTAGAACTTACTTGGCGTCTCTATAAGTAGAGAGATAATTTGCCGTATTTTCAATGACAATTAACATATCGTGATCAAGACGGCCCGGGGTGCGATCCTCCTCGGGCTCCCCATCGGCATCCGCGTCGTCTTCGGCATCTGCGCCAGCTGCGCCAGCTTCTGCGCTCGCGTCCACAACGGCGTTGATACTTAAGTCTCCTCTAGAACCCTCGCCATTGTCACTAGCATCCCTGGAGTTGATAGCGGCCTTAGATGCGTCCAGATCCTGCGGAGTGTTGTTGGTATTGCCATCATTAGTTGCTTTAGCCTCGATGGACTCGCGAACTTCGACCGCGCTCTCGGCTGGGTTCTCGGCTTCGTCAGCCATAACAAGAGCTTCAAAGCCAGACGAAAAAGTAAAGCCTCAGCCTTAAATTAGATAATACAGCTTCAAGCAAAAAAAAAAGTTAGAGCTAGCACTTGAGGCCGGGGTAGACAATGGCGGCCAAGCTGCAATTTCGAGGATATACCTATAGCAAGTGCTGTTTCGAGGTGGTCCGCGGTTTGTTGGTGTTAGTGACCGGCGCCCGCTGCAAAGTCTCAGTTCTCAAGACTTTATCGAAGCTACGAAGTATATAGCCGATAATTACCCGAATATCCACCTGCAATTACACGTATTGTTGTATTTATGGATAAATACATACACCATATACTATGAGCAGTATTATATACTTGACGGGGGTTAAGGTTTCATAATAGCATTTTATCTTTCCAATCCCCTTAACATTACGCACATACATACCTACATACACATACTTAGTATCACGAACAACAACTCACGAGGCGGATATTAACTCAGCTAGCAAGCATCTATAATACACAAAAGTACATCAACGATCAGTTTCCAACGTCTTGTCCAACGTCTTGTCCAACTCAGCATCCCCCACCACCACCTCCGGCTCGGATAACGTATCTATGTGTTTCTGTTTGTCTTTGTATTCCCTATGACTCAAGAATAGGATGGCGAGGATGGTGCCAAGTTGTGCTACAGTAGTTGCTAGAACACTGATGAATCCGCCACGAAAATTAGGCGCGCCGCTTGCTGGAAATTGTACCACTTGTGTCCCAGCCGTAATAGCTTGGCCGATGGCGTTCATGCTGGCTGTTACTACAGCACGTTCCTCCGCGTCTCCAGCCATAACCACTGATGCCCAACCCATGGTCAGGGGTGAGCAAGCTAGGAAGCGGTTAGTATAATCATCTCAAGCTATTAACGAAAGAAAAGAAAAAAAGGGAGAGGCGGGTCATTGGCGCGATAACTTACCTGCCTCGAATCCGGTGAGTATGAACCCAGCTAAACGGCCGCTCTCGCCAACGTCCCAAGCAACAAGCAATGCCATACCAACAAGAACCGGAAAAGTCACGGCGATGGCGGGAATCCAAAACCGCCCGGTCTTATCTGCAACGACACCACTGAACAGCGCGACGACGATGCTCACTGCCGTAACGATGGTAGGTATCGTATTAATCTGAACGACCGAGTATATGTTACTCTTTGCTTTCAGATACAGAGAGAAGGGTTGACTTCCAGGGAGAAAGTTTTGATCCATCAATGTCCATTGGACCACGAAGAGGTACCAGTGCCAACGAGAAAACACCCGCTTGAATATATCTCGGGATAGTTGTAGCTGCGGCGGAGCTACAAGTCCTTGGATGCGTTTACGTGCAAGAGCGTGCTCTTCGGTCGTGATGAAACGAGGCTTCTTCCTAGTCGGTACGTCGGGAAAGACGAAGAAGCCGCTGGAATATATTAGTATTCGCTAAAGTACTAATGTCTATGGTTATATAGACTTACAATACTGATATGGCAAGCGTAATGATCGTATCGACGATAAAGAGCCATCTACCTGCTAATTAGCAACATGCCATTTTGAATCTCTCAATGAACCACATTCTAGTATAGGGGTCCTACCTCCAGCCGGCCAGGCCGTGTACTTGGTTCAGATTAGTATAAGCCGCAGCCTGCAAATACCCAGCAAACATTGTCCCGAGCGGACTCGCTATGAAGAAAAGAGCGACGCGTCGCCCAATCTCCCCTGGCTTATACCAAGAACCGATAACGTAGATCGTTCCAGTAAAGGAACAGCATTCGAAGAGACCGGTGAAAAATCGCATAGCATATAGCGTCTCGACGTTCTTAGCCCAAGCCAGACCAAAGGTAGATAATCCCCATCCAATTTCCAGAGCCGGGAGGACCCTATTGGCGGGATAGTGCGTCAGGAAGTAGCACGCTGGAATCATGAAGGTGCAATATGACGCCCAAAAGGTTGCCGTGATGTAGTTGAGCTGGTCGCCGTACATGCCGAGCTCTTCTTTCATACCGCTGGTAATCTCGTGTATTAGCAGCCATGCACGGTAGTATATATGTTGAGCACTTACCTGACATATGCATTGGTGATCGACTGTTGGTCCAGGTACTTGGTGAAGAAAGACAGGCAGCCGAAGATCAAGATGCTCAAGTCGAGTTTCAGGATTAGCCATTTCTCCTCTTCTGGCATGCCCTTTGGATACCACCCGACAGAGCTCATCAGTCTGATCCAAAGACTCCCGATGCGAGACCTGCCATTACCACTGCTCTCGTGCTGGCTGGGCTCCTGTCGCGTTGATGACCATATGGTCGTTTTGTGGTTCTCGTTTCCCGCCATTGTTATACCAGTACCCACGACAGAGGCTCAACTCTATGATAGAATAGACCTCTATCTCGAGTTATGTTGACCTATTGTCCTTTTGAAATGAGGAGACATTCACTTATATCGGTAGTAAAGGGGGTAATACTTCTACAGATGTAGTTACATATGAATTGCACTCTAGCTGGATTTAAGAATTAGTAAATGATCTTATCGGACGTCACACATAGCAGAAGGCGAGTGTAGCTAATGGTAGCTAGACGTGGACCGTAATGTCGTGATCAGCCTCTCCTATGATAACACGACCCCGGCATTACCCGAACGTTTATAGCGCCGGAGAGCATATAATAATTGAGCGTGGTATCTCTTGTTATGGATATATATAATTCTCGTGTTGCATTATGAATACCTATCTGCTTCTTACCAGATTGAGAGTTCCCCTCTATCGCGAAGGTGGCGTCAATAAGACCTGGTATGACGTGACAGGGATACTCTTTCGCACCTACGATATCTTTAGAGTATACATCCTCAACAGATAGCTTTACTATCAACGTCAATACACGATATTTAAAGATAGTATGGTTATGCCTGTATCTACTTTATCTTAAGCGGATCATAAAGGAGTCGCCGGTGCAAGAGCTTATGTTTCTAAGTTGGTTTAAAGATGACACTTGTTATTATGTACACATCAATAGCAACATAGAAATAATATTTACTAGGGGTTCTATATGAGATGTATTTAAATACTTTTTCATAGCCTGTAGTTTTATACTTATTATGGCTATAACCAGTTTTAATCGAACACCTTAAATCTTAAAAATACTGCTGTCTTTGACTCTCTTTACTGAGATAGTTTAGATACTTAAGTAGGACTGAAGAGTTATATGTATTAAATAAGGATATAATAGACATATTAGCTTTCCTCATATGCGTTCGTGGTTAATGTTGATAAGGAAACTTAGTTGGATCACCATAGAAGTAGGCTAGTAAGAGGTTGCAGCTGTATAATATAAGTCTATGGGATAAACTATGCTACTACTAAAATGATTCTACAACTTTGTAATTCCATTTCATATGATTAATAGATCGGTAGTCGATATCTTTTACTAATGCAGTCTCAGATGATCCTATCGTTTCCTTATCACCCCAACTCTCTTACGAACCAGCCTACTCTACTTTACCAGATATAGCTAGACAAGGGCTTTGCTACTCATAGAAGAAGGGCTTCCTTGGAGTTTCATAAAATATAAGATAATGAAATGTGCTAGATTGAGTTGAAACGAACAGAAGCTTATATACAATCTGCAAGTATATTATTTGCCAACAACCCTAGTTCTTATTATCTAAAGCAATAGAGAAGCATTTAAACTTGCTCATAACATTGGGTCAAATTATAATAAGAACCATTCTGGAATAAGTCATACGATATGTAAACACAGGGTTAGCTTTGCACTTTAACTTTGCATTGGCTCATGTCCTGAACTTATTATGGTTTAATTAAACCTACTATTCATCCCCAAGACCAGGATATCAACAACCGTTTCCAATTATTAACAAAAACTTGACATCGGCCCTAAGATGATAATATCTGCATATTAACATAAAGCGCCTCTTGAAAGAATGATAACTATCTTGAATACAAAAAGGAGGTTAACCTACATACCAATTAAATTAAGTATCCTCATTATGCTCTTACCGTCATTATATTAACCAAGAAAAGACTTCCTCCGCATGCTTAACCATGTCAAATATCATCAGTCACTTATACGTCAGGATAAAACAACAATCGAACTAAGATAACTATAGGATATAGGTAAGTTACATCTTACTACATATCCTCCTAAATCGCATACAGCTCCTATACCTATCCAACACACACTAGACTTGCAATTAAACCCTAGCCCCTGATCGCCAACGGGGTAGTGTCAGTTCCCCGTCTCCGCCGATAGAGGGGTGGCTTTGACCGAGTTCTCTTTCTTTCTAGATACCTATACATAACTAACGACTTACGTGTACGAGCAACTACGGGATGTTATTAGATGTTTGATCTTTTGGTGTACATAGGGCGGGTCTGGTGTTGCATTTTTTCTTCTTCTTTAGACGAGGAGTCATTTCGCCACGTCTTGGTTGGTATAAGGGTGATTAATATTTAATAGTTGTTGATAAAATACTTGTTTTACTTAACTACCTACCCTGATCTACCCTGATCATTCATCCCTTTGTCTTGGTCTTGGTGGTCTTCTTCTTCTCTTACCCCGACGTGTTGTGCTTCCCAGGTCTCCGCTGCCCCGTCTCTTTTTCAATCATCTGCCCTTTCACTCACTTATTTACGTACATACTCATTCCTCAACCTACTTCGCTCGTTCCGGCTACGATACGATGAAGATCCGATTCAAGGCTCCCTCGGGCGGAGGAACGCTGGAACTCGACGATGCCTCGACAGTCGACCAGCTCCTCGAATCCCTCAAGTCGAGCACCGGCTTCGCTGACGTCACAGTCAAGTATGGTTGGCCCCCTAGAGCTCTAACCGCCGACCAAGGCCAACTCTCAGCGCAATCTCTCGGCCTTCATCGAGAGAACCTCACTGTCGTCCCTAAGGAAGATGCTTCCGCTGCTGTCGCACAGAATACCCCGCCTGTCCCAGAACCCACCGCGACCACTACGTCCCCCGCCGCGGCTCTCCCCGGCCTCCAGTCGTCGCTTCGGAGCCAGGAGAAAAGCAAAGGCCAAGGTATAAAGGACCAGAACATCAGTGTCGCCATGCCGGAAACTGGCTCTACCCTAGGTAAGTCAAGTACTATGCAATGGCGCATCTCACCGGGACCACTTGAACTAACACCGCGCGCCTCACCCCAGTCCTCCGCGTCATGCCCGACGACAACAGCTGCCTCTTCACCGCCGTCGGCGGCGCCCTTCGCGGCCTCCGCTCCGGCCCCGACGAGTCCTTCACCGCAGACTCCCTGCGACGCCTAGTGGTCGAGCACATCCGCGCAAACCCAGGAAAATACAGCGCCGTGATCCTCGGCCAGCAACCCGAGTCCTACTGCGCCAACATGCTGCGGCCCGACACCTGGGGCGGCGAGATCGAACTCGCCATCATCTCGGAGGTCTTCGAGCTGGAGATCTGCGTCATCGACGTCAAGACGGGCACCGTGTACCGCGTGGGCGAGGGCAACGGGTACGCCATGCGCTGCGTGCTGGTGTACTCCAACGTGCACTACGACCGGATCGCCGAGATCTTCGTCGAGGGCCAGGAGGTCATGGAGTTCGACGTGACGCGCTGGGCCGCGGACGAGAGCAGCGATCATATTATCGCGCGCGCGCAGGAGATGTGCCGGAAGCTGAAAGACGAGCACCATTATTATACCGACACTTCCGACTTCGTCGTCACATGCAACGAGTGTGGTTGGGTCGGCCAGGGCCGGGAGGCTCTTGCTAAGCACTCCCTGGGCACCGGACACACGAAAATCAGCGAGATTAAGGATACTGGCGCATAGACGACGGGTCATACATTTACTACTAGTTGGGGTCCGGTAGGTCGTTATAGCAGAAATTCTCGTGTACATAGTATGATATACGGATGCTGGATGCGCAGTGCGCGGAGAGTTAGAGATGGATACCCTTACTCGAGAGGAAGAGTAGCAGAAGACTCGAATGAGACCCACGACCAGTCATGCTTCATGCTTATAAAATAAATTCAAGACCTCTATATTCCGTACTAGTTTGATGCTTGACAATAGAGATAGTTGCATTTCTTCCCTCATGATTGCTAATGATGGCGTCTGCGTAATATGTAAAGATGAGAATATTTTAATTTACATATCTGCAATGATAAGGTACTAACCCAAGAAGTCGGATAGATATGGAAAGCCGAGACGAAATTCTCACATCGTTTACTGGTCATACTATGATACTCGACAAGCGCTTAAACCTCACCAAAACGATACAGAGCAGATGTATGCTACCTATTTTATTGTAGTATCTACCTAAGGATATCTGCCTAAGGCCGAGGGAGTGACTTTCTCGATATGCTATCGACATCAATACCACCACATCCATTACTAAATAACCAGAAGGGAGATTCTTCTGTCCCCCAGCCGGTTAACCCCCGGTACCCAATGCCCTGCCCTGCCCTTGCCCTGCCCTGCCCAACCCTACCGTTCCAATCCAGCTGGAAAAACCGAACAATGTTTGAGATGGATGGATGGTTCCGCCCTAAACCCTCCCTAACTCCCACCAACCTCAACCATCCCATGCCCCATGCAATAGACCATGCAAGCCCATATCTTCATTAAAATCGATACTTCTATAGTACACAAATTGTATGCAGCCTGTCGTTTGTCTCTCTAGTCAACCTCCCAGCGGCCATCTTCGAACTGTGAGATGCTGTTGCTGCTCTGTTTATTTCTTGCTGACGCGTAAGATTCGTCGTCGTCGCTCCAATCGCTAAACTCGCCATCGGAATAATCCCACTGGACCGGGATCTTCTCACCTCCTTCGCCGATGCCGAAGACAAGGCCTCGCCATTCGCCGGCGAGAATTCTGGCGGCGACTTTCAACATGATATTTACGAGATAAGTTGGCGGGCTTAGAATAAGCTCTACCGTCTTGTTTATTATCGTGGCTGGTAGCCGACGGACAACAGCCATACGACTCTGAGGGGTTTGCCTGGGGGGTGGCGAGAAGAAGTTAGCGGGAGGGGGTAGCGGTGATAGAGCCCGTCGGCTCATGGATAAGCTATGAGGTCGTGGCCGCGGCCGAATTTGCGGTTTCTCTTCCACACCGGATGCGTGCGATGTCTTGGAAGACTCGGCAATAGTCACATGGCTGTTTTTACTATCGACGGGAGAACGTTGGGAGGGTGAGGCTATTTCGTTAGCATGGTCTTTGGCCCCTTCAGAGCTTGCATCAAACGTCTTATCCGTCTCTGGCGTATTTGTGTACGCCGGATTGTCCCTTTCATGCGGAGACTGATGAGGAAGAACGATATCATCGTGTGGATGAGGAAATTGAGATTCAGAAGGCGTGATTGGGCGAGACGATGGCGGCGACGGAGGGAGCGGGTTGGCTGGTGAAGAATTCCATGACTGTACACTATGAAATGAGTCGCTTGACCCTGCAGGAGAACTTTCATCCGATTCTAAAAGACGTGAATGCGGCGGAGGATGGGGCTTCGTAGCGCCTGATGATTCTCTTGACTTTGAAGGGAGCGAGGACACAGTAGTCACCTGTGGAGGAGCCGTGTAGGTTCGGCCAGCTAACATTCGGCTCATCCGTTTCTTCTTTAGATTGATCGGTGCGATACGACCGGATCCCTCGAAGGAAGAAGGCCCTTCATCAACTTCTTTACCTGTGACTTTCCCTTTTCTATTGTTAGGTGCGGGGGGTTCTTGCAGCATCGACTCCCACTTTTCGAAATCGACAGCTTGTGATGCCTGGGGTTGTGTTGAGATGCTGTGAGAATCTACTGGGTCTAATAGCTGCTCAGCGTCCTGCACAGCCAAAGCTGCTGCCTCCTCCTGAGCTCGCATGGCGCGCTGATGATGACTTGTGCTCGTAGAGCTGACGTCGCTTTGTCCTGATACCGATTGCTTGGTATTATACGAAACCACATTATCCTTGACAATGTCCCATGGGATATTTGCTAATTCCAACACAGTACCAAAATTGGAAGCCAGAGATTGTCCGCCGTCCTGGAGAGCCTTTAGAGCCGCTAGATCTAATTTTTTAGGACGAATACTATCTTCCCTCTCCTCGGTGACTGTTGATTCTTCAGACTCGGACATTAAGTGTGCGGATTCCGGCTGATAGTTGTATTGTGATAAATCACGGGGTGTATGTGGTCCAATGTCATCCCTAAAAAGGGATATGTCGCTTAAAGTACTAGAACGTCTATCCATGTAAAGTTTGGCTGTCGGCGAGGATTGGGGGGAGGAGTCGGAGAAAGGCGACGATAATAAATTCTTCCCTTCCGGCGTCCAAGCCTTCTTTTTGACTGGTGTATGCGGCTCTTCCGGTAATTCTACCGTGAAACTCCTCTTAAATGGGCAATGTGTCTTTTCAAATAGCAATGTTTTATCCAAAACTTGTTTTAGCAATAAAGCGCGGTCCTGGTCATCGGGATCTAAGACCGGTAGCTCGATTCTCCAGTATTGAGGTCGTCGTATCTGTAAGACGAATCTGCTGTTATCCTCGTCGATGCACCAGCATTGACTTTTCGGGAGGATGGGCTGAAGGGCAGAGCCGCAGCTAAGGAAAGCCACGGACCCGGGGGCACGGTATATGCGGAACGGGCCTTGTAATAGTTAAGTTTAGCTAAAGAATAGCTAAAGGGGTAAAGTTTTGTAGGCCGTCTGTAGGCCGAACGCGGTAAAACCTACCAACAGCAAGAGTTCTTTCGAGTCGCGACGAAGCTGGTAAGGTACCTGGTCGATCCTCATGGGAAGAAGAGGGACGCGAACCAAATGAGCTACCTTGAGTGGAGGTAAAAGAGATTATCTTGACGGAAGGGTGGCTATAAAGAGTCTCGACCAACTCCTCGGATTGAGATGTGGTTGATCCTGATGCAGGTACAGGAGATGAGGGTCTGACGATGGGTTCTGTTATGGCTCTACGGGGCCGCGGCATGTCTGGTCTACCTAGTGGAAACTTTGGGTCGTCCGCCATTGTGGTCACATCCCAGGCTAATAAATAGAGTGACGTGTCCGTGCTTTTGCTATGGATGCTATGGATGAATGAAAATCCCGGGAGGAGCAGACGATATGACGTCTAGGTCATGGTGTGCAAGGTGTGCAAGGACGCGAGAACGCGAGGGTCGCGGGGTCGAGGAGGAAAAGGGAAAAGACGGTGAGCTGGTTAAAAAGGGGAAATGGAGGAAATGACTTAAAAAAAAAAAAGGAAATTCGATACAGCTTCCAAAAGTTATATTAAAAAGATCAAACGGTTATTCAAAAATGTCGTTAAAATTCAAACGCTTCGCTTTCAAACGCGGTTCTATATCAAATGTTTATTTAAGCAAAACTTGGTAAATAGTGAAGAGTGAGAAAACTAAGGTATGCGAGAGCCGAGGGCTGCATTCGGGGAAGCTTGGACGATGTCGTTTGCAAATTGCACGAATGCACGACAGAAAATCGAACTACCTTCCCCGCGCCACAGGAATTATGGCGTGTACGGAGTAGTTTTGTCAGTAGTTTGGTAGTTTGTACATACGATATGGGCCATATGTGCGACACTGTATGTATGATACCGTAAGCGGTGTAAGATCGGAGGTTGGTCAAGTGGGGTATCCCGATCCCAGCATCTCATCATCTCCACATGCCTAATATCCTAATATCTATCTCATGGATTTGATTGATCCGTCTATCGATTAAGCTTAGACGCTCATGCAACCAGGCAACCAATAAGTCGGCTAATGCATCCTATATGTATAATTTATGAAGTAACTTATGTTCCAGTATAATTATATGGAGAATACTTTGATGAAGATAGATACTTCGTTGAACTATTCAAGATGAACTATTCAAAATTCAAGATCCTCATCCCGATACAGCTTCCTTCACCCTCTCAGCTACAGACGCCTTATACGTCAAGCCCCCACCGAAGCTATGCTCACTATTCTTACCTCCAGTCGTGACCTCACCCTTACTCACTCCGCTTTCAAAAGCACAGCTACCCATATCCAATGCCTTAGCCGGCCCCGAAGGCATAATATCGAAGTCGAAGATATCAACAGGTAAGCCCAGGGTCGTGCAAGCATTCGGTATATCAACGATGCCCGCCACATGTCCCTGAATGGGCGCCGACGATAGTAGTAGGTAGATCTGGTAGTCGCTGTATCCAAAGCGGCGGAGATATTCGATACACCCTGTACTGTGTTAACCAGTTATTCTACCTCTACTTCTTGTTGTTGTACTTACGCAAGGTCGTCTGCCTATAAGCAACTGCAACGTCCATGTAATGTTGCTTGCCATGTTCATCCACCGAAAAGCCCTCAAAGTAAATATGGCGACCAGGGCCGAACTGCGGCTCTACCGGTCCGGGTAGATAGATAGGTGACTTGAGACTTAGATCTGCTACCCCATTCTTGATGACTTTGAAGTTGATTGTGATGACACCGGCTATCTCTATCGCCCCGCAGAAAGAGATCTCACCGTCGCCCTCTATTTCAAATCAGCACTCTCCATTTATTTGTCTGGACTCTTAAACATTAAAGCTCAACTCACGCGAGAAATGTAGATCCCCAACGCTAAACTTCGCGCCGGGAACGTGAACCGGGAGGTAGACCTTCGAGCCTCTACTTAGGTTCTTAATATCGCAATTCCCGCCATGTTCCGGCCGCCCCGGGATCGTCCTAGCACCTTCCCTACCGACCTTCTCCGTGAGAGCCGCGTCCGCCGCACCCGCATGCAGGCCCTTCGACTCCGGCGGCAGGGCGACCTGTCTCTCAAGTTTATTAGCCGAGATAAGCTCTGCCTCGCGCTTATTCCAAGTCGCTAGGACCTCGGCCGATGGCGCACAGCCCAGGATCCCCGGGTGGATTATTCCTGCGAACTTGACGTGCGGGATGTGGCGCGACGTAGCAAAGATGCCTTCAAAGTCCCATATAGCCTTTGCGGCCGACGGGTAGATCTCGTCCAGAAATCCGCCGCCGTTGTCTTTGTGGAAGACGCCGGTGAAGCCCCACGGTTGGTCTTGAAATGGCTGTACGTCCATTATTTCAACTAAGAGGATATCGCCCGGCTGGGCGCCTTCAATTTCAAAAGGGCCTGTGAGGCAATGGCACCTATTCAAGTCAACATTGCGGATATCGTCCGCACTGTCGTCATTTCCAATTTGACCTCCTGTCCTGTAATTACAATTAGTTTTTATATGGAGGATATAGTTTAATAGGTAGTGAGACTTACCAGTCAAGACATTCAATCTTAACTGTCTCCCCGTCCTTGATAGTACCAGCAAACGGGACTATGTACGTATTAGTAGGTAAGTTCCTAGTAATGATATTCGTCTTGGCGTTATACTATCAGGATGCCATCTATTCTTGATACGGTATTAGTTAGGAGGTATAGCTTTAGTTTACCTAATTTGACTTACATGAATGTTTCTATGCTCTGTTGCCGGCTTATCGAGGCTTACCTTGCCAGCAGTACGAATCGCGGTTTTACCCATAGTGACTTTCTAAGATTTGCTATCTTTGTCAATGGTGATATCACCAGGGCGGTTGTGACTGTTAGTACCAGCGAAAGTTCTGTATCTAGCCCTTCATACACATCCGAACGAACATCAATGTTCAATAGAAACTACATGTTAAGGTTTACATGAAGGTACCTTATATACCTCTTATAACGGAACTTATTTGGACGTACCCCGCATCGCGGTCTGCGGAGAGGCACCTATCGCAACAGGCATTATGATATCACAGACTGGGAGATATCAAGCAGCCTGCGTCATGTTAAGTGACAGCAAGGACGTTACAGCTCGGATATGTCTAATAGTTATCCCTAGCGTAGGTTGTCGTATCAAAACCTCCAACTATTCGCTCCCCCACTTAGGAATCTACCTTATCATAGGTACCTATCAAAGTCGACGAACGGAAGTGCAGGTATATGCATCCAGCTGATAAGGAACCCCAAGCAGTTGTTTAAGCTGCCAGATAAGGGAAAACATCTCCGGGAAACGTAATTCATATAGAGAACCCGGGTATAGCTTATCTTACTATTCTCTTGGCTTGCCTGATCCGGGTATAAAGTATTTGGTGTGATAATAGAGATTATAAACTATTTTAACTAAAATATCTTCGTATTTCAATGGTAAATACCTCTTAACTTGCAGTCGGTCTAATTGGGTTACGGAATAGTGAGTACCCCTTACAATCTAGTATTTGCAGTCTTTGGCAATAAATAAGACCATTATAATTCTTTCCTGCTTCCCTGCTTTACCGACTCGTCGTATGATGGCGGCTCATCTCCATGGATAGCATCCAAGTTCGCTAATGGGAGGTTGAGGAACTCATGCTTGTTCTTCCAGACTTGTTGGCTTGCTGCAAATTCCCGTATTTCGGAACGGGGCGCATTCGGCGATGGAGGGGGGTCCGTGATCTTAGTGATGAGGTACGCGGTCGATGCTTCGGCAATGCCATATATCAATACGCCAAGTAGCGGGACCCGGAGAAGCGTGTAAAAGCCAATGCCGAACCCGAAAAGAAGTCCTTCGCGGCTCCGGAACCAATTTCGCTTCTGCTCCTTGGTGAAGTAAATACGGGCAAAGTAAAGCTCGAGTAGTTCACGCACCAGGCTCCGCGAAGCGAAATAGGTCTGGAGGAAAATGACGAGGTAGCGCTTCGGGAGAAAAATTCCCGTACCAAAGATGACCGCCGCTGGCCCCAGGCCAACCGCCTTATTGAAGGTATAGAAACTGGCCGCTGGAAGTACCAACCGGCCGATGTATGGGACGTACGATAGAGCAAATACGGCTAGAGAAACGAGCGCCTTTCGAGCAAATTTCCATAAGAACATAGTAACGGCCTCGGCAGTGCTTCCTGACTGCGTACTCCCATCCAAATGCTTGAGTTTGCTGAGGTTCGGATAGTACATATCACGGAGTGTATCGGGATTCTCGTGCTTATGCTTGTGGACATAGGTCATATCTACCCATCGTAACGAGTCCATGAACCTGGTAGGTTAGGAGTTAAATGAGCACAAGCCGTGTTTTTATGAAGATATAACGACGTACAAATTGTCTAGTGTTGGTGTCATATGCCTCATGAGAGTCATGAGAAACAAAGGAACTTGAAGGACATGGTTGGCGATCAAGTCAAGGCCGTTTACCAGGGTGTCGTCCCACGTGGCTTTGTCAAGATCGAATATTAGAGAGAGGACGCCCAGAAGAACTTTGATCCCGATTATCTAGTGTTTAAGATGGTTACTTAAAAGTTGACCCAAGTAGATCAGGTCTTGGGTTCTTACTGGGACGGCAATAGCCAAACGGATCGCGATGCCGGCACCGACGGCTATGGCGGCTTGCCTATAGTGATCGTTCGTGAATATAGCGGGGTTTTGTAGAGCCCGGTGAGCTATAGGAGATATATTAACGACCTTATAGGAACAATTGAGTTCCTTGTAAAGTATAGATAGAACAAGTATAGATAGAACATACCACCAACGAGTGTCAATTGTACGCCACGTATGACGGCATTTAAGTCGAAGTGGGAGAGGTCGAATGCTTTCTTGAGGTCTTCCTTATCTAGCTTGTGAAGCTTGTCTAGCTTGGCTGGTTTAGACATCTTTAGTTTGGATGCCGTTTAATTCTTAGCTGTGAGAATAAAAGTAGAGTCGGAATTAATAATTGAGTTAGAAGAAATACAAGACCCATAGAAGCCGGATACCCGACTGATGAATGCATTGGTGACGACATCTACGTACCTAAGCTTTATGTTATCTAATCTCGACTTATTGTCTATCGATAGGAGTTCTAAGCCACATTTCTATCATTACGGCGATACGGCGATACGGAGACACGGCAATACGGGCAATACGTTTGAGTGCTACATCAGGTAATCTCTCCACCCCGCGTATTTCGCGAATGGTTTTGATTCGTCATTCTACTTTACTTCGTGAACACTGCCACAAGCTTTATACAGAGGATATGCTTATTCTTCCTCGACTTGACTTCAATGAAAAATGAAATACACTAGAGCTGAGATTCCGCCTATGTAGGCACTAATGAAGGAGACTAATACAATTTCATACAAGCATATAGGTAGGCCGAGTCCAGCCGCACGAACTTAGGTGTGCAATAAGATGGTGGAAGATATGGAAGTTTATTAATCTAGTGGTTATGCTAGGCCACTCTTCGTGGCGCGGCGTTGCATTACTTTTACGCCGTATTCCTATAAGCAATGCGATTGGTCGATTGTCGTCTATGAGGCTAGGATTGCTTCACATTCAAGAAATACAAAGCAGGTAAGGTATATTTCTATATTTCTGCTCATGAGATAGTTGTATATATAAGAAGACATCATGGACTTCCATCAGGGCCATGTAGATTCAGCATTCCGGATTCAGCGTGGACGGATCAATAGGAAAAATAGCACCAGTTGATCATCAAGTTATATTTTATTTTACCTACCTAGGTACTTATCTTTCCCTAAACGAGGACGTGCTGCTAGTAATCATGGAGGACGGGAAAAAGGTCGACGGCAGCTTCTATATATACGCTCCAAACAAGGGAGCGCCGGTGTTCTTCGCAGTCGCCTTTCTAGCTACCGGCGGTGTTCACCTTTGGCAAGCAATGTAAGTATTCTCGAAAGCGACATCCTAATAGTCTATCAATACAACTCTAACAACACGGACAAGTCATTATAAGAGCTGGAAGCTCACCGGGTTATATATTTTATGCGCGCTTCTATTCGCCTCGGGTTTCATTGTGAGAGAGTTGGGGGCTTTCGAGTATACGAACCTCGCCTATTATATTGCTAGCCAATGTCTCATTTACTTTGCACCGTAAGTTCAAAGCCCACCTACCTATTAGTCCTCGTAAGTTGCTTATCGAATTATGTACTAGGCCGCTGTACGAACTCTGCAACTATTACATCCTCGGCCGCATACTTTACTTCGTCCCCTATTACTCTCCAATCCATCCTGGACGAGTACTGACGACCTTCGCCGCTATTTCCATGGTCGTTGAGGCACTGAACGGCAATGGTATTGCCTATATGGCCAATAGGTCATTACCGGAGGAACAACAGCGGACGGGCGAGGCGCTAATGAAAGCCTCGTTGATATTGCAGCTCGTAGTTGTGTCGCTTTTCGTTGTGCTCGCCGGCGTATTCCAAACGAGGTGCCGACGAAACGGCATCAATCACGTCAAAGTAAACCAAGCACTCCTAACTCTTTATATCAGCACAGCCATCATTATGGTCAGATGCATATATAGAACAGTCGAGTACTTCGGTTCTACGAACGTCGACTTTTCGGACCCAAACTTTGACTTCTCGGCCTTAAGTCCGATTGTTCGCTACGAGTGGTTCTTCTACGTGTTCGAAGCGACGCTTATGTTATGTAACAGCGTGTTGTTGAACGTCCGCCATCCGCGCCGCTGGTTGCCAAATTCCACCAAAGTCTACCTGGCTAAAGATAACGTGACGGAAATCATGGGGCCAGGGTACAAGCAGGAGAGGAACTTTTTGGCCACCCTCCTCGATCCTTTCGATATCTACGGCATGATCAAAGGCAGAGATCAAGCAACGCGTTTTTGGGATGACAATGAACTCGAGGGGAGGAAGACTAATGTTGATCCAATGCTATCGACCGCCGAAAGACAGACTAACAAAGCTGTCTGAAAATAGAATGATTTGAATTTGGAGTTTCTGGAGCTTGGTGCATTCCGAAGGCTTCTGCATATATCCACATGATTAGTTTAGACGGCACAGTTAGTTGTGTCAAAGAATAGCAACAATACGTTTTTCAGAAAACATTATTGAACTTATTGAACTTCCATTTTGCTAGAAACATATGTATTATTTAGCATTCGCCACATTATTTCGTAGGAGTTCCGAATAAGGAGGATTGTCAGTTGGATGCACCGGGAAAGAGAGCCACATACACTTAGGAAGGCACTTTTATGCTTTTTGTTTCCGTTCTATGTATTCGAAACATGTCAAAACATACTAAACATTCAATCGTCCCCCGCTTGCGGGATGAAACAATCTTATGTGATGTGTCAAAACCCCGTGCAATCCACATTATTAGGGCTGGCATTGGAAGTTGAAGAATTCGGTGTTTCAACAATACGCCGTTTTGGGGAATCGCTTACGAGCGAGCTCATCTAAAGTGACCTGTGCCTTAAATGTTATGGCGCTATCAACGACCTTCCTCACGATTAACAAGCTAATTGGCAAAAATAGGATAACTTATTCGACAGCTTAATTGCGCTGACGATTAGTTCAAAAGTAATTACCTGATGTGTTAAATTATTTCCAACATTGGTATTTTGTTGTAGATAAGCGCCTGGCGCTAGAGGAAGCAAGGGGTTCTTCGATCTAAACGATAGCGAGAAGAAGTGGACAGGCATGTTAGGAGGTTAGCCATAGTGCAACATGTCACATGAGATGTTTAGGTAGGTTGAGAATTATGTACGTTTAAGCCACGTCACGGTGGACAATGCAAATAAAACCCGACTTATACCTAATTAAAAGTATGATGCTGTTTGTTTTGCTATGTACATACTGCTCTTCCATTTTTGTGGGTGGGCCGCGGCATGCACATGCAATGCGGAGGGGAAAGCTACATGATAAGCTGCATACGCTAAGCTCTGTGCGAGACCAGTGTTTCTATTTCCAGAAACATACCACCGAAGGCTATGCATTTAAGGCATGTACGCAATATTGAAGGTAATATTTAAGGTAAGGTACGTATACGACGGCAAATTGCAGTACACTCATATGCACATACCATATTCGGGTACATAGGCACCTATGCATTCTAGTATTGCACTGGTAACAGTGGAAGATAGTGGCGTCTCGGTAGGTTGTTTCTTGTTTAATCTCCGAATTTTTTGCAAAGCGTCCGATATTTCATTCAATATCTCCTATACCAGTACCTCGTCATCATTAGCATTATCTTATTATCCAAACCGAAATGGATGATGAATTAATGTTTAATATAGATACCTAGGAACAAAAGCCTCCCGAGGATCGACGTTTGGTAACTTTAAAGTTGCTTACGATAAGAGGCATTCCCAGATCCCGTCTTATGATTATATTTGGAGGTGTTGGTCGAGTTAAAGTAGTAAAAGGCGAGCAAAAAGAGGTCATAGCTTCTACGTAATGCGTATTAGTCGCATAGCACCGTACCTATGTATTACTATGCCGGTCATTCTTCGAACCCGGTAGTCCGCAAGTCATGATAATGTGGCTCGGTTCGGTTGTAGAACCCAACGGCTATTCCGAACGGCGCCTCATTTACCATCCAAAGGAAACATCTCTATTAAATACTAACCTAGGTACCTAGTTAAGGGGGAGAGCTATCATCTCCATATTGTCGGTAGCAGCGCTAGTCTATGCTCTAGAATCGCATCGATAATTTCCGACAATGTACTCAAGTTTTATATGCGGTAATAGTCTTCGCTATGAAAGCTAACGATATAGCTACTTTTATGCGAGTTTAGATCAATTGACAAATGATAAACCAAATGTTAAATACAGCCGCAGGGATCAACATCCTTCGAACTTGCCATTTCCGCACCAAAAACTGTCAGTTCAAGGGTCATTTCCAGGGGTCATCCAGGCGGATCTTCTAGTATTTTCCTTTTGGCTGGGGGTGAGGCGGAGCTGGAATGGATGTACATATTAGCATACCAACAATACATACATACCTATGTCAGGTATGCTACACTACGGAGGCAGAGAAGCAAGGAGCCATGGCACACCATGTACATCTCTGGGGATCGCTTCGCCATACAACATGATGTACATATAATACTAACCTACGTCTAACCGTCGTACACATGCTTGGATATGCTTGGACACCGCCGTTCGTCCTGTCAAGTTTCGCCAATGAGCTTGTTTGTCTAGACTAACCCGCTGCGGATACAGCAAATCATTTCGTCGTTCCGCCCCTCTTCACAGGTTACTGGCAGGTTAATCATTCTTATTCTTCGATTCTATTTGTCGTTTTCTTGCTCATACGTTACCGGCACACTTCTCTCTACAACCCTACCTCAACAGCTAGCCACTCACGACGTACACGCACTTCGACTAACAGCAGGATTACCTATCACTTACAACTTGCACATTGTACCTGTTCCTCAACATCTCCTTGTACGCCACCGTCTTTAAACCGTTCGTCTAGCCTCCGAACTACTCCTAGCGGCTTAGACGAACTTGGATTATTGGATTCTCTCCTGGATTCTTTCTCGAGGCTTATTATAATATAATACTCCACCGCACACCTGCTCAGATCATCTTAATTCCTCCTGTTACTTCTCTAACTAGAGGGCGTCGCATATTAGAGGAACAAACTCCACTACTGACGTTGGAAAAGTACACAATTTCAAGGATTTTTGGTATTTTTGGCTGGCCACACCCAACTGCCCTTTTCGAACGTCTCGCGTTGAGGGCCTTGGCACGCTTCTAGCGGCTCGCCCGTCATATTCTGGAGACAAAGCACCCATAGCCGCAGGTGTGCTCCAGGCTTGTTTCTCATCGAATCCCAACCAACCCTTGTCAGCCGAAGTGGTAGCATCCTTTATTAAGAACCGTCCTCTCTTTTTATTTCCCTCCTCTCCGTGTATTGCGGAGGCCGGTACCTAGCAACATGGATCACAATCGGAACAAGGCGATACGCAACGAACGTAACAATCTTTCCAAGCCGCAGGTTTTCGTCCAACTCGCATTTGGCGTATCTTGGTCTCAACGGCATACACCACAGACGCATACGATGACTTACATGTCTCGTAACTTGAAGAATGCAAGGGATTCCGGAAACTTCCCTCGCCAAGTACCCCCGCCGAATGCCAACTTCTTAGGTATCCCGGAATCGCGCCAGCAGCGGAGTCGAGAGCATCCAGGCCGACATCATCGTCAACATAATCACACGCAAGCCCGAGAACCCGGACGTTCCCGGGGTCAGAATGGTAATCAACCTGGCGAACAGGTAAGACCCCGGCCGAGGCGGAGTTCAGCGAGTGAATCTCGAGGGGAAAGGGGAAGGTCAGCGCCGCCACTATTTAATGACAGCCCGTGGGATGCTCCTTATGTATCTGCATCGTTGTTCCCACAACGTTCACAGACGGCTGGAGAGGAATCTTGGAAAGCATTGCCTGCAGCACCGAATCAGTATCGACTTGGTGAAGAAGGGCTACCATGGTCTGCATATGCATGGCCAGGGGATATCCACGACGATGGCGATGGCGAGGAATTACCTTTTGAAAATCGCCCAACGACCATCCCTCTCGACACGGAGCGATCTCGCGGCGAGGACCCCGAAAGAGTTAGGGAACTTGAGTCGCTGTCTACGGCTATGATGACGGTGGACAACGGATTTGAGCATCAATGGTGGTATCAAGGTCCTCGGGAGTCTATGGAACGTTGGTGGACGCAACGAGCCGCAGAGGAGGCGGACGACGCACGGTCGGCCGTTAGTGCCGAGGCGGTGCTATTATCTGACATGGCACCGCCGTCGGCCTTGGAATCTGGAGAGGATAATATTCCGAATTTTAGTGATATCGTATCGCCGATATCAGAAGCGTCAAGCCCGCCCCCGAGTTTCAACCAGCCTCTCCACAGATCATTAACGACGAGATCGGACGAACTATGGCTGGGAAGTTAAGGGTTGGACGACGATAGGTGTAAAGGAGTTTGGGTTAGAAGAACGGAGCATTGCAGGCGATGCTTGAGCATTGGATATGCCATGAAGCAGGCGGGACTACTACAAAGCATTTGCATACTATTGGGCGTTTGGATTCGGGAAATTACTACTTTAATAATACTATAAAGGGCATCAAGTGGAGGATATTCCCACGGAGCGCAATGGATTTAGCATCAAGCATTATAAGGAAATTTGGCAGCAGCCAGTGTGCCCAATATTGAGCATTAATCACTTCTTCTTTCTATGGGTTCATGATCGTGGTTGTTCATTCGTACCTAGGTTTACAATACATACGTCTAAGAGCTTTACCACTCATCACAACGACGACTTCCGCTACGACAAATCGGGTATGTCTCGTAACAGTTATAGGGGAGTACCTCAGCTACATATTATATCGTACAGGACAGGCTTAGCAATCAACATTCAATAGTAGTACTATTTAATATATTGCGATGTCGGTTAAACGGAACAGCTCTATTAGGAGTTAAGATAGGCTTTAAGTTATGTGGAGATTCTTATTATAACATTGCGTTGGCTTTTGTAAAGTGAGACGACTTGCTACGGTGATTTACAGCATGATGCGTTAAACCCCATTGTTTTTTTTCTTTTTTGCTTGATGCCTGATAGAACTAGGTTAAGTGACAAGCACCAGCAGTGACTTTCTTAGCTACCTTAACCCAGGTAGTATTTACCTCAGTTATATAAAAAAAAAGGGAGGAGGACAACTAGTTACCCCTTTCAAAGTATACTACACTTTACATAATACGACGATGAGACCCCTAAATATTGTCCATTTATTAATTATGCGCTCGTTAATAAAAATCTTAGTGGAGCTGCCACTAGGGGTAGCTTTCACCGAGTCGAAATAGGATGAGATCTGGGGTTAGTCTGTTTACGAGCGTTTTGATCCTCGAACGGCGAGACGGCCAATGTAACGTTGAACCTGACCCATCGTCGGGTGCCACCTCCACCTCCACCTCCACATACATATTCATATATTATGGGGGGGGGATCATTGTTGTTAATATGGATTGTGACGATTAGACCTGCATAGAGGAGGTCTACTTTAAATCGACAACTTTATCTAAATATAGGATGTGATGGCCTGCTTTGTGTACCTAATGCATTATATATACCTAGTATTTGTATAAAATAACGGAAACAACTGATAAACAACAACAACAACAATGATAATAATAACAAGGCCGAATTGTACATATGCACATATGCCGCAGCTGTCGTCATCACGAGTACATACGAAACATTGTGCGTCTCTTACACATATATATGCATAACAGGTACACATCCAAGCCCCTGGAAAAAATCAAGATCTACAAACTGTCCCAGGGGGGTTATCGACTTATCGACTTATCGACAGGGTCCCATCCGAGAAGGGACCGACGACGCTGCCGATTCGACAGCGGGCGCTTGTACCCCATCTGATCCGTAGAGCCGCCAGGGGTAATGCGTCTACGTCTTGTCTCCGCGGTCTGCGTCTGCTGAAGCCGCCCGCGCGCACACACACACACACACACACACACACACATCCTAGCAAGCTGAATCGGTGTCGTGGGGATCTACCTAAGACACACCATCATCATGAAACGATCTGTGTGCAATCGTCAACGTCGGCGACACGTAAAATGTTTCTCGGCGGTAATGAATACAACTTCGGGTAGGTAATCTGAGATTCCGATGAAAATTGCTGCGCCGCACCGACGTTGTGGTAGATATACATATACATATCTTGGATCGACAAAACTCATCGCTCGCTACCTTACCTTACCTTACCTTACCTCAACAATGCTACGGTGGTACCTATGTGTGATGCAGGGAAGTAGACTAATAATACAACGGTTTGATTTATATATTTAGATCATACATACCTCTATGTATATGTCCCCTACATATGTCCAGGTTCGATATGTTCCACCGAGCTCTGGGTGACAGAGGCTGAGGAACAACGTGCCAGCAACGTGCACTTCACATCCCAAGTACCTACCTAAGCATTGTATAATCTGCTCATCATCGCCTTGTAGTACTACGTAGGTAGGTAGTAAGGAGCTACTTCGGCAGTCAAGTTCTTGGTACGACACAGCATACATACTTACATACGTGCAGGGGTACATTTTAAAAATGCTAGTATATCAACTTCAAGGCTAGGGTTACAACGTACGGTCGAATCAACCGAAGAGGTAGGTCCCTAGGTAGGCTATGCGGCTTTCAGATACCGTCTGAACTTACAAAACGTCCCAACTATCAGGCCGTTAAAGCTAGGTACATCGTTTCCTGTACGTGACGATGCATGGGGTTGGTATTTGAGTTCTGTGCCGCACACATAAGGCTATAGTCCTACACACTACTACTATTTCCACTCCAATACCCCGTTGGTGCGCCCCACGCTTACTTGCTAGATACGCCTTCAAGTATGCCCCGAGGCTATCAGTCCTCGACGATACCTACCTACCTTGCAGGTAAGCAGCATGTATTATGACGAGCAGTTCTGCGTATTATATTCTGTATCAATATCTCCCGATGACGAAATAGAGCAGTAATATAAAGCAATGCAATCCGACTCATATAGACATGGCCCTGCTTACTCCCACGGTTGTAAACGAGTATAGAAAGAAAGCCGCGAGTCGGGTTGATAAATTAATTTACGCACTCCGGACGCAAGCACTCAGCCCCACGCTATTTAATGTCCCTTTTCGACTTATAATCCGTCTATAATACTACGCGTGGAAGAGCTGACTAACAGACCGGATGAAAGTTCTCTCGATCTGAGCGCTTACTACACTGCCCACTTCAGGTGGTATGCCTATATTCTCGCTACGCGCGGTGGCAGCGTGGGAGACATGCTACTTGCTTTGCTATCGAGTCATATGATTCTCCAGACATTACTTTACTACCCCAAGGCGCCATATATTGTCAAAATTGCTTTTTCATATTCGTATACGTCGTCTCAACATAGCAAAGCGCGCGGCTAACTGGTACTCATCGTGCGAACAAGGCAGAACGAGATCCATGACATGTGCCCTGCTCTGCTCGTGCTCCACCAATGTAACCGTATATTCCCAGCCAGATTCCCTAGCTAGACCTAGCAACATGTAACTCGTCCCAGTTTTCTCCCATCACATCATACCATTGCGACCAACCTAGCCGTCTTCCGAAACTTAATCTGTTGATAGCCCCGGCCCCTTTCACCTTTGCTCAACTATGCTCTCCAGATAGCAGCAGTTGCAAGGCCTTGATAATCTCGAACAGGGCACGATAGTTCTTAGCAACCTCATCAAGCCGAGAAGAGAACCAAAAAAAAAAGCAATAAACACCCAACCAGAAAACAGCCGACGCCGCGTATATGCATCCCCCTCTTCCATAACAGCCCATCAAGGGCACCCAGGTATCTCTGCAGAAGCCTCCACACCAGTCTATCAAATACTTGCATCGCGTATTACCGCTTAGGAAAGTAGAATGAGAGGAAATATAAAATCATGTAAGAAGTGTGATATGGTATATTTGCATAGCCGTGATTTGGATCGAAAAGAGAAAGAGAACCGAGATTGCTAAAAAGAAGACCAATAGAAACCCGCTGCTACATGCTGACCTCCCGCTCTTCCTGGATAGCTGTCATTTCGCTGCCAACGATACCGCCCCCAAGGAGGGGTAGGCTCGGCGGAGGCATCGAAAAGACCCGGGAGCTTGATGGTGTTGTACTAACGCTGCCGGCGCCAGTAACCACCTTCGAACCCGATGACCTGTTTGCCGTCGTGCTCGTACCTGTCTCGGAAGGCTGCTCGATGCCGCTCATCTCGCTCGTAGGGACTTCTCTTTGCAGGGGAGAGGAGTGCACAGGCGAGTTGGATTTCTTACTTGCACCATCGCCGTTGCCCCCACGAGAAGAATTTCGTGGAGAGACCCTGCCCGTCTACTACAGGTAAGTAATCCGCACGAAGGAATATGGAAAAGGGGTTCGCCAACCTGCTTTGCCCACCTAAGGCCGCAGCTGTTACACAGATCTCTTTGACCACTCGGGCCTCTCCGCCACTCAGGCGTGTTGCGAGTATGACAGTTAGCACAATCTCGGACGAAATTCCCAATTCCCTTTCTACGCTTGCGTTTCTTTTTGTTGGAAAGGAGGCCGTGAAGCTCCTCAGCTAATACCCGATTTACCTTTTCCATTTGTCTCAATTCATACTGCCAGCTAGTGCATCTTGTGGTCTTGAGCTCATCAAAAATATTGTCATCTGAGGCGAGAGCCTTATCTTGGTTACCAGGAGCCATGCCGCCACCTGCTGCAGCGGATAGGAGGCCATGACGTTGGTCGTCTGGAGTCTGAATACCTTGTACTACGGCGAAGCTGGACACTGGCTTCGGTTCCGTAGATGAATGGTTGGTAGAACTCTGTCTAGTAGACGGGGTAGACGAAACTGGCCCAATTGCCCGGGAGGAGGCCTTAACTAACTTCGTCTGGGCAAGCAAAAAGGTTGGTTTCTGCCCCTTAGACGCATCACCCGGATACATAATGGTATGAGCTTGTAAAACCTGGCCTCGACGATTTTGAACCTCGTGTTTGCACGTGACTATACGTCCTCTTCTAGCTTTCTCGATCGAACGCCCGAACTCGGCACGCGATTCCTTACGCATCAACTCCTGGATGCTAGTCCCTACAAGGTTTTCTGGTTGTAAATCTAATAGAGACCGAACGTTTGCGGAGACAAATAGAAACATCCCAGATGTAGAGAGCTTTGTCCATAACTCGCTATCACCTATGCCACCGTTAAATTCCAACTCACGTCGACTGAGCGTAAAGACCGGGCGCTTCCGACCAACAAGAATTATGCATTTCCGACCCTTTCCTTGCTCGACGAATAGTGAACCGTGGCTTTCGAACCAAGTGTAGCCACTTTGCTTTCTTCGTATGCGAAAGACTATATTCACCGAATTTCCATTGGTAGCATCCTTGAGCTCTCGGGTAACTGGAACAATATCGGAAGGATGTGATATAGATGAGATAGAATTTCCAACGAGCTCGGTAGCATCATATTCGAGTATGCGCTTACAGGACGGCGACAGATAGAGAAACAGCCCCTTCAAAGAGAGCACGTGGACGACATCATCGGTATTCTCGAGAAGCATCTTGTCCCAGGATTGCCGGTGCCAGTCAGAGGCAGACCCCTTCGGATTAAATTGCTGCAGTAGCGTAGATACGTCGTCAACCCCTAATGTTTGTCCGTTCTCCGGTTCCCACTGGCTTGAAGACGGCGGTGTCCAAATATACTGTCCGATATCACTGTGCTTGTAGTTGACTTTCATGGTTCCAGGGCCTTGATGTGAGGCGATGGCGTCGGGGCATTCCACCAGATCGATTTGGAACCCAATGATATATCTGATCTCGGAGGTGTCCCATGGGATAGGGATCATGGTTAATAAGTTCAAGAAAGGCTTGCCTCCTTTCCGGTAATTGATTAAACTTTGCTGCACTTCCTTGCCCTCAGCAATCTTTTGCTTCAGGTTATAGACGGCTCCATTGTCAACGAACTCCCGTTTCGTACCTGCTTCAACTTTGCCATCCGGGGCTTGGAGAAAACGGCAATTCTGACCAACGATGTCGTGCTGACTGTAACCAGTCAGGTTCTGAAAATTGTCTGAGACGTATATGATTGGACAGTCATTCATCGTAACATCGCAGACGACGAAAGCACAGGACATGTCGACGGCGCCGAGATTGACCTGCGGGTTTTTTCGCGTAGCCACAAGCCAAAGGGCCCTTAGCATATCAAATCCACTTTTAGAATATATAGTCTTCTCCTTCGGAGGTTGAGGATTGATGACGGCTGGGATGGACGGCTGGGAAGGGGCGGCACTCTCTGGCGCTGTTCCTGTTGTAGTCGCTATGGGTGACTCGTACGAGGGCGTAGAGGACACGAGGGTTTGGGGCAGAACCTGCGGAACAGGTTGCGGCGAAATATTGGATTGAAACCCGTTCATAGCAGTGTCCAGGCCGATATTTGTCTGGGGGTTAGTTTGGCTGGGCGGAGAGAACTGTGGTGAATTGGTCATAATGCTATCCTCGCCAGCATCCACGGGCATACCGGTGCCAGGGTTGTTTGCCACAGCATCAAGAGCACTGCTCTCATTCGACAGGTCCATACTAAAGTCGGCTGGCAACCCATCCATGGAATTTGATGGAAACGGGGTAGACATTGCATTTGCCGATGAGAACATGTTCATGGAAGGGTCCGCGCCCATCGAGTCCATGTTCATATTAGAGAAGGCAATCATGTTCCCTACCATATCAGGGGAGAGTGCTGAAAAGTCATTAACAAGCATGGTTGGGGAGGTGAACCCCGAAGTTCCCTGAAGGGATATATTGGTGTTAAGGGTAGGAAACCCGTTATGCATAGCATCAGCAGAGTTTTGCATAACCCCAAACTGATAGTCCCTAAAGGAGTCATCGCCGCCACCAAATTCCATCATAGACATTCTTCGATCAGCGTCTACTTGGGATATCTGACCTGGAAATCGTTGTGGTAGACTCCGTCGTCGCTGTAGTTCCTGAGAATTGCTACAAATAATATCATCGAGAGAATCAGCGCCCACCAAAGACGGATCTGGATTTGCAGCCGTAACAGGGACATGACTATATTGTGGCGGTTGAGCGGGCTGGCTTAGAGAATTCGCAACTAGGCGTCTCTGGTTGCGCTGCAGAGAATGGCGGCGCTGCAGCTCCTCTTGGGAGAGCCGGTTGCCGAAGAAGTTGTCCATTTCGACTGCATCTGTTACAACTGTAGTAGAACCGAGGTTGGATATTCGATGGCTACCGTATCATCCGACACAAGTTCCCTCACAATAAATAGTATAAACTAGGTACGGAAACAGGAATCGATTCGAATGATAAATCGCGGGAGTATCAAAAACGTTGGATAATATCGTCGACGATCAAATTATCATATGCGAAGAGTACTGGCGTTTGAGGTTGCATTAAGACGTGACTTGTAGGATGTATCATGCGTAGACGGCTGGAAGACGTTGGGCAATATGCTACGAGGGATAACACCGAGACTCGTGCGTCTGGGGTCGATTATGAGGGATAACGAACTTTGCTCGGATAATGCAGGAAGTAGACGAGGTATTTTAGGAATGCCGGGGTTCTATACAGTCGATTACTATGGCTCCATCGGATGAGTCAAATGTGTATTCGAGGCCGACTCCCAAGATGTTGCCGTGTAGGAAATGGATACTAGATGATGGAAAGCGAGCGGGTATATTCGAAGGGAACTGCGCGCGTAGTATGTAGTAGCTTCGCAGAGACACGAGAACATCGGTCGCTCCCCCAAGAGGGATATATTTGAGCAGTTGGCCGGCTTTCCGAGGTTGAAAGGCTTATCGCAGCAGAAACATGAATGAATGGGAGAGATTTCGAAAGATGGCATCCAGACGGCATCTAGATGGCCTGGTTTGGCTAGCTCTCTCGTTGAAGGTGGGAGGGTCGAGGATTGAATTCGACTGACCAGGGTCAAGTTGAAAAGAGGTACCTACATACATACATACAGGTAGTATGTAGGGGCCAAGTAATAAAGTTGTCGATCAAATCCATTTGATGGAGCTAGTGCAGGCGTTTCCTTTCCGTTGGGTCTCATACCGTACTTGCCACCGTCTGATACGGTTGAACCAGAGCGGGGGAAAACGGAACGGTCAATAAACCACGCAGAAACGTGCCTACCAGGTCTTTATTATTTGTGTGTGTACAGTAAGATGCGGCCGTTCCAATATGCGGTATGCGGAGGTCGTTCCTGGCTGCTCTCTGGGGCAGGTACAAAATGTTACCCAGCCTAATAAATTCGTATCTCCAGATGGTATTTTTACGAAATTCTACAATCTGCATCCAAACGTGAAACCCCGCCTTACCCACAACTCCGGCAACTCATTTACGTATGTACAAGTATTGAGCAACGGCTGCGGTAGTTCCTGGTAGCCAATGCATAAACCTAACGAACATCACATTAAAACTTTAGGTACCTTAGGTACCTAAGCAAAGGAAGCTCTAAGACAAGATTGTTGCATACATAGGCTCTTATCAAAGCATATTAAATAGATCTCTTGTAAGGCGTTGAGACACGTGACTTTATACTTTACTCCTCTTTAAAAGTACATGTACTTCGTACCTAGCATAGGTATCAGCTAGTGGAGACCGCTAGCACCCTAGGTTGAGGCTGACTTTTTCGCCTTTTTCGCCTTTTAGAAGCTTACCTAGGTACCCAAGTACCTAACCTACTTTATAAGTACAACGCCTCAACGCCTCCCCGGCAATGTTCGTCATTCATTCCACCATGAAATTGCGACCTCTAATCCGAAAATAACTACCATAACCAAATTTAAACACCGCTAGGTTTCGTCTTCTCGAAAGCCATCCGGTTGCCGTATCTTTGGCCTTTCAGGATTTTCCCAATAAACCTCATCTCGTACAGAATGGACGAACCTACAGAGCTTGTCAATCCATTACCTCTGCAGTCGATCAACGTCCTTATCTCGTAAGTCCTCTTGAGTCTTAGCTTTGACATCTAAAGTCCCCCCCGTTTCCTCTTACCTCGTTGCACTTACCGTAAAATTCATTTTTCGTTCCGAGATAAATATAAACCGGCTATTCAAGTTACTTGAGGTTTTGTGATCTTACGGCTGCACGTCAATACCTTTCCTCTTCGCACCTAACCAACTTCACTCCCCACCTATTAGTCACTTAACTTCGATAACACACCACTAATATCTATCAGGCTCCCGTCTCTGAATTCACAATTAATTAATAAATCACCAGAGTCTATACCCTGCCTCTTTATGCGATAGTCTTGTCCCCTTCTAACAATGGCTCTTGACATCACACATGACCAAGACCTTCGTGTGTCGAGAAGGCCTCCTATCATGAAAACAACTCCTCAACGACCTGGGCCTAATGGCCCGCGAGTCATCAAGAAACGGTCGTCACCTCAGCTTGGTGATGGCCTTTGTGATGTCCTCGCAGTTACAGATGATTCTCTTGCTTGGACGGAAGATACCTCCATCTCTTCTATCGATCATGAGACTAGTAGCTCTGTATTCACGCCATCAGAGAAGACTTCTATTATTATGTCATCGACGCCTGATTCGAGCACTGGATCCTTCGACTTCGATCTCCGATTGGATTCTAATGAACACATTGAAACACCCAAGTATCCAGCCTCTAGCATTGCGCATTGCGAGTCGTCTCGAGCCACTTCATACACGCCTAGCGGAGTGGAACCAGCATTGCACACGCCATCTCCAGTGTCTCTAGGTGTAAGCACCAGCGCGCTTACCAGTCCATCTCCAAAATTACTACAGCTTTCACAAATACTCGACCCTCTGGGATATCTACCTTATGCCACACCTCCTAGGATACCCAAAGAGCAAACTGCCAAGAACCCCCTCGTAACCGAGACAACTGTACATAAGGTCGACTCGTGGTTTCCTGATGGGAAACTACCGCTTTTAGAAGCCAAAGACTTAGTTGGGTCATCTCAGTATTTGGATTTATTGGACGCTCTTAATGTACAACAGAAGCTCCACGAAGGAGACCAAGTCAATGTCAACCAGTTGCCTCACATACCCCAATACTCAAAACTACCTCTGTCGAATCCTTTATATCGCAATGTTCAGTCAATATCTACATCGCCGATCGAAATTATGCGTGAACAATTCTATGCGAAGTTGAGGAGTCATACTGATATGAACCATACTAATTCATCCTTAGCTGAGGCTGACGTGCACATTTTTGTGGACATGTCTAATATCTTCATTGGATTCTGTGAGAGCTATAAAATCTCTAGGCAAATCCCGCTTACTCGCAGGATAAGCATGCCTCCATTTTCGTTCAAAACATTGGCACTTGTGATGGAACGAGCAAGGAATGTGCAGAAGAGAGTGCTCGCCGGGTCAATATACGGCGTAGCAAACAACAATCCTCAAACGTCTTGGCCACCTTACTTTCTAGAGGCAGAACAGCTGAACTATAAGATGAATGTTTTTAGTCGTGTTCGAAAGCGCAAGGTCTCACCAAGCAAGTCAAAGGGAAGGGGCCGAACACCGACCGAACGCCCTGATGAAGCAGGCGACATTTCAGAAGATGTCACGTACGAAGTGAGAAACGGAGAGCAGGGCGTAGACGAGAACCTCCATCTGAATATGATGGACAGTATGTGGGACAACATGTCACGCCCTGGCACGATGGTGTTGGCCACCGGGGATGCAGCGGAAGCTGAGTTTTCTGGAGGATTCTTGCAATACGCCATTCGCGCTCTCGAAAAGGGATGGAAGCTTGAGCTGGTAACATGGAAGCGACCTCTCTCATCCGCTTGGACCGACCCAAAATTTCTAAAGAGGTATAGGAGCCAGTTCAGCATCATCTTCCTAGACGATTTCTTGGAAGAGTTACAGACCGGCCTTCTTGCGTAGGATATTATCACATTTACATATGGCTAGGAAACTACTCCTAGTATGTTCTTAGAGAGATTTTCGGCTCTCTATTGCATTCGGCTACTATATTTCGTTGCCTACCTGTATTGCGGCACATCTCAAAATCCTTTTTTTTCCCCCTCTTTTCACTTCTGGTGCATATATGCATTTAACAAGCAGCATTCGGCGCACTACGGTCATTCGATTCACTACTTGTTGTTCAGACTACTTGATCTCAAGATTTTGTGGAATATGCCCTGCCGGGCGAGCTGGAACCATCTCGAAGCGATGGTGGAGGTTTGAATTATCTGGAGAATCGTCACATTCGACGTTTCCATCCATTTGACGGTAAATATTTGCTTTACGGACGGAATTATAAGGACTAGATGAGACAACGGCGAAACGACACATAACGACGTGGAAGGTTCCGGATATACAACAGACCTCGGAAGGATAGAGCTATGTTTTCGCATTCTGAGATCTGGCGTTTTTCACGAATGGGAACAGCTTTTCCAAGTTAGTCCTTGGTGATTGGATCCGGGTTGGTCCTTCGATATACCCTCCACAGCGCGGGGGTTTATTTACGTCACAAACTGTTGACGGGCGAATTAGGCGATACTATGATTCTTTGCCGGGGCGACCCTACGCATATGTGGAGTTCTGGTTTGCATAGCATTATTTACATGGATATCTCGAGAGTTGGGAACCCGGCTTAGAGGTACAGACCGGAAGACGAAGTTGGTGCCTATTTAGGTATCCCTGAGCAGCATATTGGAGCTTAGTTACTTGAGAAGTAATTAGCTTTGTTTTGATAATACGTTTAGTGTAATCCTACGAAGTATTAATGGAAGCGTTGCCTTGACAAGAAACACCCAAGTTAATATACAGCTTAAACGTAGGAAAATACAAGCAGCCTTTGACCTACGAAAACTGACGTCATGGTGACTATGCTAAATAGTGTAAATTGAGCTGATAGAAAATAAATGCTACCCTACCAGGCCTACATACCCACCGGACAGCCCACCTGGATTATGGATTAGGTGAAGTAGGTACCTAACATGTAATTTCTACATCAAATACACTACCGAATCTACCTCCTACACGCTTCATAACGTACCTAACCATAATAGCTGCGAGGCTAAGGTGTTAGGTAGGTACTACGTATGTAGGTACATGTAAACTATGTGATATATAATATGGAAACCTTTCAGTCTCGGTCTCGGTCTCGCTCTATAGCTGAAATGCTAAAGCTGCTCTTCCTCACGCCATGATTCGTTTTCTTGCCATTTGACCAATTCTTCCTAAATTGCTTACTCGATACCTACTTCTTTTTGCATTACTTACCTATTCCTAGACAGTTACCTACCTACCACTTCCTTTTCTGCCGATCGTGATTAACACCGATTTCCGAACCCGTACATAGAATTTATGGGTGCTCGGGCCCGGCCCGACGGGTACACCCGATCAAGCATGGCAGCTCTTATTCAACCGCCAAGACATATAATCATTGGCGTCGTCGCGTTCTTCCTCGTAGCCTGCTTCGTGCTGTTCACGCCGCGGTCGACATCATACCACACCCCGTCGTCGTCGTCGTCGTCGTCGGCTTTTCCCTCGAGGATCGACCGGTCGTCGCCGGCCGACGTCAACCGCGTGGCTAACGGGACCCTGGGCTTCGAGAAGATCTTCGTCGTGGGCCTCCCGGAGCGCAGCGATAAACGCGATGCTATTGCGCTTACGAGCACGCTGACGGGGTTCGCGGTCGATTGGGTCGATGGGGTTAGAGGGGAGTCGGTGCCGGATAAGGCGCTGCCGTTTGGTGCTGATAGGAAGAAGTTGTGGGAGACGAACTTGGGGAGCTGGAGAGGACATATGAATGCTATTCGCAGGTACGTCGAGTGAGGGGTTTAGTAAAGGGGGGCGAGTCTCGAATACCCGCGTGCGCCCTTGTGCACGACAGGGGGGCAATTCTGCTGGTAGCCTACATGCGTTGAGTAGGCTTGGCTAGAGTTAGATGCGACTCGCGAGCCATAAGAAATATTGGGAAACCCAGGAAAATAAAATACTATAAGAGAGGATAGTTTCGATATGGACTAACCTATCAATTCATAGGATCGTCGAAGAAGACCTTGGATCGGCTCTCATCATGGAAGACGACATGGATTGGGACGTACGGCTCAAACCCCAGCTAGAAAGAATCGCCCAAGGCGCCAGGGCTCTTCTCTCCTCCGCCTCGAACCCCAACTCTCCCTACGGCGACGATTGGGATCTCATGTGGCTCGGACACTGCGGCGAGGTTTTCCCCGAGACGCTTGATGAAAATAAGGAGAAACCCGCGGATGACGCTGGCATCCAATACATGTCGCGCAAATTCGTCATCGAGAACGACTCAACCGTGCCTCCCAGAGACAGAATCACCGGCCTCGTCGACTTCAAAAGCCACCCCGAGTTTACCCGCTGGGTCCACATCACCGGCGCCCCCATCTGCACCTTCGCATACGCGCTCTCGCAGAGGGGCGCTCGGAAAGTCCTCCTAGACCTATCCGTAGACCACCTAACAGGCGCCTTCGACAACGCCCTCGCCGGGCTCTGCCGCCGCGCCGTCTCAACATGGGGCATCCAAGACGTCGCGAAGGCCGGCGACCGCGGGCTCGACGCAAAATGCATCAGCGTGACGCCTCCCGTGTTCTTCCACCACAAGGCCCGCGGTCTTGTGAACGCCGACAGCGATATCCAGACCGTCCAGGACGGCGGGCAGGTTCGGGAGAAGGGCAGGACGGAGAATATTGTCTGGAGCGCGAGGAATAATATTAAAAACATGGTTATGGGAGCTCAGATGGAGAGTCAGTATGAATAGAAAGGAGTTCGACTGTGGCGTTGGCGTTGGCGCTAGCTGGGTTTGTAACACTTGGGTTGCGCATGGAATATATATTGGGACGGAATGATACCTACCTCAATTCGAAATATGAGGACTATAAACGACGGCGTTGGCGGGATTCGGCAAATTAAGAACGTGGCTCCTAGTGCAGATAGAATACTTGCGATAATCAGTACAATTATACGGTTCGGAACCAAGTCTGCTTCTTCTGTACCGTATGGGCTAAACGACGGTATCAATTATATTGTCGAGGATTGATGATATGTTCAATAAATGCTTCATCTCGCGAACACATAACTAAACCGATTCCCGTTTCGGAGGTAGTAACCCCCCCGATTAACTGTGCTATGGAAACTCAAATGACTTTTATATTTCCCCTTTTCTCTACCAGGTTAATCTAACGCCTAGAAAAGCATGGAAATTCAGCCATACATGCAGGTATCCCGGTGCACAACCCGAGAGTGACAGATTAGGAGGCACCACCACGACCTCCTATGCCCCCCACAGCCAGTGCTCGCACAATATCCGCACTAATATCGGGTAGCGGCCGACCCCTTTCGGTCGGCTGGCCGATGAACTTGATTTCGGCTAGATATCGCAGGTACCTTCCCACATCGTCCCTGCTAATGCCATAGCCAGAGCTCTCGTCTACGCCTGTCCATTTATCGCCGTCTGCTTTCAAAATAGCAACAGCGTTCCTGTCATCCAACTCCGGCGCTCGGGTATTGGCTGGGAGGTCGTTCATGCAGAAATGTGCTAGCGGCATGAGCGCATGCTGTTCTTGGTCCTTCTCGAGGGCACCTGCGGACACGAAGTTCTCCAGTTCCTGCTTCCAGGAATCGTAGCTGACTTCTGGAGTTTTGTAGCCGTAGTACTCTAGTATCGATAGATACTCATTCATGCGGAGACGCGGGTGGCCGGTGACGTGAACTACGTGCACTCCACCTGGGAGAGGATTTAGGGCAGCAGCGACGACCACCCTCGCAACGTGGTTCACGGGGACAGCGTTGACAGTGTTGATTATGCGCGGGCGCGCTTCCAACTGTATGCAACCTTTCAGCATTCTGATCAGGAAGTCATCGACATTGCAGACACCAGTCTGATAATCACCCAGGATATATCCAGGTCGGATAACCGACCCCTGGAGGCCTCGTCTTCCGGCCTCTCTAACGAGTTGTTCTGATACCCACTTGGTTTGTCCGTATCCCGTGCCCAACCCGGTACGGCTTCCATTCATGTCATCACTTTCCATTATCGAACCCTCTCCTGTTCTTGTCTGCTCCTCTGACAGTTTGATATAATGGTCTGTGTCAAGGACACTAGTCGAACTGACGAAGCAGAAAACCTTTGCCTTCCCTTCATTGCACAGCTTCATCGCATCAATAGTTGATAATACGTTCGACGCCATCATATCCTGGTACTTCCGAATCCAATGGACGGTGGCTCCGTTATGTATCACCACGTCAACTTCATGCGATAATTTCTGCCAGGCTGAATCATCAATACCGAGCTGAGGCTTTGATAAGTCGCCCACAACCGCACTTAATCTCTCCTGCCACTCATCCTTCCATAGACCATATCCTTGAAGAGAGCGGCGAAGCCGTTGTAGGGCTGCTGCTGAGTCCTTGGCGCCTCGCACATGTGCGATTAACTTAACCTCACGAGAAGTCCGGTCAAGGACATCCTTCACAAGGTATGATCCCAAGAATCCAGTTGCTCCCGTAAGAAATACTGTCAAAATTTTAGTGTCGTCGAGAGCTTTGAGATCGGCGGATTGATATTTGTCAGCTAACTGGCCCGTCAATTCGTCAAGAGACTTCGTGTAAGCCGGGGTGGCCTCTTGTGCATCGCTGGTGGTATCGGTACCGTTGGCGTCCCGAAGTCTCTTCTCTACGTGAGCGCTGAAACTCGCTAGGTCTGGATGTTCGTAGAATGTGCTGATAGAAACGTCTGCCCCAAAACTCTTCCGAATTTCCAAAAGAAGCTGTTGGGCCAACAGGCTGTGTCCACCCAGATCAAAGAAGACGTTTTCTCGTCTAATAGTTTTCGGGTTGAGACCCCGGATGAGATCAGCCCACTTCTGGGCCACCTTCTGCTCTGTCTCCGTCAAGGACTCCCAGCTTTTTAGATCCTCCTCCGAAGCGTCTTCAACGCGTTCGGTAACATCTGGGAAAGGAAGATTCGGCTTATCAACCTTGCCATTGGGGTTTAAGGGGAGCTTCTCGAGAACTATATATATGCTCGGTACCGAATAGGCCGGTAATCGAGACTTCAAGTGATCTCGTACCTCAGTTTCCATGCTTCGATATTTCTTCAAGAAGACACGTGTAGGTCCCATCTCAACACCGTCATCTTCGACTTCTTCTATCCCCCGAGCGGCAACCCATCGCCGCCACTCAGATGCTTCAGGGACTAGGTAGCTTACTAGTGTCGGTTCTTCATTACGATCTCTTCGTACAAGAGTCTTGCAGTCTCGGATAAGTGGGTTTTGGCTCAGATTGCTGTCGATATCGTTGAGCTCGATACGGAAACCGCGAATTTTGACTTGGTCGTCGGCACGACCGGTGCATTCAACGTCTCCAGATTCAAGGTAACGTCCTAGATCGCCCGTCCGGTAGAGCCGATCCCTCGGGCCCTTGTAGTACTGTCTCCAAGGTTCATTTTTGCTCGCCTTCGCGTCTGCCTCGACCCACTTCTCATTATCTACGAACCAATTCATCAAGAACTTCTGCTCATTCAAAGATGGGTCCCCAAGATAACCCCTAATAGCAACATAATTAGCACAAACGTGAGAATGTCGAGAAAATAGACTCACTCAGCAAGACCTGCGGCCCGAACGAATATCTCTCCCACTTCACCGACCTGGCATAATCTAGATCGGTTCTCTCTGTCGACAACTAAAAGTTGGACATTTTGCATTCCCTGACCAGCTGGGACTGTGTCCTTGAGCTTATCTAGAAAGTCCGGATCCCTCGCTCGGCTCGGGACTTCAAAGTAACTGACGGCTCTCTGGGTCTCCGTAGTGCCGTACATATTGATAATGTTAGCGTTCACGGCAAGTTGCCGGAGGGACCGGCATTGCCTCGTCGTTAGAACGTCGCCGACGAAAAATACGTGTTCCAAGCTAGGAAATTCAGCGGTAGCGCCGCCAACTAGAATTTGACCCATGGCTGGGGTAAGATGAGTAACAGTAGGTTTCATTTCACGCATCCACTCAGCAAGTTTCTCATGCTGAATATCCTCCCTAGACGGGACGAGGAGTTGGGCGCCAAGGAATAATGGTGTGAAAATATCCCTCTGTACGGGATCGTGAGCTAGACCAGAGAGAAGTGTAAATCGACTCTCGGTCGATAAATTGAAGCGCTCGGCCATCCATCCAAAGTACCTGGTCAGACTGTAATGTCTACCAAGGACTCCTTTTGGTCTTCCTTCACTCCCCGAGGTGAATGACAGGGTAGGGTTTGAATCAGGACCCACTATCACATCAGGGGGGGAAGATGCAAGGCTTCTAAGGGGCTCGAAGATGTCTTGAGAATCAACCTGGCCTCCAGACAGAGTTCCGTCATCAAGAAGGCGGAGTTCAGGGACTTGGGCCTTTAGCTGAAGCTCTTGGTCAATATAGCCTTGCACCAGATCGGCCAATGGGCCATTCTCATCAGTTGCGCGGCCAATTTTGATCAGAGCACGTGGCTGAGATACCTCAAGGTAGATCTTCTGCCTAGCTGGAGGATAGGCAGGATCCAGGACCGTCATCGTAGCACCAGAAGCCTAATTGGACAATTAGCGTTACCTGAAATTAGATGACAGCAGTCTTCGTATATAAAAGTAAAGTGAATTTAAGTCTAAAGTGAGTCTAAGTTTAGAAATCAACAACATACCAGGGTACCCATCAAGGCGATGACCAAGTCAACAGAGCGATGGGCCCAAATCATCACTACATCTCCATTGGTAATGCCAGCATTGTGAAGGTACCGGGCAAGGGTATTAGAAGCTTCATAGATCTGACGGTAAGTGAAGCGTCTCTCTGGATGCGTCGAAGACTTAGTTTCTAGCACACAAGTCCTTTCGGGATATTTCTCAGCAGAGGCCCGGAAGCGCTCATGGATTGAACCGACATAACCTGACCAGTCAAGGTCGATCGTCGGGTCGGGTAAGTCGCCCATGACGGCAGTATTCTATATCCAATTCCACACGAGAGTCAAAGTATGGAAGGTAGAGATTATTTCATCGTCTCTACGAACATTTGAAGTATTAATGGAAATATTAAAAAATTACGTTGGTGGTGGGGTACATACGGTACATGTATTCAAAGTACCAGCTGCCAATGTGCGATGCGTCATAGTACCTTTTACCGTGTAACTCTTCCGAGAGCGGAGCTACATATGTACCAAGTACATGTACTAAATCAAGTACCTTATGTAGGTACCTAGGTACATGCCTAATCTTCTCCTTTTCCTTAGATTATCACGAGAAGTCATACAGATACAAGAAGATTCATGGAATTATATTTTCATGTACTTGAGTGATATGGGTAGGTACCTAGAGACAGGAATCAAATATCCGTATCAACTGCCCCCTTAAATACAAAAACTGCAGCTTCAACATGGTCATTCAAGTCGACTTCATTTGTATACATGCCGCCCTCTCTCATTTGGCTTTTCATGCTCTGGATATCTCTCTCTTCCTCGTCTAGACTGTAAAGTCTGCCGAATTGCCTCGTGATATCAACTACCTTCTGGCTTCTTGGTCTACGAATCTGGTCGAAGGCTTTCAAAGCTGTGTCGATATGATCTTTCGACTTGACCTCAGCAAAGACTCCGGCGAGGACCGCCGCATCCTCGATGGCTTGGGCGGCACCGTTGCCAGCGTGAGGAGCCGTGGCATGTGCCGCGTCGCCAACTATAGCAACGTGACCACGGTAATAGGTGGATGCGTGGTCATGATCCAAGATTTCCCAATAATCATTTGGATATTTTTCGAGAAGCTAGAACGTAGTGATGGTTAGTTTATGATTCTTATATCTAGAGTAATGTGATTATATTTAACCTACCGATACTAGCGAGGTGACTTCAGGGCAGAAATCCTTCCATTCGTCTGCATGAAACCCAGCTCTCTCACGGTTACGTCGCTTGCTATCCCTCTGGTAGCAGGAGATGCTGTATGTCTTTCCTAGATCCACAGGAAGGCCGTTGACATACCCAATAGGCGTGCAGAACATTCGGACATTCTCGATTGACTCCTTAGGAACCACCTTCTTTGCTTCTATCATCGGGACAAGGATATTGAAGCAATGCCAGTTATCATGATTGACTGCTTCCGCTGTCGGGTGATCAGGGCCCAGGATGAATTTTCTAGTAATACTCTTGACGCCATCGGCGCCAAACACCAAGTCGAATTCCTCAACCGCGGAATCTGCAAAGGTGACAGCAACCTTAGATGTATTGGTGCCTATGTTTCCGTTCTCTTCCATGCTTACCGCGCGTTTCCCAAAATGAACGCGGTGTTCAGGGATGATGTCCTCGAGAAGGCCCTGGATAAAGTGTGCCCTATGAATGGTTCTTCTTCCTTTTGCTCTGCCCAGTTCTGCCACAAGAGTTCCAGCATTATGCCCGCTCCCAACGATGATCTGAGTTGCCATCTCTATGTCTTCCTCGTTGGCCATGAAATGGGACTTTTTGAAGTATGCCTTCTTGATCTCCGGTGAGATTGAGTCCATTGCTTTGATGGCATTTCCGTGAAGCGCAATGCCTGCGCCGCGAACACTAACATCTGGATAGGCCTCATAGAGATGTACATCAAGTAACGGGTTGCGGGAGAGCCCTATAGTTAGACAGCATCCCGCGATGCCAGCACCGACCACAGCTACCCGGAGTCTGGGGGTTTGGGTTTCCATGTTGACTACTATTGCTGTTTGATGGACGAAAATTCTGATGGGATCACTTCACTTTCCTATATCAATGAAATTATGGTGTTATTCGAAAAAAAAAAAAAAAAAGGGTAGACAAAGATAGGTGTTATATAGACCTTGAATGGATGAAATTCCACAGGGATGCTATCTACGACTGGACAAAGCTCTTGTGACTGTCAGCAAGACACTGCCCTTGCTAGTCAGGAAAACATTAGCCTAGCATTACGACTTTACGTAGCGGACTTTTCTATCCCTTGCCTTCCCCATTCAGACAAGTTCAGCTTGGTCAAGCAAACTCGCACCTCTGTGAGGGGCTGGAAGAAACCGACTAACGCGAACTCATACAGGCATATAATGCCTCACGATATGAGGCTCACAGGAAAGCGCCCTTGTTACTTTGGAGGTGAATTTAGGGTATTTAGTGATTCAGCTTGTGAGACGACAATGATATTGAATATACATACGATTTAGAGTAAAACTAGTTGTTTCCATTTACTACAATCTCCCTCACCTGGAGAAGTATGACTTGCTCTTAAGAAATTTAATGAGTTGTAGGACTATGACTACTTCGACTTATGTGCGAAGTCGACTCTTTTTCGAAGGCGTGATATCACGATTTCTTATGTGTTGTAAGCTCCCTTTACATCGATGCACGGTTGCTTTCGGGGTCTTGTGTTAAACTCTGAATCGCAAAAATACCCCCGTTCCGTCTGATTTCGTCTATTTTACCTATGGCTTACAGTTTTGAACGACTAGGTCTCAAAAATTCGGCTATTGCTCATTGAATGGTAATGTTCTTCTTAGCCTTACTGCGCTTCTTATATAAATTGTGAGATGGGTTGAGAGTCTGGGGGTTTAAACAGCTTTATTCTTAAAGCGGTACCGAGGCATACACACGAGCTTACTACATGTAGAATTATAAGCGTTCATCCTCTTGATAAACCTCGTTTAATAATAAATATGTTACTGAAAAGAGTTGAATGTAACTTACTGTAAATGATCATTCATATTTTATTTGTAACCTTTCAAAGATCTTGTAATTCTGATTCAATTTAGTTAACAGAGATGGGGCTTTATTTTTGCCGCCAAAGACAGCCGAGGGAAAAGTCACCGAATGTATCAGGGATCTTTACCGAAATCGCCGTATTCATAACGTAATTTTAAGTGCTGTCACGAAAGCACGAACCCAGTCAGAAAATTATTAACTTCCACACCTTATTCTTTGCCAAGTTCTCTTCAAGCATTCATCTATGAGCTGATAAGAGACTCAACTAACTACCTGTAATGGCAGCACATACCCAAGCAATCCCGCTTACAGCCCCACAGGCCGGATCCGAGTCGGACTCAACTCCAGCACCGGCCTTGCCGCCCATCTCACGCAGGAAGCAAGCCTCAGTCCTCCTCTCCGCCTTCGTGACCATCGCTCTTACGATAGGGTATAACCAAACTTTTGGCGTCTTCCAAGAGTATTATCTCTCGCCGGATCAGAATATTCTGGTGCCCTCCCCGGCCTCACAGGCCACACCGCCGACAGCACTGCTCGCCTTCGTAGGCACGCTATGTTACGGGCTGACTTGGGCGGGTGGCATCCTTGTCAATCCTGTGATATCGCGTATCGAGAATGGAACTTGGGCCCTAGCCACGCCTTCGAGTCGGCGATGGCGCCGTAGGATCCTGCGTTTCTTAACGCCAAGGACGATCACTATTTCAGGAGTGGTCATGATGTCTGTTGGCTTCGCGTTGGCTTCCCTCGCCAGTTCCATATGGCAGCTTCTGCTTACACAGGGTTTCCTGGTTGGCCTTGGAATGTCACTCTTGTACTTTCCGCTCCTTGCACCCGCGCCTGAGTACTTCACTAGCCATCGTGCAACCGCCATGGGCTTCGTAAGTGCTTCATCCGCAATTCTATTTCTATATTCTTTGGAACCAGGGCGTTGAATTATATTATACATCTCGGTATCCCGATGAAAATCATATCCGGCCGTTCAGACAATGTGGCATCACCCCTGAAACTCTTGAAGGTATTGCCACTAATCCTTGGTACTCCTCCTAGATCCTAGCCGGTGGCGGTACTGGTGGTCTCATACTCTCGCCTGCAATCCGCGCACTTCTTAGCTCCCTCGGCGGTCGTTGGACCCTCCGGATTTATGCTATCTTCAATCTGGTCGCCGGGCTACCAGTTGCCTGGGCTGTACCGCGGAGTCGGTTTGCAACAGTCCCAGCCGCAGAAAGACCTGAGAGGCGAAATACCCACGTTTCACGCTCCTTGGCCATAAAACCTACATTCCTCTTCTCTGTTGTGGCCGCATTTCTCCAGGTTAGTACTCAAGAGATCTCTGTCTTGCCAGTGGAGCACTATCAATTGTAACCATGGGATAACTTACCTCTGACATTCATACTTTAATCCCCCAACCCTAATCTATCGCATCCATCTTTCAAGATTCCGTAGCTAACCCCTGTAGTCGGCCGGTGCCCAACTTCCCCTCTCCTTCATCCCTTCCTATACAGTAATTCTCGGTCAAACCGCCTCTAATGGCGCCAATCTCCTCGCCGCCAGCAACGCCATAAATGCCGTGTCCCGTGTCGTCACCGGCTACGCTGGCGACCGTCTCGGCCGACAGAACACACTTTTATTGACACTCTTCCTTGCTGCATCTAGCGTATTTGCCTTTTGGCTTTCTAGCATTCTCGCAACTGCCTCGTCGTCGTTCTCGCTTTGGTTAGCCTTCATTGTGCTCTACAGCGTCTCAGCCGGTGGGTATTACGGGCTGTTCCCGGCACTTATTGCCGAAGTCTTCGGGATCCAGCAGTACGCTGCTGTGAACGCGTTCATACTTTTCGTAAGGGGGCTAGGGACTATGTTCGGAAGTCCTGTTGGCGGACAACTGTTGGGAAGTTCGGAAGAGGGAACAGGGGCATATGCTAGTATTGCGTATTGGGATGGCGCACTGTTGATGGGTGCTACAATATGTTGCGTTGGGGTACGATGGGCTGACGGAAAGGGGAAGGGGTGGAAGTGGATTGCTTAACGTCGACATGACCTAGACGTGTACAAGATGAAGAATGACATTCTTCTACTTGCACACTGCTCAATTGGAGCATCCGAGTAGTCTAGACTGAATGGTTTAAAGTCACACTAATTTTGGTATAACTAAGCCATGTTACTCCTAAGGCTTCTTGTATTATAGTAGTACCTTAGTAGTTTACTTACCACATTGCCGACTTTTAGGAGTATATTTTCTATAATATAATGCTGATCTAAAACCCTCTACCTTTCTAAACATAAGAATTGGAATAGACCAAGCCTTTTTACCATGGTTTGTACAAGCAAGGATTAAATATGCTCTTGTTTCCCATTTTGACTACTGACCTTTCTACCAACTTTGGGTGGTCGAGAACAGCAGTCCTATACAAAATAACTCTAGATATTTACTGTTAATCACATTTAGAGATATAGAACATGAAACAGGGCGAATAAAGAAACTGGCCTAGAAGACGGATGAACTACTTATTGAATAATACATGAGTAATATTATTATTTATGTACTCTTGGCTACAAAGGGGCGGGGTTAAGGGGGTTCGCTCCTCGGCCTCATCAGCTAGGTCTATAATTCAACAATATTGAAATAGCGTGTAATTTACCGATGGCGAACTTAAAGGTTTCTATACACTCATCTATACAACTACATCAATATTGCTATGTTATATTTAAATGGGAAATTCCAATTGCTTGTGCTCGGTGAAAGTTGGAACATATGATAATTCAGCCGTTCGAAAGCATCCTCTCTCGATGCGTTGGTAAATCCGATTGGTTGCAATGAATTAATTTAGACAAATAAGCAACGTATAACTCTGTATAAAATCCATGCCCTAGCCCTATCTATCAAGTAAGACTACCCAAACTGCAAAAACACGAATATAAATTGAGAACATAACTCTATTAATGCGTAAACTGCGAACCTATCAAATGCTGGTCTACTTATGAGGTAGCCCGAAGCTCCTTATGCTAGGTGCCCTAGCGGTCTCGTGATCAACTGGTCAGGCGGCGCCTGACGGCTGACCATGTGGTAGGTTGTTGTCACTGTCGGCTCGGTGTTGTATTTTAAGGGCTGTGTGATAGTCTGCCTCAAAAGCATCGCCTACAGAGTCTAGGGTAGCAAATGTAGCAGCGCTCACGCCAGTCCGATTGTTTCTACGAATGAAAGTTCGCAAGCCAGTGAAAATCGGAGAGGGTATCCTGGGGAGTTTGGGAATTGAGTTGTCTGAGCCTGATGTGGATTTCTCGTTGGGCTGCGCTCGAGCCAAAAATTGGAACGGAGTAAAGAATTTATGGAAAAGGCTCTCTACCGGGCTGCGAGGTATTGTATCGTCGGTACTGTTTGCCTGTTTGACAAAAAGCGTACGAAACGCCGTGATTGATGCCATTATGACTGAAACTGCACCTTCAATATGTTGCCAGAAGAACTCCCAGGTGTCATCCTCAAGCCCCTTGTAGTGAAAGCCAGCAAGCCTGACAATAGCGCAAATTACCATGAAGATCGAGAGACAGAGGAAGATTGCCAAACCAAACTTGGTAGACCGGCTGAGGAACGAGCCTCTGAGGATGATAATGGGGATACTAACGACTAACACGACGTGAGTTTTAAGGACAACGAGCTAGCTAATGCGCAAACATAAATAAAACGTACCCATTATATCCGAAAGAATGTCTAGGACCGTAACAAGCGCGACAAGACCCAATGTCTTTTTCTCATCTATGGTCGAACTGAAGCATTTAACTATAAGAAGGTTAGCCTCGGTCCAGCGTTGGCTGATAAGTTATACTTACTTCCTTCTAATCCAAAATATGGGCACACGATGAATGGTTCTGAGACGACAAACGCCCAAGACAAGATACAGAAACCCGCTATGAACCAGTAGTACCAATTTACTCTTCGTGATATATGCCATACAAGCGGGCGCATGAACGCCAGAAAGCACCCCTTGACGGCGAAAGTCGTTGTCCATATTAAGGCCAAAAGCGGGTATAAACTCTTCTGGAGGTAGAGAAGTTCGTCATAATTGGCAAGGAGGTAAGGTAGAAGTTGAGGGGCTAGTAAAGCAGCCGTATGCAGGTAGACGAAATAACAGATATAGTACAGAATGCCCGTGGCAGCACATAGAGAGGCGGCAGCGATGATTAAAAACGCATCGTCCAGATGTAGGCGCTTCTGGTACGTAAGACGTACAGCCAATCGACCGATGAAGCAGCAAAGTGCTAAGCCGGTCAATACTCCAATGGCCACTTGGAAGGCACGCATATGAATCTGGCTGGATGACTCGATGAGCCTTGTAGCCTCTTGAGGATCCAGAGAAGCATCCATGTTTCGCGTCGAGTTTGCCAGGTGTCGACTAGTGATGGTCAATCTTTGAAGAACAGGCCTGGGAAAGGAGGTCTTGGGGATCTTGGGAAGCTAAATAGTCATTTTTGTGCTGCAAGCCCACATGCCCGACTACAGCATTTTCACCTCTATTGGGGCCGCTTTGGGTTTCCATTTGCGTGAGATGCGTTATCTTTGAGCCTTTCTCTTGTGATACATGAGTTGGATCAGAATCTCACGGCGAGAGTGTTCTTTGGTGAGGTTAGGGTCGGTTGGGGGCTATCATACAATTAGAGATTGTTGCATTGGTGAGAAAATGTTTGGGGTCCAATGTAACCCCGAGCCCCTAAATATCCAATATAGTATACGTCGTACCTTCTTTCATTGTACTACTCTCATCCCGTGTTATGGCTATTCGTGACCTCCATGATAACTATACTTAGATCCCGTGTCTCTTTATATTCTTCTCGGTGCAGATGCTTTCTTGGGGTACCAAAATTGCAATATTGGTTGTGGGCCAGCGAGTCCAACAAACCAATTAAAAGCTTGACCTGACTTGGGCCTGATTTGACCGGGTTTGGGTAGATCCTTTTTTTGGCATATTTATACAAGTTAGGTATAAAATTTTTTTTTTGGTCAGTAATAAGATAAGTTGAACCTATATAAACCTACTAATAATTGAATTTTAAGTGATATGATTGGTTTAAAACAACCGGTAATGTATGATTAATGACGTTAAAGTAATGCGATTAAATTTTTTCTATTTAATTTGAAACGCGTAATGTAATATACGATATAAAACGCGTTAATTATACTACCACGCGTAGTATTTCGAGTTTATACGTACTGAGGCTGGCGGTAATCGTGTTTTCGAGACCACGATGATATTTTTGGTGTTTTGGTCAAAAAGTTGTATGAGAAAAGATTTAATAGGTGGTTTAGGTGGGGCTAAGTGGGTATGATGCTATCCCACCCCTTGTATTGACCAATTAAATAGCAGGAAATATGTACCCGAAATTTAGCCGGTATTGCCACCAGTGGTGCCTCAGGCCAATCCCACAATATGTATGGCCAGGTAAGCCTCAATTTACAACATGTTTGACTTGACTCGATAAGGTCAGATATATACGATTATTTGACTTGATTCGGCTTGTTGGACTTGCTGGTTGTGGAACCGTGACGGGAACTAATAATAGTAACAGTTGAGTTACTTAAAGGAGGTAGAGGTACCTACTTATCTGGAGAGTGGCTGTATTGAATACCGACCTTAACTCAGTCAACAGCCCGTGTCAACCTGTTCAGTTCAGTTCAGTTCTAATCCTCTTTGCCGGGGGCGAATGTGACAGTCGTCAATCTTACTCTCTAAGACATATTATTATATTAAGCACCTAGATAAATCGTTTTTAGAGATGCTCTTCAATCTTCTTCCACTCAGCCCGGCTAACCTGTTGGCTTTTTGTTTGCTGTTTATCACTGTGCTTTGGCGTCGGTATGCTACTAAACACGCCCGTCTCGTGGCGTACGAGAAGCGCGACGATGTAAAAGGTATCCCTTCAACGTTCCCCCATGTCTTCCCCTTTCTGGGAAGTCTACCCATTATGTACTTACGGAGCCCGAAAGACTTCGTATTGAACCCCAAGTAAGCACTTCTTATACCATTATCTATTGCAATAACCAACCCATTACAGGAACTTCTTCCAGAGCGCGCACCCAGTTCTAGTCAAAATTCTTACTCAAGAGTTCTACGTGATCCAGGGTCCAGAGAATATCAAAGCCCTCTTTAAGAGCTCTTCGGTGTGCACATCAATTCCCTTCGTCAAGTTCGCTCTTGGGTACGCTTTTGGCTTGCCAGCTAAGGCCCTGAGTTTATACGACAGGGACGACTCCGGCAGTAGCCATGTGCCTCATCCAGGCAGCACGGTGGAGGCTCGCAACCGTATTGACTACCGCGGGCACCAGTCTATAATCCAATTTCTAGAAGGCAAAAAGCTTCTGCCTTTCTGGAACAGGTTCGCAGACGATATTACACAGCAGTTGTATAGTTTGCATGATCGCATGGGGCCTGACTGGGAATACCGCGCTGATCTGATGAAGGTCATTGGAGATGAAGTAACGGTCTCAACCCTTAATGCTCTTTGCGGACCATACCTCCTGAGGCTGAATCCAAATTTCCTGCAGGACTTCTGGGACTTTGACCGCAACTTGCAGACTTATCTCCAAGGTAAAGCACCAGGAAACATATAGTAGCGCACTTGGCTAACCATGTTCACAGGGATCCCTTGGTTTCTTGCGCCAGGGGCCTACGCGGCTCGAAAGAGGGTCCTGAATGCTGTTAAAATCTGGCAGCAGCACGCAAGGGATCACTACGACGACTCCACCGTGGGTACTGACGGTGACGATCCATTTTGGGGGAGTAGCTTCTTCCGAGAGCGACACGAAATGTTTCTCGAAATGGACGGGTTTGACCACGCTGCTATCGCATCCCAAGATTTCGGAGCAATATGGGCGTAAGCTACAGTTTCGGCCCCTTAACGTCAAGATTGATACACGCTAACTTCTCGCATAGAGTAAGAAATTCTATCGCTACTGTATCATGGGCGGTTTTCGAAATATATCGGGATCCTGAGCTGCTTGCTAGTGTGAGGGCCGAGGTTGATACCTGTGCGACCAGAAGCGCGGATGGCCGCATCCGGTTCGATATAGACCAATTGCTCCGTTTGCCAGTCCTCCAAGCTGTATATGCCGAGACCTTGAGACTTAGGATGCACTTTTACATCATCAAGATGCCCGATAGGGTTGATATGAACATCCGAGACTGGATTATACCGAGGCGAAAGGTAACTGTCACGCTGACGACAGTTGCGCATATGGATTCTAAAGCGTGGAACACTGGTTCTAATAACGAGCACCCCGCCAACGAGTTCTGGGCTGGACGATTCCTTAATTATCCGTCTGGAAGTGAGCCCTCCAACGCTCAGGCGCACGGTTTTACCCCCGCGTTCTCAACAAAAGAGTACGAAGGATCATGGATTCCCTACGGCGGCGGACCACGACAGTGTCCTGGCCGGCATTTTGCGAAACGCCAGATATTACTGACTACTGCTTTGATGATTAGCTTATTTGACTGCGAGATATCGGAGGAGGGAAAAACTGTGCAAGAAGATTTGACCTTGAAAGGATTCGGCGGTGGAATATCGCATCCCATTAACCTAGTGCCAATACATATAAAACAAAAGAGATAATACCTAATGCCAAAAGGAGACTGGCCTTCTAGCCCTCCTAAATAAACGACTACGATTTACCATAATCTAATTGATTCATTAACTAGATTGAATTTAAAGTTAAAAGAACGCCCCCTTTTCATGCACAGGCTTTCTTACACATTATGGCATTAACACGTTTCCCTTATCCCCTTATCCCTTTACCCTTTACCCCCATATCCTCGTAACCCCGCCCCCTTACTCCCTTATGCCAATTATCCATTCATGATGGCTTGTAATACAGTGGCTCGTTGAAAACGTGATACCGGTGTCCCCTAACACCTTGTCCTCTGAATAGGGCCGGAAATCTCCATCCTTCAGGAACATCGTGCTCTTTGGCCCTACGGTTTCTTTTTTCCGAACTGGTATCTAAAGCCGCGACTTGAGCTTTTTCGGCCTCACTCTTAGGAACTACAAATTTTGCAACTTGTAGCTCGGTATCTGTGATAGTACTTCGAGACACCCTCGCGTATCCTACTCTCTGTAGGCGTTTATACAAGATATATTCGCACCAACGATCCCAATCACGCGGATCCACGTCGTGCATCCCTGAAATATCGGAGACGTACGTGTTATAGTTGCCTTGAAGAGGCCTGGTCACTAGGTAGGAGAGTAAGATCGACGGCCTTGGTGATGAACCCATCAGTTTGGACATATACTCAGTTTGCAGACGACGATCTTCTGGATCCTCTTCCTGACCAGAATGGAACACGAAGACATCCACTAATTCACCGTAGACATCAAGGGTCGCATGGATAGCAGGAGCCAGTTCACCTACGGGCGACGGAAGTAGATGGTGTGTCGAATTCATAATAGGGAACTTTGACAATAGCGCGGCGCCCCAAGTATGCTTGTTCGGCCCAGGACCATAGTCGACATACATACCTAGATCCTCGGCGAGGAATTGGGTCGTATCCCTATTACCCATTATAATACGTTGCAAGTCGGACTCTAGTAAACCGATAACGTCGATTTCAAGTTCTTTTACTAAATCACGTATGCGGTACTCAGAAGACCACATGTCGTTGTCTAGAGAGAAGTGGATGGTCCAAATTCCAGCAGTGATAAGTCTCGAGTCATTGTGGTAAGGCTTATAATTGTTGGTTGGAAAACGTCGGAACGCAGTAGCGACGAAAAAAAGGTGTATGATGCCCAGTACTAAAGTGTGATACTTGCGATGTCGTGATCGAGATGGAGGTTCACATGTTTCGCGTTGGCGCGAGTGTATCGACGTGATGTTGAATATACCAGCGCCGATGAGCAACATCATTGTCGTCATGATCCAATCCGTGTGTTCGCGAACGAGGGGTCCTCCAGGGACGAAAGCGTAAGCAACCACCCAGACGTGAAATAAAACCATCAAGTTGTATAGGAAAAACCCAAGACCAAAAGTGGTGGCGGGGTTCTTCTTAGAGGCCACGGTAATGAAAGGGGTGGCGATAGCTGTCAAGTAGAAGGCGGTAGTAAGACCGCCGAAGTACCCGAACCAGCCGGGATAGAGAGTGAGGATGGCCGCTCCGACGCACCCGATGCCATAAACAGACCAACTGCTGACTAATTTCGGTAGGCGAATTCCAGTCAATAATCCAGCTGTCATTGCCACTATTGTGAACCAACCATGGGGGCCAGAGAGGGGGCCCCGGGCTGGATAACCATCCCACACCCATAGAATCATGGTGCTGGTATCAGAAAGTAGTGAATGTAAACCAAAGAAGAGACCACCAATACCCAGGGCAGTTAGGAATGCCGAACCGTTCTGCCTGTCATCTTCGGCGACGCCAGTATTAAGAGGCGCCCTACGGGTGAATCTAAGCGTAGCAAATACTGCTAATACCAATCCAGTCCCGTTATAGCCACCGTTGGCGGCGTGCATGATCGGCCATATCGGGTTGTTAGTTTGCCATGCATATTTGACAGCGGAAGACATTACTAGACCGACAGTCCAGGCTAATATTTTCGACTCGAGACGGACCGGGTGAACCGATTCAGAGAACAAAGTGGCGGCCCACGCCAGACAGGACATCGCGACGCCAAAACCAACCGTAAAGAGTCTGTAGGCTGGATCTTTGACCTGCCATGCGAGAATTCCAGTGAGAGACAAGAGATGACAGGCGCGTAGATTCTGAGTAATGAGCGAGCGGACTGGTTTAATACCAAGAAGTAAGGGCGAAATTGTAGACATTACGAGTGCTTCGTAGCCTGAGATGCCCATGTGCCAAAGTGGGAAGTACCAAATAACCACGCCCAGACTTGTGAGCATAGACCAGAAGACGAAGCCATGGTAGACCTCGGCAGCAGTGTCGAATATTTCAGGCCAAGAAAATTCAGCATCGAAGATACCGGCAGTAATCTTTCTTTTTTCCTCTTCGAGAACGGCGGTTGCTTGAGACGATACGTTGACCCTGCGAAACCGATCAGAAAAAGTGACATGGTAATGCCGAGTCAACCGCATGATCGCGTCAAAACTCGCCCGAACAGATGCCGCTGTCGCCCCTAAGCAGCTATAACATATCTGCATTGGGAAGACCAACTATTTTCTAATATAGGAGCCTGCACAGTGTTTATTCCAGCAAACCAGTTGATTATCGAACTCATGACAGATTCCGCAGGGGATAATGTTCGTGACAGGTTGCACCCATCATGGAAGTCCCATAGACTAATCTGGCCAATGATAATCTCAGCGAAATAACGATGTCCGACAGATACGTAGAGAAAATCTACCTTATCTTGGCTGGTTCGTAATAATTGTCGACCTCGATTGCTCCATATATGTGGCTTCGTGTGAAAAACAAAATAGGGGCGCAGCATCTAGTCCCAAGCGAGTATGCACATCATATTAAGTCTACCTGGGGAGCCATTGTACATACCCCTTACTCAAACCTTTGTCCCTAACTACAATCTCAAAAGTATCGAAGTCGAGAGCAGTAACCGCGTCAAAGGCGACGTCAAACAGGATAAGAGACCACTCGAGGAGCGAATAAATAGTGTAAGCTACAAGTAGTGAGTATTCTCTCCACTCGAAGCTTTGAACTAACGTGTACTGACCTCCTGCTACCCGGCGGATCTTGTGCTGAATAAAGAAGTAGATCATCGGAGGTATCATGCCGAAGAAAGCTGTTGCGAGATACTTTCGATACTTGATAGCTTTCGGGTTCGGTGGGCTCAAGGCGATACAGCCAAAGGTCCACGGGATAGTAGCTATAAGATAGGAAATCATGAAGATATCATGCCAATCATGATCGTCGGTCGAGGTCACGTAGGTCCACCCCCCACACGTAAGAGTCCTAAAAATACCCACACCAGCGATGAACTTGGGGAGGGCCTTTCCGGGCTTCGCGGTAAGGAGATACCAAAGGGTGACGAGTGCAAATCTAGGTCCGGAAGTCAAAGCTATGAAGAGCATAAAGAAAGATCGCTCGGGATATCGATCGCCTATGGTGGCAGAAACGGAGGGGAACCATTCGTCGGGATAGCCGTAGAATTCATTCTTGACGATCTTATGGTAGTGAAGGTACATGCCCACAGACAGGGCACTCAGGAAAGCAGCTATTTAATCCCATTGATCAGTTGAAATCGTGTCTACCCAGGGAGGGCGTATATTTCACCAACCGTATGCGACAACAGTATGAACCCACGATACCCATTTCGCATTTAAAGTGGCTACCGTCGTCCCGGTATCCTTATCTTTGTACTTGGATGACATATTCGCATTCCCAAGTTGGGAGCCAAACGAGCCTTGCGTGGATGTTAAAGTTGAGTTGCAAGAACCAAACCAAGGGGTGAAATAAAATCAACGGGAACAGTCGCAACGAACGTCGGGGGGAAAGAAGGGGTTGAAAAAAAGAAAACTTGGAAGTTGCGTCAATGTTCTAATGTATATGGTTAGGTATGTACCTAAGGTACCTTCCCATTTGCTTCTCCGGATTCATCGGTGCTACGGTTGACCAGACAAGCCACTGTGCCAAAATGAAAAAAAATAATCGCACACTAAACTAAAGTTGGTAGGAGGTCACTTGCCACAATTTAAAAAATATTAAATGTATACTTCCAAGCCTTATTATGGTTTATTGTAATAAAGATATTGATTTAACCAATATAATGTAAAGGATTGGCCAATCAAATTAAAGGATTTAATTGTCAATTCAATTGTCAATTCAATTTTCAACTACCACATCTACACATTTAAATAACTTTACAATTACAGCAATTACAACATTACAATTGGTATCATTTTATAGCCTCAATTGAAGCGAAAATAATTATCCAGGTTGTATGCTTATACGATGTATTGTTATTAAGATATCTAAAGTCTTTTGAAAACAGTCGTCTCAAAGGGTATCACGTGTACGTACAGGTCTCTGGAATGATACATAGGTACCTAGGGCTGTCATACATATGTATATCGTCAAGTACCTCCCCCACCATACAAATTTACTACTATACACTTGTACTTTTGGAATACCTAGGCCCAACCTCCTAGGTATTCTTTTTAAGATGCGCGCCCTTCTATTGGCTAAATCTTACACCGCCCGTCTGGCAATATCCTTATCCTTACCTATCCTTATACACCACATATCTGTTACAGCTTCATGTTTAATCAATTCAATTCAATCAATTCAACAACGATGCAAGGCCTGTATGTCTTTATTCGATGCATTATTATACTGCTTTTACTTGGTCGCATACGTTGGTTAAAGACTATACGGTCGCATACAGTCATTCCGAGGCAAAAAGGCTGAAAACGAGGTCTTTTTAAATGATCTCTGATATATGTATGTATGTATGTATGTATGTATGTATGTATGTATGTATGTATGTATGTATGTATGTATGTATGAGGCTGGCTGGCTGGCTGGCCAATCAGGAGGCTGTATTGTATAAGGCTATTTGATTAACAGTTACCTTTTAAAATGACTGTTTTCAAAAGACTTTAAATATCTTAACAACAATACATCTTATAAACATGCAACTTGGATAATTATTTTCGCTTCAATTAAGGCTATAAAATGATACCAATTGTAATGTTGTAATTGCTGTAATTGTAAAGTTATTTAAATGTGTAGTTAAATCTTTTAATTTAATAAAAGATTAAAAATAAACATATCCTTTTAAAACATATTATTTATAACGTTATAACGTATGTATTTAAAAAGGCCAATTCCTTTTTCCCATACAAAAGTGCGAAGTACCGCAATAAATCGAGCTAATTGCGCTAACCTGTGGCTGACTACCCTTTTAAGCTAAGCTTACAGATTTTTTTCATTTTGGCACAGTGGCCTGTCTGGTCAACCGTAGGTGCTAAAACTTTTAGGTACCTATCTTTGTGTGGGTCGATGAGCCAAGAAGGTTCAATCCGTGGTTTGTCGCGTGTGTCGTGCACAAAAGTGATAGATCCCTGCCGCTAAGTGGTCCAAGCTTCTAAAGGCTCAAGGGTTTCATTGCATACCAGCGGACCGAATATTCAAGCTCCAAGATCCCACCAGCCCACTAAAATTTAAGTACATTAGGTACCTGTTCTGGGACGGGTACCTATCTTATCTTTAAGTCCCACTATAATTTTATTTACTTTCTTCTGAAACTTTTCTGAACTGCTGGATTCTACATAGAACCTACTCACTCCAAAGTCTTGGGACCACACAAAACCAATTCGCCTCCAGCCTAGTCGACCTGAAGGCTTCAATCTGGTGATCAGACAGTCACTATGGCAGGAGTCCCCGAGAAAGCTCGATTCTTTCTCGAGCAAGCTGTTCCCCAGCTACGCGAATTTGAGGCCAAGGGCATATTCACCACCGACGAGATCCGTTCGCTAGTGCGAAAGCGTACCGACTATGAGCACCTTGTACTGTCGCCTGGAAACAAACCGACCGATTGGTTAAACTATGCCGCTTGGGAGAAATCCCTCGAAACCCTACGCGCGAAGCGATGTCGTAGATTACAGGTTCGCACTTCATCCAAACACACGGGGCAAGGACGGGTTTTCGGGATCCTGGAGCGAGCAGTGAACAGGCACCCAGGGAATATCGAACTCTGGAGGGAATACTTGAATTATGCAAGAGATATGAAGGCGACCAAACGTTACCGAAAGATCATAAGCAGGGCATTAAGAATGCACCCTGCGAAACCAGAGCTCTGGGTACTGGCGGGTAGGAGGTCAGCAAATAATGGAGACATGCAGGGGGCAAGGGACTTTTTTATGCGCGGCACTAGGTTTTGCACGAAAGATGCGACAATCTGGCTTGAATACACCAAGTGCGAAATGCAGTGGCTAGAACGGATGGATGCTAAGAGAGAGAAGAAAGGCGGCGCCAAAAAAGCGATCCAAGAACAGGCTGAACAGAGTGATGATGAAATAAAATTCGCCGAAGAGAGGAGCGATGATGACGACGACGACGATGTTGATGAGAATGGCCAGCTTGTTCTCCCAGATCCAGGAAACTTCGCTGGGAAAATGGTTATTGACGAAGACACCACGAAGAAGTTGGAAGGCACCTCGGAGGGCAACCCTGCGCTAGATGGAGCTATCCCCTTAGCTATATTTGACATCTCAAAGAAGCAATCGTTCTTCAACTCTGCGGTAGCGGAGCAATTCTTCGACCTCTTCACTACTTTCAATACCGTTTCCGCTCAAGCTCGACTCGTCCAACATGTACTAGACAGTATGACAGAGCTTTATCCCAACGATCCCGCAACATGCTTCTGTTATATCCGACAGCCATTGGTTAATGTCGGCATAAATACACCTTCGTATCCTAAAGCTCTACGGGAAGCGCTAGCCAATCTCAAGTCATCTCTTTCCACCACCACCGACAAGACTAAACTGATCGAGAAGGTGGAATTGTGGATAGAGCCTATCCTAGCTTCTGAAGATCTCGATACGGGTATCCGTACAGTGCTGGAGTATACCCTTCGAACATTACCTAAGCCTTAATAAGAACAAATTACCCCCGAGACTCTATTTCACATCTTATAGGACCTTATTGGGTCTCGCCGCCTCGCTGCTTTACTACATCCATTAAATACTCAAATTCAGAAGCGCTCACGCGGCTCACGCTTAGCCGGCTCTGTTTCAGCATCTGCATATTCTCAAGCGGTTGACCTGACTGGCCCATCTCACGAAGTTCCTTCAGTCCGATCTGTTTGTTGAACTTACTGCGGAACTTGACGTGCACGACGCTCCATTTCGGGTTATCGGGTTTGGAAGAAGCGTCGTAGTATGGTGCCTTGGAGTCATGTGCCGATACTAACATACAATAAGGAGCAAATCCGTGCAATTGGGGCGGAGCACACTTACAGTCGGGGGAATGTTCTTGCACGATCTCCATTGTACCCACGATGCCCGGCTCTTTGCAATTAGAGTGGTAGAAGAAAGCTACGTCGCCTTTCTTCATGGCGCGGAGGTTATTCCGGGCGACATAATTACGAATCCCTGATAAGCTCGTAAGCATCTAGATGTCATATATAAAGCAGAGATAGCTGGTTACCAGCTGGAAAACTAGCTTATTATAAATATAAAATCTTACCATCCCAGGGTTCAGGTTCTGTTCGCGACGCCAAATCGTCAATAGAGAATTTGACATCAACGCCATTTTCAAACCGTGACTCGGGCTCAGCTTTTAACAGCCAATACGACCTTTCGGAAGAGTCGGGCGTCTCATCTGCCTCAGACTTTGTGGCTGTACTTGGCTGCGTGGTACTCTTCGCCTTCTTTGATTGTGGATTTTTCTACGGCACTCTTAGATTCATTTACTTAAAGTGCAACGATGATTTAATACTACTGAAAAAAACACAAATTCTTACTGGAGATGCCTTTGAATTAGGCAGCTTCTTGGAAATCTTCTTCTGGTCCGTTTTGGGGAGTTGAGTCGCGCTTTTTTCTGTCGACTTGTTCTCAATAGCATCGGTCGCTAGATCTGGAGCTGCTGGTTTGCGACGCGTCGATCTTCTTAGACCAGTAGCGTCCGGCGCGGTCTCGAGCTGGCTTGCTTTTCGTTTCACCATGTTAAATGATTTGATTTCCCTATACTGGAAATAAGTTCCGAACGAACGAGTAAAAATTAGGAACGTTTCCGGATATATTATTAAACAATCGACGAACGACGTGAAGTTTGATGTTGTTCTATCTGAAGTCCATACGAATTAACGGTTAGATGCTTAAATGAGAGAGGTGCGCACGGTCCAGATGCACGTGGGTATATTCAATATATCTTTTTACGAAAAGTTGAAGAGTCGACTCTATTGCTCTTGACCCCAAGAGACGTTAACTCCCTAGGTACATAATCTACATATATGCCTAGCGGTATATTTGCATATGAGCCCCCTTAATGGTCCTTGTCAAAGACCGAACTGTATATACCGCAGTTCCGTTATATGATAGTCGCCTGCATCTCTCGTTGCCAATATTGTCCCGCCAGTCCCAGCAAAGGCTGATACTAGGTGTAAATGACGGCCACCAAGGGAACAATATCGGATATGCCATGTTCTCCTAATGTTCGATGGAGCCGTATATTCCGATACTCTCCATCCACTTGTTCGTACAGGCATGGATCCATGAGCCGCAGACCCCCATGAACAACATCCGCAACGCGGAAATTCTTGGACTGCTCTATTTCGTCCTTCGTCGCCTTCGTCAGCATGGGTCATATGCGGTTAGACATACCATAACCTTACCAGGTAGACTTTTGAATCCATCTTCTTCGAGGTTGCGTGAGACCCAGGCGTTAGCGCCATAGCAGCAGTTGAGAAGCATGACGACGGGCCAGTCAATATTAGCATCATCGCTACGTGAGCCGCCCCGTCGAGCCACGCCAAAAGGCCGAGGCGTTGGCCTTCTGGAACTCCTATGCCCGTGGCTAACGTAATAAACTACTAACAGCTCGTCAGACTGTAATACTCGAGTCCAGTCCTTCAAAAACTCGGTAGTTTTCTCGACAGGGTCATCGGTCATGATATAATGATCTTCAGTTTACCATCCCCATTCAGACAATGTCGTCACTAGCTTGGTAGCTTCGTGCGCAGGTCCATAATGGCCATTGTCGAGCTTTTCGCCATGCCAATGGAGGATTATGGCCTTGATAGTGCAATACTTCCTTTCTAGTTCGTTGGTGTCTGAGCCTAGCATCGATGCCTCCTTTCATTTTTCTAATGGTGAGGCCGATAATGCAAGTGACATTGCCTTGGGGCTATCAATAATTAATGATAGTCTGTTTAGGAAATGATGGTATAATTAGGCTCGGTGTTCTATGAGATTTGGAACGAGATGACCATATAAGACATAATACTTGCGAGGTAAAGGAATTCCTTACTTTTGAAGGCTTAACGGCGGATCAAGTGTTGGCAATGAAGCAAGATTGGGGCGTTATGAGACTGTCTAATGACGCTGTCTAATGACGCTGAAAAATGGTATCGTATATGGGATATCGTATTTCGTAGTGTTTCTCACCCTGCCTCTCCTTACTATGACAGTGGAATGAGGGTGCCTCTGGGAATGATAGAGAACTACATGGCGACTGCACTCCCTGTAGTTATTTGTCGGAACCTAACCTTTAGGATAGGCATTTCACAGAGTGTTCTTGACACCATTGTGCCTTAGTTGTACGGGGTAGTTCAAGAATGTTTTACTCAACTTGGAGGTGCACTTCAGCCAACGTCAACTTCACCCCTATCAGGGGAAATTGGACATAATCTAGACGAACTGGTTGGCTCGGGTGCTTCTGTACTGCATAATTCCAATGAGGATGGCGAACACGATGCGAATCAAATTAACCGTCAACTACCGGCCATTAGGTATCAACTCACAGCCTAACAACACCCCTTCCAACAGGCTCGCTGAAAAGCCTCCATGGACTAGAACACAGCAAATCTCGATAAATATCCCCTCAGACGGCTTCCAATAATAGCCCCAATTCTACTAGGGAATCTCATAGTCATGTGCCTCATACCACGCAGCCGATACCAATTGAGGGCTTCCAGGACATTAACACGATACAGAATGTTCAGTGGCCAATATTTTGAGTGTTCTTCTCGGACTCCTCAATGTTTCCAGTAATAGCGGCTATAACCCGTTGTAGGTAGGAAAAGTGATGGTAGAGCTGCCTCGCGAGCTTTCTTCTTTAACTTTGACAAGTTACAAATGGGACTAGATTTCATCTTCGCATTTCGTAATTTTAAGTATACCTTTGTGCTTCAATTGGTTCTATATTCCTGTGCTTAGGTACCTAAGAGGTATGTTTTAGGTTTGTTTTTGAAGCTTTGCGATGGGTTGGACGTCCAGTAATAGTGTTGGCTTTCGCCTCCTCATACCCAAAGGGTGCTGCGCATTAATTAGAAAAAGGCCAGTAATTAAGGATTGATCCCAGACATTTCCAAATAGGAGGCGAAAGCCAGCACTAATGGTGTCAATATCTTGCCTCGTGCTATAGTTCTAGAGAAATTCACCAATTGCTAGGCCAGACACGATATTTCGCAGACAACCCCCCCAAGCTTTACTACTAACATTAGGAGGTACTCAGGATATGAGTTATATGTGTCTGTACTTTCGCTATTCAATTTTAACTGTTAACTACCTATATAATAACATATTGCAACTTTGCAATAACAATCCTTCGAAAGCTAAAATAGCCATTGTTTTATCCGAGTGACTCCAAATACGAAGATCTGCATTATGCAATTGCTTTCGTTTTCCGAAAAAAAGGAAAAAAGAAACCAATGGCGGCGAGCTATTAAACTTAGCGTGGAAAGCCAAAGGATAATTCCCAAGAAAACTATTAAATACCACATATAACATGCGTTCAACTTGCGCCTATAGGTAACCTATACTTTAAATATCATGAAGAAATAAAGGATCGTGGTATGACTGGGGAAATATTACGTCTGACGAAGAGGGAAGATACGCGCTCCCAAATTCAGCATTAAGAAGGTGAATATTGTTTATTGGTGAACTTTTGGAGGCTATCCAGCTGGCTGGGCCATCATCAGCCTTGTTGATCCTTAGCGCTTACAGAGATTCCTAGCATCTCCATAATACAAGGCTAAGCTACCCTATCATGTCTACCTTTTAAGAACGCATTTTGAAATTGGCTATGCAGCTATGGTACCGCTGGGCTGAGTAGACTACCAACACAGACCAAGGGTTTGCCTTATTGGTTTAGTTTGGCATGCAAGCTAAGCGAGCCAAGCAATATAGTAACTCATCCCGTGCAGCTCCAACGACGCATTGTCCCGTTAGGTGACCATTCAGCTGTTTGCGTTCGAACTCGACATCGCTTTTACCTAAGGGAGAACACGACAGAGAATGAGGAGGCTTGCAGCTCTCCACATGGAACGTACCAATCCAACATGCTGCCACCCATGCTTGGTAGCAACTGTCACTTACCACCCCGGGTCACTCTAATTTTCTTTTCTTTTCTATCTTCACATTCCGGGACTCTGACCTGCTTTCCTCTTGCAAAATTTCCGGCTTCGTGAAAAGCTAGGAGTATAGTCGCAATGAAGTTACTGTTCCTATTGTTAGCCGTGGCGGCCAGGTTCTCGCCCATCTACGCCCAGACAAAAACTACAGGAGGGGCCGAGCCCACGGCTACCGAGTCAAATGAGGCGGTCACGCATACTGTCCGGGTCGGATTACAACATGATTTTCAGCCTGATACGATAAAGGCGAATCCCGGCGATACGATACGTAAGTTAGACTAATACTTCCACTGAAGCAATACTTTAACATGTTCCTCTTAGGGTTTAACTTCTACCCCAAGAACCACTCCGTCGTTCGAGCAGACTTCAAGAAGCCCTGCATACCGTGGGAGTTAACCAATGACCCTGCCGAGAGCTTCTTCAGCGGCCCGGTGGAACAAGATACGCTGCAGACGCCAATTCCTACTTGGGACTTAAAAGTGAACAGTACAGACCCAGTCTTTTTCTATTGGTAAGTGTAACAGAGACCCTGAGATTCTAATTGTGATGCTGATCAAATGAAAGCTCCGCACCCGGGTCTTGTATTGATTGGAAGATGGTTGGCGTCATTAACCCGGTATGCGTCTAATGGTTACCTGTCATGTTAACAATATGTGTTTCTAACTTCGGTAAAGAATAAGACATTCACTTTGGATATCCAAAAAGAATTTGTCGCGAACTCGACGTTTCAACTCAGTCCCGGTGAAGAATTCCCAGACGAATCATCGCCCTCCAGTACAGCAGGGTCAGGCAGTAATCCAACGTCAACGTCAACGTCCGAAGACTCATCCGGTGGATCCGGGGGGACATCGCTCTCCGGCGGGGCTATCGCGGGGATTGCTATCGGAGGTGTTGCTGTCATCGCTGGCATTGTCGCCTTGGTCTATATCTGCGGTAGGAAAGGCGGGATCGAAAAGGGATACCGACGAAGCAAGTTGATCAATACGGCGCCGACGCAGATAGTCGAAGCGAACTACAACGACTATGGCGCCAAGAGTCCTCCCATGGGTTCGCCTTACGCCGTGTCGTACGCGGATCCGTACAGATCGCCAAGTCCGGGAGCCATAAGCTCTCAAGTTGGAAGCCCGCATAATTCGTATTTGGGGCATCCGAGTCCCGGGATTCCACCATACGGTCCTGCCAGCCCTCCTTTTCCTGGACAGGAACAATACCCATTGTTGTAAGGATATTCATGCCATTACGCTCCAAGACTTTAAAATCTAACATAGAACAGTGAGGCACCTGATTCTCAAAGAAACCCGCCAGTAGAACTCCCCGGGAGCATGGATCACTCGTATTTGCGTTAATAAATAATGTATATGATCTAAAGCATGACATCTACATAGATGACTGCTTGAATACCTTTGGGTTATTCCGTATAAACACTGTAATGGCGAAATAGAGGGTTGGATATTGGATATTGATATTGCATTAGCACGGCGCTGGGAGTTTTATTGAATATCGTTGTTTTCATGATACCTAAACACACTGGTGCTATATTCATGTCATAACGACGATTAGGTTGTCATGGCGGGGACGGGAAATGGGCGGAATATAAGCTTGTGATGTATATGGAAGTAAAACTAAAACTGTCTTACCTAATACGAAACGATACATTGGTGAAGTGAGCTTCGCGAGACCCAAAGAGAGATGAGAAGCCAGAAAAAGAAGACATGTTTTTCCTATCTTTGTTCTCAACGAGTTGATCCGTATAGATAACTGGGAGGTACCTAGAATTTTATATTCCGAAATGATGGTTTAGTGGATTGTTATCTATTCACCCAGAGAATACTTCGTCTTCTAGATATGTCGTTTACAAACTTATACCCGTGCATTCATAGCAACGAACAATACAGTAAGTATGCTGTGGAGGTGTGAGTAAAAAGAAAGGAAACGCAACTTTATTAAAACAGGAAGAACTGCGAGTCCAGCTGAGACTGGGCAGCTAATATAGCCATATGTTCTTGGTTCTATGTGTCTCTGTAGCTTAAACACAAGTTAATATCATTTTTAAGGCTCATACATGCCACGCAAGTGATATGTCAGAATATAAACTCTAGTTAAGTCAGTTTTCCGTAATAGACACGGATGACAATCTCATTCATCGGATGAAGCTACTATGAAGCGATATCAAACAGGAATCCAAGTATCGTCATTTTCATCCCTTACAGCCACACTATTGCCCACTTTACGCGATAGCGGGCGAGCAGGGTGTTAGAGAATAGAAAACGGAGGAGTATAGATTAGCTCAAAAGCTTTTCTAGATCATCCAATCTCTCATATTGTGAAGTCATGTTGCCTTACCACATGACGCCTCATGCTAGTTAAGATATTTATCAAAGAAATATACCAGAATGAGGCCGGTTTCATAGTTTATGTAATATAAGGTTTGAAGGTCGTAAATCCAATAACTACTTAGAAATGCGACGCGGTTTTCGTAGTATTTGACACGTATAGAGGTATACCCACGACGGTTCTATAGCAGTACTTACCTACTTCATCCATTCTCGGAAACGGGCATATGATAGAATCTACTGGCTGTGTTTTGAATATCACGACGAGTAGTCGAGTTGAAACACATTCAATGGTTTTATGGTAGTTACGGTATATTATCATTATTAGATCTCAACCTCTCCAGCAAGTGGCGGGCTATCCTTTGTTTTTTTGACTTTTACGGAATTTTGCCGAAATAATAAGGTAGCGAAAGGAACACGGCTTATTTGAGGTTTGCTTGACCTCTATTTGAAGTCTAATAGTATTAAACACTAGTGGCAACTTCGTACCCTCCTTCGCTAGGCGTAAAAGCTTGAAATTTGATGTTTAATACCAAGTGTGGAACGTACAAGGCCATAAGTGCCGTTTATAGAAGTCCTAGCTACGTATTACCTATTAATTCAATAGTATGTATCTCGACTGCTAGCCAAACTCTCGAATTTCGTAGCAGCTTGCTAGATTCTATTAATTACCTACATATCTAGGTAGTTGTGTAACCCACCAGATCATCGGAGAACAGGTATCTGTGTTAATAAAATTGGATCTGTCTGATATATCAGGTAGCTTACCTGGGCACCTGATATGATAGGTATTAGTTATCAGACTATAAGACGTTATTGGTATACCTGAAGGAAAACTGCTTAAGTCTCTTAGGTGAAGATTAAGAGTAGATGCCTAAGATATACCCGAGGTCATCAAGTAAACTATTATAGATTCAAAAAGAATGTTATGGTATTTCTTCGATAATAAGCTAGAAAATATCCGCGTACTTCCACGGAGACTGATCCGGGAAGCGCGTGATATAAAGGAGCCTCGGAGGCATCGCTCTAGTCAATTTGAGTATTTACTAGTCTAGTGCCCCAGTCACACCGGAGTAGCTTCTATTCAACAGCATACAATAAGTCCTACCATCTGGCTCACATGGTCTTAGTAGAGTGTTTTCATAGGCTACCAAGGTAGGCATAATAACTCCAACTTTATATTGCTTGCCTATCTATCATCCTGTTTAACGAACCCCATAATTAATGAAGACTTGTTTTGATCCTAATAATAGCAAACATATAAGAGAGTGTTAGCGGATAAATACATGTATATACTTAAGTAGGCAAATTGTACAGCTATTAAAAAAGTGTAAAAATCTTGCCCTGTAGATGATAAGGGGAAAAAGTAGATGCTTCTTACGGATATTTAGTCAAACCTGATTCGTGGTTTGAGTCGTGTGATCGCTCTTAGTTTCGATACGATCCGCATTATGCAGGTAGGGAACACCCAAGGCAGCCGACATGCTAACCGACTGCCTAGTATGTGCCATGCTACGATCAGTCGAAACATGAAAATTATTACGCAAGCATCGGACGATCCGATCTGAGTGGTAATCTAGGTCGCTGTGGAAGGCTTGGTGGCATGCTCTGGCGCCACAGGAAGTCCACCCCTCTCCTATACGTACACTCTCTTATACATACATGATGTACAGTATGTACTTGGAGTCTATCGGTACCTCCATCACGAGACTTCTGCTGCGAGCATGCACCATTTAATGCTGGCTGCGGCTTGCCCTTAGTATACTGTATGTAATCTCACCGCTACCATGTAGGCACATGCGGCCTCCGATGCCTCGCATGATGCATAGTCGATAATCAAGGCAGTGAGTCAAAAATTTAGTTCCAGCAACTACCCTTTTGATCGAGGCTTAGTTGTAATTGGAGAATTAAAAGCTGCATATTTCGGCCAATAATTCGTAGCAATTGATCGGAACTACCGTCAGATATCTTCGCTCCATTATGACAGCCTTCTATGTTATACTGCTACCCTGGAGATAAGGTGGCGAGACGAGTTGGGGGCTAGACTTGGTAGAGGACATATTGTACTTCCTGAGGCTAGCCTGAATTCGGATGCGTCCGCGGGGGAGTCATACAGGATTGATGCCTAGATAGCTTGATATCGACTTGTAGGACTTGACAATGGTCTCATGATATCACAAGTCAAGTTGTCGTTGTTTGTTCGAGGTGATGACGTTTGTGGTGAGGTCGGACCTGTCCGAATCTGTTTGATAATGAGCTCTTGATAATGGGTGTTTGCGGAGACTGTGGTCATTATCTAATATGTATGTACATACCTGTAGGCACCTACACAGCCACTTCAGCTAACTCAGCCTCATCAATTGAGGCCAAAGTGGGTTGTTTCGAACCCCCCCAGGGTTTTTTAGTTGGCGATGCAAATCTGCCTAGCGTAGGGCTGAATCGTGTAATTCGCTATCTTCCACAGTCCTAGGCGGGGTTTAACCCATCTAGGAAGACGGGATCTTTCTGCTTCCTGTCGTCATGACCGAAACTTCTTAAAATGTGACGAAATAATCCAAACTCTTGCATCAAGATATTGGAGATATAGTCGGTTGCCTCTCGGACGTTCTAGGGGCCCACTGAATCCTTTCCTGGTTTTTGTTCTTTCGAAGGCAAGTGTACGGTGAATGTATGTTACAGATAAGCGCGAAGGCCGTTGCCATGGGCCGTGGCACAGATGCCGTAGTAAAGTGGTGATACCTTTACATCACTGAGGACCAGCTCTAACGAAGTTTTACATACTCAACATTGATATGCTGACGCAGCGCGTCGTCCAAAAGTAGCACTAGTGACATGGCACGTCAGCTGTATTAAATATTTGGTTGCTCATTTCGCTGCAAGTTAATCCGAACAGCCGGAAAGAGTGGTGATAAAAGCAATTAAAAATAATTCTGACATTCTGACATTCTGATATTATTATCTACGTAAGTTGCGAATAAGGGGGAAAAATGGGGTGAAATATTTTTGGCAAGTATTGAACTTGTGACAATTTATTTAACCCGTACGCGTAATACCTATGGTTGTGTATGGTTTGTGTTGAATTGGGAAATATGTATTAATAGGTTGGGGGGTGCGGCAAATATTGCAAAAATCCGGAAGCGAGCATTGGGCATCGACAATCGACAAGCGACACGGAGATGAAAATCCTTCATCATGCAATCGAAACTTGTCAAAGCTGAGCTGAGCTGAGCTATGTTTGACCTGTCCCCCCTTTTCATCTCCCTTTGAGTAGGTAGGTATATTCTTGGGAATTATTGAGTGTGTGTCTATAACGCGTTGTTGATGATTACGAGCCCTCCAATTGATGTATGCACCAATTAGTGAGTGCCTATGTAGTCCTACATACCTAAGGTATCTTTTTTGCTGCCTGGGATTAGTGTACACATATTAGGGTAGTTTTTCTACATGTCTGCGCTAGCACGAGTACCTACATTAGCTGAATATTAGTTGATTGATAATAGGTAGGTACCTACCTGATAGTAAGAAAAAGCAATGTAGCCTAGAATTAGCACATAACACGTGATATACAAACCTTGGCTAAACTGTTAATGGTCAATTGAAGAAGAGGGGTTTTTCAAAAGAATGACTCTTTTGTTTTTACACTTCTACATTGTACATACAATTCATTGTACATTATGCAAGATTTGGCAGAGCAACCCCGGACTTTTGCGTCTCACAAAAAAAGACCAAATGATGAATTGCTAATTGTCGTGTTTCCCGTAAAGGTGTAACTTTCAACTTACACAGAGGGCACGTGTCCACGGGAAACATCAATGTTCTAGATCACCAGCCTTCGAAGTCAGATAGTTCTCACTTCTACTGTTGGTACAAATGCTTTTGCCGGTGTAAAGTGGCTGAGTGTTTCCGATCGGGATAAGTTAATTCTTGATGCTGTACCAGGTAAACTACCAGGTAAACTACCAGGTAAGCTACCCTGGTATCTATCGCCGACTTTGCAGCTTTGCCACGATGCGACCAGCTACCCTAGGATTTGGAGTCTTGGGGCCTTGCATCGATGTGCGGGAAGGCTATGTCCTCCACATTTGACGCCAAATCACATCGAGGTCGATGACTCTCTCGGAACCCATTTGGTCGACGAGATGCATCATAGCGGGTGCAAACCTTCTGCAGGTCACCACCTCTCGCATTGGTAACTACTAGGTAACTATCAATCTAGCACATCTAGCACATCTAGCCCATCCTACCTAGAGCTTACCTTAGGTTGTCACCCCATTACCGCACACTGCATTCCACAGAATTGGACATGTAGCAAATAGGACGAGTCGAGAGATCCGTTCATGCATACCTACCTTTTAGTTACTACCTATGTCCCAGAGTTCCTCCCCGGCAGAACTACTTTCTTATGTTGATTCTTAGAGTCACTCCCCGCGCATGTCTCACGCCGCGCTTTGTATCATGCAAATCACTATCCTATTTGCTTGGTCTACAATTCTTGTAGCAGTTGTAACAGAAATCTCTTTACGCGCTGATATAGAACGAACTCGTCTTTCCAGCCTTATGAGAGGGGAAACGTTCAAGGGTCGTTCATCGGCGGCCTCTATTTGGGTTGCCTCTTGCGCATCCTCCCGTCTCGAGTCTATCAGCAAAAAAAAAAAACTCAAAAAAAAAAAACCTCGAGTGAGTGGCCGAAGAGGGCGATCAAAACTGGGATCCCTCATGGAACGAACCCACGCGGTCGACCTTGCCATGGGTGGTACCGCGTCCATGGGTGTGAAGCTACACACTCAGCTACACACCCATCCAAATTCACCTTGTACCCCAGTCCGGTCACCCGTCTTCCTTAGGCCAAACACTGCCTCTCTCGGCCGTGAACATTATTGGCTCCGTCTGGAAACATACCATTCCTTTCTGGTGTGCAACCGATACGGAAGAATGATTCATCGGCCCTGGTAACGCAGGCACCCAAGGAGTGAACATGGGTCAGAAGGAAAGGGATGTCGAACCCCTGCTCGAAATTATTATGTACACCACAAGACGAGGGGAAAAAAAAACCTACAGGTATGTACCTACAGAAAGTCCTGAGAATTTCGATACTCCCATACTTAAAGCACCGAACCCTACCCCCCCATTCCTGTTAGTTTTACCTCTTTACAGCACATCTCGTTGGATCGTCTATCTTGAATCACCTTACGGAATTCAAGAAGGTGTCAGTTACTAGGCACCAGTCACTTCTCGAAAGCATACAAATTCCTCAGGCTTCCCCTTCCATATCACCCAGAGAATTCCTTTCCCGATGCCCTCATGTCTCTAGGCCCAGAAGCTGAACTCCCTATTAATCATTCCGTCTCTGACACTGCCGACTGACCACACTGTCGTGGCATCTTACCCAAGGATTATCGTCAACAACTCTGTCTACAACCACAAACATTCACCTGCATTAGTCTCAACTGAAATCATTCCGGCTCAGGCCAGCGTATTGCTCGGATCGCATTCTATCAGCAACTTCCGAAGTAACCGTCCGAGACCTCAGATTATTCAACCTAACCCACCGCGCATTAGTCGCATTATCAACACACCAACCGACACGATGTGCCACAAGAACATTTTCACCTACGTTTACCCTGACGGGCACAGCGCTGAGCAGATCAAGCACGACTTATGCGACAACTCGCGCCACAGCCTACCATGCAAGCTCACCAAGACGTTCCAACACCCAACGGAATATGTCCGATCCGGTCAATTAAGCCCACCAGGATACAGCTTTGGCCAATTCCCGCCCACTCCACCACTCTCGTCTCACTCCGCTTCTGACTCGGAGCACTCTTCCAAGGGGCGATCAAGTGTCTACATCAATGGCGAAAAGGTCGTCGATCTTAACAGGCGCTCGTCGCGACGCGACAAGGGTGAGCGCGCCGGTGACCATACAGTCTACGTTGACAGCCCGCCACTATCGCGCACACCACCCCGCAAATACGACATACCGCGCAGCATGCCTTCTAGTCCCCACGAAGAGACTATCCGCGTGCGCGAGTCGCGGCACCGCGAAACGAGCGCAGACGAGCGCGACAGGTCTACTTCATCGCACAGCCGACCTTCTATCGAAGTCAAAATAATCAACGAACCGCGACACCGGCGACACGGGTCTAGCAAGTCGAGCTCGCAGGATGGTGATGAGGAGGAGCGTCGCCGAAAGCGCAGGAACAGCCACGTTCGATTCGAGGACGAGGAAAAGAAAGATGAGAAGAAGAAGGATGAGAAGAAAAAGAAAGTCCAATCCGAAATTGAACGCGCGAATGAGGATATCGCCAACCGGCCTCCTATCCCGACTACAACGGTACCAGCCAACACACGATACCGCCGAGGCTCAGTAGCCGTTGATCCCAACGATGCGGCGCTTGTACTTGCGATGGACCAGATAAGCTTGGAACGCGAGCGAAAGGCCAATTTAGACCGCGAGAGGCGGCGGCGCGAGAAGCGTGAGCGCGATGAAGAAGAGGCGCAAAGGCAACGACTGAGAGACCGTATGGCTCCCAGCCGCCGGGCCACTGTTAGCGACTCCCGAAGCCTAGGGCGAGCTCGACAGAAGATAGTTTACGATGATGGAAGATACCGCTGGGAGTAAAACAACCGAAAACCCAACAAAAAAAAAGGTTCAGAACAGTGTAAAACTTTTGCATGTAAAAGGATACGACTACGGCGTTGGATTAATGATACCTGGGCACTGCGATGATGACGTGGTTTGTATTGGATTTATTTGGTTTGCTTTTTCCCTGTTTCGATAGACAAATGCATGGCTGTTTTTTTCTCTCTATTATTCACTGTTCAAGCCTGTATTGGTATCGCTCATACACAATCGGTTCATCCCCTTTGGTTTATGAGATTTTAGGGAATTGGCAAACCCGATTTTTTTTTTAGAAACATTTATCTGTTTTCAATGCTTATACCATTTATACCTGTACTTATCGTACCCGCGATATCACTGATATGTATGTAGGTAGTTACCGTAGTTAGATAGTATTATTAGATTCGAGATACCCAATAGTTAGAACTACATAGCTTAGCTGACTTAAGACATCCAATAGATTACTAGTATGTACATTGTTCGCCTGGTCGACGTGGAGAAGTTGTTGATATTACTATTTCTGTGCGACAAATAAATTGGTTCGATGGTATTCGTCAATGAATGTTACTGTCTGAGTACCTAGGCAACGAGCTACCCCTCCAAATCTCCAAAGAGTAAGGCAAAGGCGACTCGAAATGGTCGAAGGTCAGAAAAGACAAGGGGAGGGACAAAAAAAAAGTTGTGCGGGACACACATTTCGCTCTCCCTATTCATCCAAACAACCCCCTATCCCACACACACCACATACTACACGCATACACCCCCTAGTTCAACTCTTTCAACCCAATTCCCACTCACGGATATTGCTCACGGCCGATTGCTGCCTGATTGGCCCCTCCTTGACTTTCTCTTCCCGGTCCAGCCCGTCGAACCCGTCTTACCGATCTAGGTATTCTTCATCACATCTTCCCTGATCTTCCCAACATCATCGTACATTATCGCATTAGGTATCGCATTATCGCATTATCCCACATTGAGGCCGAGAAATACTACTAGTAGTTAGCGATCGACTCCCGCTCGTCCCGTAGATCCCTCACCTTTGGCTTGGTTCGGAATAGTGGCTATCCAATTCCAATTTTTTTTTGTCCTTTTTATTTTCTTCTCTGCCCCTCCGAATGAGTACCCCTCAATCTGTCCTCAATTTGGGTTCCCCAGTCAATCATAAAGAACAATTCGCAGGCTGCCTACCTATTGGTCAGTCCACCGCCTACCTACATTGTGCTAGATTAGGCAGATCTAAGACTCTTGCAGAACCGGAGTCCTATTCTCCTCGTGGGACTGTATCTTGTTTATCACGGCATAATGCAAGTACTTGGCTACAGGAGGTAGGTATGTAGCATACGGACTCCTATAGGTTTCCATCGTACTCGACGCATACCCTGGCAAGGTATCTACGATGTCTTTGTCTTAGGTAGCTGTCAAGTGGTTGCATATTGGTATCGTAGGTTAGTGGATAGCCTGAGAAGGCAGACAGATAAAACCACATGATACCGTCGTAGGAATGTCCCCGCGTCGCATTCCGCTTGTCGATCTTGTTGGCGAATGCCATCTTCGGGTCTAGACCAGCGCCGCCGTATTGTCTGTTGTAGGACTTACATGGACCGTCACTCACTGACATCGTCAACGAACAGGCAGCGATCTATGTGACGAAAGGAATCATATAATGATAGAATGATCTTCTAGACGGATAGGTCAAGTTGGCTAGCCGCCTTTTACGTTCGGGTTCGGGAGATCCCTTACGTCGCTATCCATATCAACTTTTACCTATATATTTCATTAGTACTGCCACAATTTTTTCGACCAATCAGATACTTAGAATCGCCCCGCAGTTGGCGACTTTTTCCTCTGCCATTCTATCGCTTAAGGTCTAAAACACATGCAAATAATATAGAAATGTCATGCAAAACGAGCTCTATCCAACGATATTAATTATTATATCTTTTACGCAATAGTAAAGCTATTCAATTGATTCTACAAAAGATTTATCGGACGTGCGCTGAGGTGTGGCTAGCCAATCAAAGGCCAGACTTATATGTGGCGTAAAAGGCACTCTTGAAGCTAAGCACTCCCCGTAAGCGCTTGCGCGAACGGGTAACGCAGCTAGTTCTAGACAAACTTTTTTTTTTACCTTCATAAAACCAGCAGTTCTGCCATTCCCATCGCCGGCGACGTTCCCACTGGCCAACGGTATGTTGCATCGACCGGCTTGGCGGCCTGAACAATTTTATAGAAATGATGGCATGGGATTGTCAAATTTCATGATACCGCACCCACTCGCAGTCATAGAGAGCGGTGTCCCCATCGTCTTCTCCCCCATCGCACCACCACACCCAACCCAGGCCAGGGTAACTAGTAGGACTCGAAGGGTCCCGTGGCTTGATACTCACCCACACTTGGACTTCTAGGTGGGGTGGAGTGGCGCATGTTCGGCGAGAGACGAATCGACCTTTGCTTGCTATCGGTCTCGGCTCGGGATCCGGGCTGTGACGCATGGCTACCTGCAGCACACCTAGGATTAGGTATACAACCTTGCTTATCCGCTATATAGGTAGATATACCTATGCACACATTCGGATAGCGGTAGTGGGAAAGTCTACCTAACTCTACACGATCAGACGAGCACCGGCTCCATGCGGGGATGTGGAGAACGTCAGAAATGGAGCTTTTGTGTGTCTGTGTAGTGGTGGTCTGCTCTGAGACATGCGTTTCTGTCGAGTCACGCTGTGCGTCGGTACGCATACTTTACATATCCATGCTGAAGATCTTGTCAATCTTGCGTTATGCTCCGCGTTATTGGCCAACCCTATGGAAGCAGGTTAGGGTTTGGAGGAATGGGTTGAGTTTATAGTATCACACCGTAAACTATACGAACGGGTGAGTCATTCTAGCAGTCAGATGCTGGTTGGATAGTATTGTAAATCATCCTGCACGATGCCATCAACTTTACCATATCAACACATAGTTATCTCTGTTGAAGAATTTTGTGGTAGCTATTAAGGAGTAACGTATGTTTCTATGTAACAGTAGATTGTCTTACAAAGCCTTAGTAGTTAGTATAATGGACTCACAAGTCTCACTACGAACCCTTTGATATAAGTATCGATCTCTATACGGACTAGGTATAAGTGGTTAAGACTAGTGCTAGGACTATACTACTGAGCTACTAGATCAAGCAACTACCGTAGGTGCCAAGAACGCTATACTATTGAAGCAGCATCTCCCTGTAGAATTTTTCGGTGAGTAACCGTCCACATGACTCCAGTTTACTAAACTGTCTTAGCCACTTACATCCTTACCCCGGGGAAGCAGGTTGTTAGAAACGCCTCGTTATTAGTCGAATTATTCCTGGATTGCCCATGAAGCTAGCTATAAACTAGTTATCATTACAGAAGCTTAAACATTAGTAGCCCCGCCGGGTTTATAGTATTGTGAGGGCTCCTATAGAAATGTAGTATAGACTGGACTTATGTCATTGCAACACCAGAATTTACTATTGCGCATTATACCTAAACTGTCGTTTACTCAAACTTAGTGCTGGGCAGTGCTAATTAGGTGACATGGGTCAACTTTCAGCTTCATTCAATAACCTACCATCTCCTTGGTCTTTAGTATATACTATACACTAGTTGAGCCCCTCGATGCCAAGATAAAATTTGGTCCAAGGAGGCTCAGCCGCAGAAGGGTGACCAATTAATTCAACTCTCGTCCTGTCGTATAAGCAATATAAGACCAGAATGCGTTGGCCGTTTATACGTAAAATAAGAAGTTAATCTTTCAATTTCATTTCTAATAACGATGGACTTATTCGTATTTTTTGATATGTTAGTCCGATGCTTTTTATAGGTACGTCTCAAGAGCGTAGAATGCAGGGACAAAGTTATAGGTAGAAGGAAATTGGAGCTATCTAACTAGACAGGATTGTAACAATGACTTCTAAGGACCCTGGCGCTCCTCACAAAACTTGTTTAATAGTGTGTAAAAAGATACTATGGTTCGAACTCCAGCCCGAAGACGTGCTCGCGACACCACACCATGCCTCACGTCGCATGAGCCGAGTGGCACTGACGATACGACCCATCTGCGACTTATGGGAGTAGGAGCTCGATTTGGAAAGACTCAAGGTCAATTCGATGCTTTCAATAGCAGACCTGACCAGGTTAGCCTGCGTGGAAGCTCTATGGGCATCTGCACTAGCGATGGTAAGAGGTAGATACTTAGATTCCCAGTCAAGGCTAAGAGTTAACGAGCTGACCCCTCAAAGACAGTATGTTCAGCTCGATACCGGGTCGCCTACGTGAGATAGAATCAGACTTTAATATCGCGATTGGACGTCTTAAGAAATGGATGAAATACTGCGAATTGAATCATCCCTTCTGCGGACGTCCGCACTTAAACCCCTTACTCCCAACGCGTGTAATAGATGTGTTTGCTTCCAACCGCAGGGTATCAGTAGTTGAAACCAATGGTCAAAATGGGAGATATATAACTCTCAGTCACTGTTAGGGTACATCGTCAACGTTAATGGCCACTAAGCAGTCTATTCAAGATCTTAAAGAGGGTATTGCTGTATCTTTTCTCCCCAAGACGTTCCAGGACGCGATCAAAATTACACAGCGCCTCAGAATCAAGTACCTCTGGATAGACTGTCTATGCATTATCCAGGATGACCCTAATGATTGGGGAAAAGAGGCGTCCGCGATGAGTCAAAGTCTATCGTAATTCCCACCTAACGATATCGGCAGCTGCTTCAAAAGACAGTTACTCCGGTTGTTTTCCAAAACGCGAGAAGGATTCATACGTCACCCCTGCAAACATATCGCTCGGGTACAGCACTCCAAGAGAGGCGACGGGGCCGAGGAGCCACGAACTAGTATACGAACACACTTCTCAGCCCGGGAAAAAGAACTTGGTTCATCTATTCGAGGAGTGGTTGCCAGGATCTAGCTTCCACTTCCCTCAAAGAATGGGGATGGGATCGTTCAGCAAACGATACGACCCGATCGCCGACGAGCCTCTCAGCTCGCGGGCATGGACTCTGCAGGAACGTCTGCTTTCTCGGCGTCTTATCCACTACGCCCGCGACCAGATGTACTTTGAATGCGAGACTTGTATCCAGTCCGAAGATGGATTCACGTTTGGTGACATCTACTTCGGGATGAAACGCCTTCTAGAAACGCAGCGTATATCCCATAAGCAGCACGGACTTTCCCAGACATCCGGAATCTCTTCCATCGTCGGCCAGGAGGCTGGGGGGAAGTACCCTGGAATTAGGTAGCAAGGGGGATAGCTCTCCTTGGTCGAGAACTATACGATGCGCAATTTGACGGTGCAGCGCGATAAGCTCACTGCGTTGGCTGGCGTGGCGAGAGCGGTGGCAGAAGAGACTCGGGATTGCTACTACGCGGGCTTATGGCAGAAGCACTTCATGGAAGATCTATGTTGGCGGATGTACCCCTATGAAGAGATAGAGGATCGGAGGGATGCGAAGATCACGCCGCTAACGGGAAAACAATTGGGGACTGTCCGTAGGCCAACTGAGTATTGAGCGCCTAGTTGGTCGTGGGCATCGCTCGACGGACCTGTCAAGTATATTCCGTTATCTTTCAGGAACCTAGTCTCCTCGATTATCAATTGTTCAACTGTTCCTGCCGGTAAAGACCCCTACGGTAGGGCATCGAGTGGTAAGCTGGATATAGAGGTAAGGCGAATTTTTCCAATAATAGTAACTCAGGCTTACAGCTGGCTGACACTTTAATAGGGACCCATATACGAAGTTAAACCCCATACGCCGAAGAAGAGGTGGGATCGACACGGCATCCCGGTGGAAATCGATCTAGAAGATGACCGCGGTATGTCGGCCGGGAGCTTGCATCTAGACGTACCAGAGGAGTCGATCTCGTACCCCTGCTACGCTCTGTTCCTGGATCCCTCGAAAGCGTTAATCCTGCGAACTAATGAGCTGGAAGCCAAGCGGAATGAAGACGGAACTAAAGATCCAAATACTCTAGTCTCTAAGCCGGTTCTGACGGCTCCTGATGTCAATCATAACATAGCCGAGCATCCGGAGACGAAAACTTTCGTTTTCCAAGCCATGTACCAAGTTGTTCGCATCGGAGTAGGAGTTTTTATCAAAGAACCGACGAAGAATAAAGAGCAACTTGAAAATGAAGAAGAGAAGGAACCGGAGATGTGGGACGAGGCGAAGCAGGGAAAGCTGACACTAGATAAGATCCTACACGTCGAGGGAGACCAGTCGTGGGGGCCGGTTACGAAGGATGATCCCCAAATATGGGTAACGATAGTGTACCTAGGTAATCATATTTGGATTTTGTTATATATTCCAATTACCAAAGCTCATTGGTCAAAGTGCCTAACCCCTTGCTAAGAGTAATTGCTTTCGCTAATGTGAGGTAAGATACTCATAACCGTACTCAAGATTGAGTATAGGTAATCAATCCGTGTATTGCATTGAAACTCGCTCAGAACTAAGTAATAAGGGACCGCGTTCATCCATCCTTCATTCCTCCGAAACTCTCCAGACGAGCTTCTCTCCGCTCACCCCTCCCGTCCGAAGCAATTCCAACGCCTTGGTAGCCCTCTCCAGCAGGGTACGTCCTTCAACCACGCGGATGCGATTCGGTACCACGTGACCGGCAGCTAGCATCTGAGGCATAATCTCCAGTTGTAGTTTCTCCTTGAAGAGTGGGTTCTAATTGGTAAGTTTGTGGTTAGTTCATGCTGGCCTTTCGGAGACCTAGGTCCTAGGAAGGGTTTAAGACTTACTCTCCAGTAAAAGAACGTCCGCACTCCGCGTACATTGACGCCTTCTGCCCACTGAGCGCTGGTGCTTGCATCCATCGAGTACTCGGGTACTTCTGTCTCCGTTGCGTGCTTCACGATGACCGGTAGCATAATCGCGACAGTCGTACCGCTCTGGGCGATCTTGGAAATCGGACTAACCGATCCATCTTGTGAGCCGATGCAGTCGACTATCAATGGAAACGCTGGGCCGTCCCCTTTCTTATATGCCTTTAGTAAGTCATCAACTATTGTTGGACTTTTATAATCAAAGGCTTCTTCGAGGCCTAATTTCTTCAAGAATTCGTGATGGCGTGGCGATGCGGTCGCAATCAAGTGACGGTAACCATAGAACTTTAGGACTTGGATAGTAAGTTGTCCTACCGAGGATGCAGCACCCCAAATCAAGATTGGGTCATCAGCCCTAGGTGGGACGTAGCCTTCAGGCTTCGGCCACGGAGTAGGGAGTCCCAAGTCAGTGGAGATGGTATTAAACGCTGTGACGAAGTTCTCCGGCAGCGTAACAGCCTCTTCCATCGAGAACTTATCAGGGATCTGTCGAGCTATTAGTTTTTTATACCTACCATGATAAGTATGGTTTTGTCTTCAAAAATGTCGCAAACCTTTCCAAAAACCCATTCTGGAGCAGTGGTGTACTCCTGATGAGCCTTCCACTTCGGTTGCTGATGAGCAAAGCCGAACACTCTATCACCAACTTGCAGGTGCTTCACATTGGGACCAACTTCGACAACAATGCCAGCTGAAGTTGATCCAGTTCTATATGGCGTTTCAATCAAGAGCCCACCGTCTGCCTGATGAAGGTCCAGGGGTGTAGAAGCTGTCCATTTGACATGGACGCGGATTTCATCATCTACTGGTGGGATCGTTGGGAATTGATGGATTTCATAAGGGGCTCGGGGAGCCACTATGACAAGACCGTTATGTGTTGGAGTCGTCATGGCGTATTTATTATATTCGTAACAATGTATCAATAGGATATTGAGTCAGTCAATGTCGCTGCCGCCAAGTGGTCCATTTCAATTCTGCGAAAACAGATTCGATTTTATATTCGAAGGCCTGCTTACAAATGTTACCCCCTTTCTAGAACGAGTGAGTGTATTTATAATCGATAGTATGGGGCTGTTATATAGAACCAATTACACTAACCTTGTTTTGGGTCGTAGCACTATTAATGATGCTAGCTAGGTACCTAACAAGTTGTTTGGAAGTTAGAGGGTTTAGGTAATGACACGATTAAATAGGAAGTATTGCGCGAGGATGAGGATTTAATTACGTTCAAATAGAGTAAAATAATTATAAAAAGGTCATTTACGCTGGGTATGTTTTATTACGGGTAGATAATGATGTTCCTTGAATATTCTACAGGTTTCGATTGTTCTCTTGACCGGTCGATATATGATGGCCCCACTCTTGCTTGTTAACACGATGGGAAAGATTGGATAGTGAATTTTTGTTGTTTAATATTGGTATAATCAATCACCTAACGTAATTTATTTTAATTTAGATCATTTCAGACGACTTATGCCTATCGTTTTGGTTTACTCTGAAAGATTTCATGTGTAAGTTGGGGATAAGTGTTCTGGCCGCCTATACCAATACCATGATAACTCATTGATGTTATCAATAGCTATAACTACTTGAACTCTGTAATACAACTCGAATGCGTGCTAATACGCCGCTTGGAACATGGATTGGCATAAAAGAGTTAAGATATTATTATTCCTTATTATTAAACATGATTTAGTAGTACAGGTGCTATGAGAGGTACGAAACATTTTCCCTGGTTCCTAAACTCCATTCCATATTTTTTCTTAATACGCAACCTGTACATTGAGCCCAGCCAATTCTCTTTCAAAGTTCCTATGTTGCGAAACTTGGTACCAGAACTTCTCCAAGAGTCCTGCTCCCTCCTTTGCGATCGTAACGGTCTCCTTCAAACTGTCAGGGGACACATTTCTCATGGTGACAACGCCATATGACTCAACCGCCTGCTGATTTCTTGACACTTGAATCTCTGGTAACGCGAACGCCAACTTGAATAGCTCAACTGCCTCTCCTGTGCCTCCAATGGCCTTAAGATGTCCAAACGCTTCGCGGAGCCAGTGCAGGGCACGCCCGCTCTTAGAAAGAGCCTTGATCGATTCAGCACCACCAGGAACGAATATTGCATCGAACATGGTGGATCGCACGCCTTCGAGGTGGTGGTCGGGTTTCACACCACTACCTGGTGTCTTCGATGCACCAGCTGGGAATATCTCGGACCTGCGTGTTCCGATGGTGAAGGGCAATGCGCTAGACGCTTTGATCGTGGTCTTAACAGCGCTGTAGACAGTGTTGTCAAAGCCGTCTGCAATGATAATAGCAATGCGTCGACTAGCAATCGTCGGCTTCGCTGGCGGGAATTCAAGCTGGCTAAGTTTACTAGTTTTCTTGCCGTGGTTCGGTCTGGTTCCCTTCTCGGGCTTCGGCCCTCCGACCAACTCGGCTACAGTCTGAGCAAGTCCCAAATCGATATCGGCTAATCGTTGAGTCATGCGCTCGTAGACAATGGGATCGTCGCAGTGGTCTAGTTCGAATGAGAATGCGGCGGCAACATGATTCTTCTCCGGTTCGGACAAGCTGTTATAGAACAGTTGGGCCTGGTTGTAATGCTCTCGGAATTTTGTACTCTTGGTTCGCGCCTTAGTACCTTGGACATTGAAGGGGGGCTCTGGGTATGCCCCTTCTTGCGCAGTGGCCGGCGGCCGTGCCTCAAACCTGTTGGGCCAGTAGTTAACTTGTCCTTTAGTGATAGTGTGTCTCCCTTGGCCATCACGGTTGAAGTTCATAACGGGGCAGACCGGCTTGTTAATAGGAAGTTCTTGCCAGTTGACTCCAAGACGGGATAGCTGTGTATCGAAGTAGCTAAAGCTACGTCCTTGCAACAGAGGATCGTCCGAATGAGCAATTCCCGGAACCATGTGCGCCGTGCAAAATGCAACCTGTTCGGTCTGGGGGAAATACTCGTCCACGTTCCTGTTAAGTTCGAGCTCGCCAATGTATCGGACCGGGATGAGGTCCTCGGGCCAAAGTTTCGTCGCGTCGAGAATGTCAAATTCAAATTCGTGTTCCCGATGCTCTGGGATCACCTGAATGCCGAACTTCCACTTTGGATAAGCGCCGTTCTCAATCGCCTCCCATAAATCCTTGCGATGGAAGTCGGGATCTTGACCTGCTATCTTCAAAGCCTCATCCCAAACTAACGAGTGAACACCAAGGTCGGGCGTGAAGTGGAACTTGACGAAGTGACGCTCGCCCTTCTTGTTAACTAGAACAAAAGTGTTTACGCCAAAGCCCTGCATCATCCTAAATGACCGCGGAATCGCTCGGTCTGACATCGTCCACATAAACATGTGGGTGGCCTCGGTATGCATAAACGCGAAATCCCAGAAGTTGTTGTGAGCCGACTGAGCCTGCGGCACCTCATTGTGAGGCTCAGGCTTCACAGAGTGAATAACATCCGGGAATTTGATAGCGTCCTGGATGAAGAAAACCGGCATATTGTTTCCAACGATATCCCAGTTGCCCTCTTGCGTATAAAACTTGACGGCAAACCCGCGCACATCACGTACGGTATCGGCGCTACCGCGAGACCCTGCCACGGTGGAGAATCGAACGAAAACAGGCGTCTCACGAGAGGTATCCGTAAGAACTCCAGCCATTGACACGTCCTCGGCGCTCTCGAATAATCGGAAGTTGCCGAACGCACCAGCACCTCGTGCATGGACAACCCGTTCGGGAATTCGTTCGTGGTCAAATCTGTGAATCTGTGGTAGAAGTTAGTGATAGTTATTAAAGTAATAGAAGTGGTCATAACCGACTCTTTCTCTAGAAAATGAGTCCTCTAGAAGCATAGGGCCCGTCTTGTGGTTACTGGTTATTCGTAACCATTCGTCGACATTGCCCATCTTCACGCCAAAGTCGGAAGTAATCCTATCCTTGGGCGACACCGCCTGGGTGACGGTGTCAAGGTCAGCGACCTTGCGGCCTTTCTCTCCGCCGACCATACTTTTCACTTTGCCCAACAGGGTGCTTGATGACATAAGTAGCAGTTAAGCAACGCCAGGCCAGGAGAACGTAATAAGTTACAGTGAAGAAAAGCAAGAAGAGAAGCTGGAAATCTTGTGGATGCGTCTACATCTCCTTCTTGTACTAGAAATGTAGGTTTCCTAGTGCCGCATCTGTCCGCGGACCTCAGTGGTCACCACCTCACATAGAATCGTGTGGCACGACATATCATTGACGTCAAGAAACCATCACGACCGCGAAAAGGGCTGGGTTAAGAGGGCTTGGTGTGGATATGATAAAGCGATATAGTGGATTGATTTCCCAATTTGCGAGTGAACCCCGAGTGCTTCATGGAATAGTCAAAAGTGTTGATGTAATATATGATACCTAGAGTAGGTAGCCACCTCGTCATATCCTTGTCATCTTAAGCTAGACCGTTGCAAGAATGAACCAATCACAAAAGCCATATTAGAACGCGACCACCACATCGGGAAAGCTCGGTTATCTACCGAGACTACGTAGCATCACGATCAACCAGTCGCCCAATAACTCGGAAGGAATTAGTGATGATGGAGGATCTGGACATGACTTTCACATACAATAAACGTGGCGTTTTCGGGGGCGAGAGCTCCTAACGTATGGTCCAATTGACTATTCTAATTGGCCAATCCCTGAGTACGCAGTACGCAGTACGACATATTTGTCAAAAAACATTTCGGAAAAAACCCTGGGGAGATCTTGGGCTCTTTTATATCCGATGCCGCGTGGTTGAAGAGACCTCTACAGTATACCTACTCCCTTGCATTGCGTCTTGTCTATTCTCCAGCTTTGCTAGAGTAGGTATACTACCTAGTTATAGGAGGTATATATGAGAAATGCAAATGTATATTTTCTAGGGCGTGTGAATTATAGTATTTTGAAGCAATTCGACTAGTTAATACGATTGAAGAATCTATGTATAAAGACTAATACCTGTCTCATAAAGCGAGGACACTTATTTAAAGAACGTTGGCCATTAGCACTCAAGGCAGGTTAAGAATCAACCATCAGATATAGCACGTGAAAAGAATAAACTTAAGTCATAAGACGCCTATTTTCACGGAGTAGATATTAAATCTCCTACGAGTACCATGCGAAAACGCCGTTCGCCTCCTAAGCCTTGCCCGGGTATCATAAGAAAACTAAAGCCATTGATCCGGATTCATTTATCCGTGACGTCCCTACCCCCACCCCATCCTAATAGTCCTCCTAATGAAATATCATACACCATCATCGTCCCAGCTTCCCGGCGTAACCATCATGATGAAGATGGCTCTTTTAGGACCCACTCATATTTCCGCTCTTGAAGCCGCACTATTGTCCAGACTTCTCTGTGACTACTAGCAACCACTGGGTTCCAACTAGCATAGCTTTAAGGTTGTATATGATAACCTGAAGGGCCCGGGGTATAAAACTGATTCTGGGCTAGTGGATCCACCTGCGGTACGAAGTCGGGCAAGTCAGGTTGCCCCTGAGCCATCACGTTATTCGGCTGGCCACCGAAAGACATTGGTACCGTAGGATTGAACTTGTACAGATTCGCGGTATTCCGAATCTGGCTGAATCCATCGGGTTTCATGGTCTCGGCTTGCGGTAACCCCATGTCTAAATTAAAGTCCATTGGTATATCCAGGTTACCAGCGGTCGGTGTTGGATTGGGGTGCCATCCGTAAGGTGTATAGGCTGACGAAGCATTGCTGTTGCCCTGGAGAGAAGAAGGTAAGGGTACGTCAGGTCCTATAAGTGAGTTAGGATCTTGGCTGTATAGATCTTCCGTGGGAGAGAGTGTAGACTGCATCAGGAGGGTATTCATGTTATTGGGAGCATACCCCGCTGGAGCCTCCTGATGTCCCTGCGACAGATCCTCCGTATATCCAGTATATCCGGCATAACTTGGATCCAACTGCAAGTTACTCTCTCCCGTCTCTATGTTCTCCGCTGTATCGCTACCCGTCTGGCTGTCTTTTTTTCTTCTGTCCCTTTGTGAGTCTAACTGACCGGAAGTCTTGTTACGCTTCGGATCACGGCCACGCTTCTTGGTATTCGATATCTTGTTCTCGAAAGCTGTAGAACGTTTCTTAACGCTTCCGTAGATTTGACCATTTCGATCTACAAGTTCTCCGCTCTTGGTTGCCTTGATGCCGTTCTCCTGAGCAACTCGAATCCCAATGGCGTTCTGAACGTCGCGCTCTCCGTTCAGCTTTCGGTTTGTAGCCTTTTGCTTTTAGGACGTCAGCCGTGTTTTCCTTGATTAATCTTGCATCAGACTTACGTTAAGCTCCGTTCTTGGGCGCCAAGCCAGACGGTGTTTGAAAGTAGCATCTTTAAAGAGGGAAATAACGACATCCTTAGACAACTAAGCCGGTAAGTGTTAAGACAATAACGATTTTAGGGGATCATGCAACATACTCTAAGGGCGTCGCACACTGCTTGGAACCTCTCCATAAAGGATCCGTACGAGTTATAGGGGGGCTCCTTGCAATAAAGGTAGTTTGGAAGCCTACACTGTCCTATCTGTGCGTCGCGTGTCGACATCTGGACTAATATTAGCATGGGGACTTGATTCAAGGTTGTATACTCTTACCAATAAAGGCCAGAGAGCCAACTCAAACTCCAAGTCAGCGTAATTCCCTTGCCGGAGGCGCCTGACGCTCTGTGAGCCTTCGGGTTCGTATGTCTGGCTGCAATCATGTGCAGCTTCGAATAGCAGCTTCACTAGTTGCTGCTGTGTATGGGCATCAGGTGGGAAGTCAGAACAATCACCCCTTGGGCGATTGTGAATTTTTAGGTACTGATCGTTGACTTGGCGGAAGTGCCCAAAGTCTCGGATCAATCCTTGATAGGTGCCGCTATTTGAAGACATCATCTGCTCCATTTGCACCTGGGTAGCTCCATGCGTGTCTGTACCCGAAGTAGGTGGCATAGTTGCGCCCACACTCGTTGACATTGTCTGGGGCATTTCGATCTGCGGGTACATGTTGTAGTTGTAGGAGGAAGCCGAGGTAGGATACACAGAACTTCTGTACTGCTCCTCCATCTGAGTGGTATAGCGAGCCTGGCCGTTGGAGAACATGATTTTAAATTAAAGTGGTAGCAAGTCGGTGAAGCGAATTGGTGAAGCAAGTTGGCAATGTGTAGATGCTAAAAAGTGAGGTAATGAGTGGGAGGAAACGGTAAATACGAATTGGGTAGGGTAGAATGGATATCAGATGAGTATCGGGGTATTTGTTCAGAGTATGAAGGGAATGGGTAGCCTCTAGTAAGGACGGGGGTTGAGGGCTTCTGGTTTATATTAAATTGGAAAGAGAACGACTTACTCTATGGAATTGTGACACGAGTAGCGGTTATGCTGTGTCGTGTGAGCAAAAGCAAGGATAGGAGCAAGTGGGATAGCAAAGAGCAAAGAAGAGCAACTGGTGATCGAGCAAAGTTGTGGATGATGAATTAGAAGATAGGATGAACAACACGGGACTTGCCTAGGTTTATATGTGCGACCTTAGTCCCCACGAAGGGGGTAGAATAGAAGACACGCCTCCCAATTCGGAAGTTATCGTGAGTAACTCGAATAGTAGAGAGATGCTAGTAATGAACATGACGCAGGGAGGTTTTGATGTCTGCCAATCACAAGGCTGAAAATCTAGTAGAATTCCTTCAATAGATAGTAATTGGACCTGATGGGAATTCGAGCAGAATAGATATTATCTGGTGACTTGGTACTTTATCTGAACAAACGGCATCATGTTCGATAATCTAAGAGAGTAAATTTGCGCTAAGATCGTGGACCCACGTCTTCCGGAGGCTGTGATTTGACAAGGTCACATACTAACGGGATGAATCCAACAGAGTTGAAGCAGGACTCAATAGAAAGAAGGAACATATCGGTTACAGCAGCCAATGGAACGACAGTGACTTTGGTAGTAAGCAAGGTTTATCATCTACGGCGATCTGATATTCTGGTCCACGATGGGGAGATGCTGAGGTGTTTAGTTGATTGAATGAGTTTTTCGTCAATTCTAGGGAAGAAACTGAATTGCAATGGACTACCATCCTGATGAGGGCTGTCTGACGAGGAGGGATACCCGACAGGTGTGTGAAGACGAAGTATTACACAATCCTCAACAATCACTAGCCTTGTGATTTAGTTATCAAAAAAAGGGGGACAAGGCTAAATAAACTACGAGCATATGGACCAAGGCATAGCAAAAGTTCCCCGGTGGGAATCTGAATTCTGAACGTGTTGGAGAGTTCTACTTTTCATAAACAAGGAAATAATACGTGAAATGGCATTTTAGTTATTTTTACTAGTTATATTAGGATATGATACTTGGCAGTGGCACAAGAGCCCTTTTTGTAAGAAAAAAAGCTAGGACGAAAAAGACTGAGGGGTACTGAGAAGCAATTATTTCACGGTACTGGCATATGTACCTTAGGTATTATATGTTCATTTGGATTCTGGGGGCTAGGCAGTAGTAGATCTCCTTCAGTGATCTTGAGGGGTGAGGTTAGTAATTCTATGTCGACGATATTATGTTTGCTATTTGTGGTATTTACCCCTTTATGTTTACCCCTTTATTTATCATCCAACCAAATGAGTCAGGCAGGACCATTAGCATTATTTAGCTTTATGCCATTTTAACAATCTATCCATGAAGCAAGAGAAAATGTATTCGGATTGAACAGAGAGGGCCTTCTAATTCCCCTTTAGGGCTAGGTATCTGTTCACATCCTAAAATTCTCAATTCGAGTCCATGAGTTGTCGAAGTTGTATTAGTAACTAACTAACTAACTAACTAGCATTTTAAACTTCACTAGTTGTGCACGTGTAAACACCTGTCACCACCTGACGTGTGTGCAGATCCACTCGGCCACTGCTAGCAACACTTCTAAACTTGAAATCGATCCATATTGAAAAAACTTTGAATGTTTCACATTTTTAACTTATTTTGTTCTCCATTGAAAACCTAGAGCAATCTTCTGAGTTTTCACGAAAAGAGTGTATCTCTCTAGCACGTAAAGGCGTCATTCTTCTTCCAATTGCACAGAAACATGCCTAGATAGTCACGGAAGATTCAAACAGACAAATAGCCACGATATCACAAACGTAACAACCTATACAGCATAGAACTCAGCAGGCCCAATTTATTCACTAGAGGAATCTATCGAAATCAATGGCTTCTGACGTTGGGTTTTGCTAAAACAAGCAACAGATGCAAGCAAATTAATAAGCCGATTTATTTGACAGTTACCTACCATAATCGGCTCCCAGACGGTTTCGTAAAGGGAATCTGAGAAGTCCAAGTCAAGTAGGGTTAACTTTTGTTGTAGCCACCACTGACAAAAAGGAAACTCGTCTTAGTTTGATATCGTCACGATTCTATGCGGGTTCAACCAAGTAGCCTACATGCCAGTTTCTTGGGTGTTATAAAGAATGTACTGACTATCAACGTTTTGCGTTATAGCAATATGGGTATCTTGCACCTTCAACCCCCATTTAAGTAAGTGTAGATCTATGAAATCTGGTTCTGGGCGAATCCAGGTCTATCTGACCAGTCTACCATCCAAATTGGTCTGGAGCAAATCTGGCTCCAGTAACTTCGTTAATCGAAGTATTATCAAGTTTATGCACCAGTGGTTGTTGTGGTCAACCATATTATTGGTACCAACCAGAAGCAGTACTAGGAGTCAATAATCTCCTAGTTCTCAATCTCCTCGCGACTTCCAGCCTCGTCGCTCTTCCCGCTCTTTTCACTGAGAGCCTTCTCTTGAACCACGCCAGCAGGGCCAGCAGAACGCGCCGCACCCCTAGCGGCAACATCGATAAGTCCGTACTTAAGAGCTTCTTGTTCGACCTCCTCGGGACTGAGAAGGGGTAGTTCTTCCGCAGCCTTGACGTAAGACTTCTTCTCCACGAATCCCTTAGCGAAGATGATGTCAATCTCTTCAAGCGATCGCTTGGCTGTTTCGGGGTAGAAGAACCAGATGATGGGCAAGAAGCAGGCATTGACGACGGCAAAGAACAGATAAGTGCCCCAACCGATGTTGCTGATCATAATTGGCGTAATCATGACGATAAGGACTATAAAAACTGATTAATTACTGACACTCGTAGAAAGAGGGAAAGGGATTGACAAGCTTCGCCCGACGACTATTCGGGAGACGACCTAATGTCATAAAATACGACAAAGGGAGATATTAAGTCAATACATACAGTTGAATAGCCAGTTTGTGCAAGTCGAGGTAGCGTTTGCCTTCGCGCGAGTCTTGATGGGGTTGATCTCAGCAGGATACAACCAGGGGAGCGGGAGCCAAGTCGCGCCAAATGAGGCGATGTAGGTCTGTTAATAAACCATTAGCAAATCTCTTGTGGTTAACAGATCCAATGAACTAGAAAACTTACGAAAAGACCAACGGCTGCACCCTTGGCCGCGTTGGATGCTTGACCGGGAATATGAGGACCAGGAATAAGACAAGCGAACGTGAGAACCATCGACAGGCACTGTCCGATAGTTCCGTAAAGGAATAGCTTTCGTCGGCCAACCCGCTCGATGATAAACCAAGAGGTCGTAGCAAAGATTGCATAGACGATCATGTTCACGCCACCCATGAGCAGTGCCAAGTTCTCATCGCCCGGAGTGATGCTGTCCTCAAATAGAATAGGGAAGTAGTAAATGACTGCGTTACAACCGCCTATTTGCTGCATCAGCTGACTGCTAGAGCCAAGCAGCATACGTCGGAAATGTTGGGTCTTGCCGCCAGTAAAGAGGGCTTTCATCGGGGTGCTCTTCTGGCCGGAGAAACCACTGGCACGAATGGAATCTAAGATGATGTCTCTTTCCGTGTGAGTTTCTTCGCTGCCCATCTCAAAACCTCGCAGGGCCGAGATGACAGTCTCAGCATCCTCATACCGCTCGTGGGTGAGAAGCCAACGAGGACTTTCGGGCAGGAAAATCATAGAAATGCATACGAAGAGACCGAAAATGATCTGGAAAGCGATAGGGAAACGCCATGAAAGATCCTCGCTGCCAAAGCTGCAGCCATAGTCGATCCAGTACGCAATCACAGTACCAAATGCGATAATACCGCCTTCGATACAGATAAGTAAACCTCTGTTGGAAGTTCTGCTACATTCAGCTTAAAGAATGTTAGAACTGATATAAAAATAAAAATATAAAAATCCACATAGAGCCGCGCGGGGGTTACGTACCTTGATAAGTCGGAATAGTAGAGGTGTTGATACCATTGCCGACGCCAGTGACGACTCTACCAATGATAAATTGAGCTAGCGGTTGGTGGCCCGGGAACGAAGTGACTTGAATTGTGGCGCCGATAATCATGATAAATCCTCCCAGTATCATTGCCTTTCTTCTACCCAGTAAATCACCGACTCCGAGAATGAACATGGCGCCAATGAGACATCCGATCTCGTAAATGGCGGTGACAAGACCTTGCATAGTCGGATTGCCTTTTACTTCTGTGAAGACATTTGAGAAATGGGTCGAACCAATGATACCGCTCATTCTGAAACCGAGTCAGCAATTTTGAATTATGCTAGAGTATCGCTACTGAGACATGATACGAGCCATGCGCGACAACGTCGTGGCCGATGAACATGCGCAGGTAGTATCGTAAGGGGGGACTTTAGGTGGTATTACAACTTACACTCCTTGATCGTAACCGAATAGCAAAAATCCCGTGGTGGCCACCGTACTGACCATTATGGACAGCGACCGGCCCTGAAGGCCCATGTACGTCGGCGTTGTCCCCGTCGCCGCCGCCATGTTGAATTATACGGTTCGGAGTTTAGTATAAAAAAAGAGAGCCAACGCGTTGTAAAATCCCGAGGGTTCACAATTATGCAGGCAGATCCAGGCAGATCTTGTTAGATCTCTCTACAAGATCTCTCTAATGGTGGCCTCGGCGAAAATGAGGGGTGAAATTTGACCGACTCCGGATTTTCAATCTAGTACCAGACTGAAGGGACGTATGGAGGTGTGGGAGTAAGACCTGGAGAGTCCGGAGAAGGGCGGGCCTGACCCTCATATAAATGATGGAGAAATACTACCTAGACCAAGTTTGTTTGCTGACAAAGGTCATTACCTGACATGCAGACACTTTGACACTGTATGCAGACAAAGCCAAGAAGATCAAAAAGGCTCGTGAGAGGTGGAACTGGACACGCAGACCACGCTAGACTGAACCTTTGCAACGAGGAATACAGATGGCTACAGATGGGCTACGGCTACGGCTACGGCTACGAAGGTGGTACTACTAAGGCTGGCTCTAAGACTCATCCTGGATCGTTGAACCAAGCTTGAACCAAGCTTTTTGTCCATGCGTACCAGTTGGCCAGTCAGCCCAGTTGGGATTACAACTCTGCAAGGCCCTGCATGCCTATGCCTGTTGGACTGGGGCCGAGCCAACCGCTGATCTTGCCGATCTCTAAAAAAGTTTCCCTTTGGCTACATTTGGCTACCTTTGGCTACCTTTGTTAGACATGGTTGTTGGTGGAGTCGAGTCCCAGTGCCTACCTACGTTTATACATACCTCCTACGGCTGGTTTCCGTGTTAGGCATGCTTTCTACCTGTCATGGTATGACGACCGGAGAGATGAGGTCATATCCTTAGTATCCTAGCACGTCCTAGCATTGTCCGGCCATTGTCCCATTATTCCCTCGGTTCGGCTAAGAGGATGCTAAGAGTAAGATTTCGCATTGGGCTGAGCTAACTGGTTGAATTCAGGGGTCCAGCGGCATTCCCCCATGGTAAGGCATGCAAGGTAACGGAATGGCTTGCCTTAGATACCTAAAAATCACACGCTAGCATCGGTCTAGTCCTCAGTCCGTTTAGTCTATCTTCAGTTCCTTCACCCAGTTTGGCCAGTCAAAATTCAATTTAGCAAAAGTCGCCGATAAAGCTTTGTTGCAAAAACACACACACACAAAAAAAAAAAAAAAAAAAAAGGATGTTGTAATGTCATACATGACACACGAGATTGTGTGTTGTTTTTCTTTACCGTGAATGAATATATGATGAAAAAGCTACGTAATAAAAGGAATCGAGGCGTCGTATGTAGTCCACCTATAGGTAAGAATGGCTTATCAACAAAGATTCAAAAATCAAAAAAGGTGTGCGAGATCCTAACTGCTAAGCTGACGCAGAACTATTACCTATATACAATATGTACAATCATTATACATTGTGGCGTTTTCGGCTTTCCCAAGTAAGTAGCACCGGCTAACTGATGTCTGATCGTCACCGACTATTGCCGTTACCGTTCCTTGAATCCTTCAAATCTCCAAATCTATGCGGGGGTCAGTAACGACTTTTTTTCCCCTCGAACGGGTCCTTGCAACTTCTTGGGTGTACCCCAGGCTTTTCCACATTTCCCACCGTTCCCACCTCGCCTCGAGTCCCAAGAACCAAGGATTGCCAAGGCAAGGGGGCCCTATCTACCACAGTAAAGACCCCCGCTGTAACCCTGTAACCGCACACCGTGGTTTTACGTGGGGCTCCAGAGTGGAGGATGATAGAGTGGATGATAGAGTGGATGATAGAGTGGATGATAGAGTGGATGATTTAGTGGAGGTTTATTTCCACTACACGCGCAATATCCAACAATATCCAACGATATCTAGCAATCCTCTTCCTTCAGGGTCCACTATCGCCATCTAATAGCCCTATTACCCGGCCAGAGTTCGGTGAGATATTCCAAGGTCTTACCTCGTTGGAAAGATGCAGCGCGGATGGATATAGCCTGCATGAATTCTCAGGTATTACAACTAAAAAAAAAAAATCCCATGCGCGTGACATGAGTGAGAACTGACGAGACTTTGTGCACGAGAGATTCTGGTTGGAAGAGATTCGCAATCAGATACCTACCCTCCTTCCCCAAGCGCACCAACAATCGCCTACTTATACTCAAACAGGAAGATGATGTTCAAAAGCTGCTCAACTAGTAGAGACGCGGCGCCGCTGCGTGTTGACCCGAAGGCTGGCTGGCTGGCTGTATATAAGTCCACGCGGGCTGCATTGTTCTTCCAAGTCTACGGGAGGAGCTAAAGCACGATTTGCCCCGGCCGGTATCTCGCGTCAGGCTGCAAGCATGAACTAAAATCTAAAATTCATGCCGATCGACATCAATCATGGTCTGTGGCTTTTCTGTTTGCCAGGATCGAGTTAGTGTAAAACATATAATTAGAAAATAAATTCCACAATATTAGCTAGGCAAAATCTCGAAAGACATGATAACAATGAGTAATCAAGCAAGATCACGAGGGTTGCAAAGATCCGTATAGGTATAGCAGCCAGTAATAATAGGAGTGGGAAATGAAAGACACGATTCCTGTTGAAATTTGTAAGAAATATTCGCCAGGTCCGCGAAAAAAAACTCGCGTTTACATATTTGGAGAACAGACAGGCAAGTTTCAGCTCTCCAAATCTCTCGTTATAGTAAGCCGGAGGATAGGTAGATCTTCATTCTAACCAACGGCGATAGAAAAGGGGTAGGTACACATGGTATATATAATACGAGCACTCCAATACCTACGCGGCGCTTAGGTGGCTCGACAACGTGAAAATGAAGTCATTATGCATACGAAGGATTCTTGCGAACATTAAAAATTCGAGCTATCACATGCTTTAGGTAGGTAGGTATCTTAATGCTATTTTACTAACTATGTACAAGGGAATGATATGCGGATAAGGGTTTGTATGTAGTATAGTGTAGGTATACACAGATCTAGATATTACGAATACAATGCACGTGGAACGGAGGTAACTGTCCCCCCTTACATCCTTACATCCTTACGACGTGTAACGAGCCACCAAACTGCCCCAAGACCCTGTGAAATCTGGCTGTGTGGGGATGTTAGTTCCGTCCCCGAGGCGGAGAGCCGTCCGAGTACTCTTGGAGCATATGCCGTATGCTTGGAGGTTTGCGGGTGTCTGGGCAATCCAGTGCATATAGTCTGCCGTAAAAATATTAGTAGCTGACGCAGGGAATAGGAAATTAAATAACTTCTTAACTTACCTTGGCAATCTCCCGAACATCCCTGGTAGGACGGACCGCTAAAGAAGGCCCAGGATGCGGATGCGTACGTGTAGATATCGGAGCCGCCTTGGATGTAGTTCGCGAACCCCATTCGACATCTGGTATCTCCGCCACCACACCATGAGAAATCCGGGTCTCCCCAGTTCTTCACGTCCGCTGTCCAAGGAGCTGGCGGTGTTTGCTGAACATTATCGCCCTGGTCATAGTTCGTCTCCGACTGCAGCAAGCTAACCATCACGTTTTTCGCGTTCCGCAAGTTGAGCTGATACAGCCACCAATGTTCACTGCCGAGCGCGTGGAGCCAGGTGCCTTTGGTAGACTCGACAAGCGCGCCGCCCTTTGCAGCTATACTGCAACCGCCGCTCCCCTCGGTGAAGTGGTCGGCAACCCAATTCCAAACATTTTCAACGTACACCGACGAGCTAGGGGCGAGATGCAATCCGATGAAAGCTGCCTGGCATTCGTGACTCGGGTCACCGCAAGCGTCAGCAAGCGCAGATGCTCCAAGCGTGCCACCGACGGTAATTAACGAGTTCCACAAGGCCACATCCCCGGGAGACGAGCCCGCAATGTTAAATTGTAGAATGATGGCACCAGGAAGGACATCGGAAACGGTGAACCGCATGTCTTGGATTTGAGCCGTTCCCACGTCGCCATTTTTGCCGACAGAGACAACCGGTCTCGGATTAGCCGAGTCCTTGAACTTAGCGCCGTTACCAGTGATCGTCGCCCAAGCTTCGCCGACAATACGCGAGCCTTTTGGTATGGTTAAAGTATCGTCTACTCTATACTTGCCGAATGGGAAATAAGCAATCTTGTTATTGTCTGCCGCATACTGTAATACTTGGTTAAGTACCCCCGACTCGTCCACGGTGCTGTCTCCCAGTACTTTGTGACCACCGTTTTGGGCTGAATCTTTCACGTTGATGAAGTCCGAGACAGGGTTCTTTGCATAGTTGGGAGCGGGGATAACTGGATACTTGCCATTCGGCGCCAAAGCAGCGGGTCGGTTCAATGTTGAGGACACCGGGCCGTAGATGGGATTGCCATTCACGGTGTTTCCATACGAATAGTTATCCACATGACTTTTAGGACCCAGTGCTGTGTCTCCCCGCACATGGGCAATATCTGAGTTGGTATCTTTGTCCAGGTTCTCAATAAGGAATGATGGGTATCCTATTAGCTTCTTGTTAGTCTCTGTCAATCTGACACTGTGTTATGAAGGGGTTGCGATCGTATTTTCGGTCTCGCGAATAAAACGCGTTGAAAGTTATGGAGTAGAGAAATTATAAGGGCCAACCCCGTGGGGTCGACCTTTAGTAAGGACGACGATCACTGACCTGAAGTTATGAAAGTCACGCCAGAATTGATAGATTTTGTGTCAATGAGTGCAATCCACGGAGAACCGCCGTCATGGTTAACTGCAGTTCCAACGGTGTCAAACGTCGCGCCGATAATACTAATAGTATTCCCGCCGTTTATCAGCATACCGACCGTGTTTTCGTAAAAATAAATACTCTTGTAAAGGGCTTGCTGATGACCATTATGCCAAATTCCATTCTTGATTGATCTTATTAGTAACTTTCCCACCATGTCAATAGGAAGAGGATGCTATGCTAATTACCTGACCGCGTTCGACTCGAACGTCAGCTAGACCGAGAGTAGAGCCCCTCGCAAGTTGGATACCAGTATGTCCCTTTCCGTTAACAGATGATGCCATAACAATTTTGACATTCTGCAACTGAGCTGCTTGAGCAACTCCCCAGCCGAGTGCAGTGAATTCGTTACCTGGTAATCATTATTAGCAACAGATCCGGGCACTCGTCATTATACCAAAACAATATTACCTCCTGGAATACTAGTAGTGTCAAGTATTATATTCTTTATTCCAACCGCAAAGGAAAGTTCCCCCTTCCCATCAGTTCCCGGATCCTGACCTGTGACACAGTTAGAAAAGTCCACACCCTCTTCTTATGGTAGGGCAGGCTTACCGGATAGGAGGGTTTGCTCTCCCGAGAAACCGGCTGCGGCTTTGATTGTAGGCGGCTGACTGAAGTTAGTGGGTATAGACTAGAGGTAACTTATACACTCACGTTTGTAGCGTCGCCCATAAGAATAGTATCGGTGTTCATGCGGATGGTCTCGCTGACTTCGTACGTCCCAGGTGGGATATAGACTACCTAGCTATATCTTAGCCCGCGATCAATGACCTTCATAGTAAACTCATACCCTTGGCTGAGACGCCAACCATTGAGAATGTCGCGTATTACCACTGCCCGCGTCTTTTATGGCGTTAGCAATACCAGGGCCATCGCCAGGGTTTACAGCAATATATACGGGATAGCTGTAGTCATTGCCCAGGTCCGGCGCATAGCCGCGACTCGGGCCTGTGTGGTCCATATTAGCATACCAGAAGCTGGTAGCCCTTTTGGAGATGGTTTCGGTGTCTCCTGTACCCCACGGGATACTGGAGCATGAAGCCCTCCCTAGCAGAGCAGCAACAAGAAGCTTGAGGACAGCCATATCGAATATTCGTCAATGTATGAAGCCTATGTTGAGACTCAGCAAGCTAAGATATTTACCTCGCAAAGCTAGCGAGTGAAGCTATATATATGTGAAGTGCATTAGGCCAGACACCGGCGGCATTTCTGACGGGGCTTATGAGGATGAGGTCCGCATACGGTACTTCGCTTTCGGAAGCTACTTTTGATGACGCCAGCAACACCTAGGGCCCTGAATATTCATACAATCTAGCAGTTGAAATTATGCTAGAGGTTCATGATAGTCATGATAGTGCCGGATTTATTCGATCACAAAGAAGTCGAATGGAGTTTGACGTTTATCCTTACCTACATATGTAAGACTTACGGCAATTGAAGATGACATTTCGCCTTGTGGAGGGCGATTGTTGCATTGTCCTTTCCCATTAGCCGTATTTATGGTTGTCCATTATTGTTTCCATAATAGTTAGCTCCACTATCCATTAAGGAGGGCACATTGCATCCGGTGAGCATTACATCTCACTTTACTTCTCACCGTGGCATTGATTACACCACCCCCTGAATCTTATGGGAGATTTTGACCTTGCGTAAATTGGCCAATAGTTCAATAATTTATTCAATTCTTCACCTTGAAATATTAATGCAGATCATATAGAAATGGCCTATTTCACGTCATGATGGCATATCCCGTGAAAGACTTCAGTCGGTTATGGTTGTACATCGCAAAGAGAGCCGCTATATTCTTCGGTCAATTTAGCGAAAGAGTTACCCCGAGTCTACTACGTTTCAAGGTAGCGGCTACTACGTGTGTAGCTATTATAAGGTAGGTAGGTGGATTTGCAGTAGCCCGATATAGAACTAGACCTTCCCTTTTGAAGATGGTCAAGGTAGGGGAACGTAGCAAATTGAGCTAACTTTAGATTTGAACTCGATGATACTCCATACCCAGGTAGGTTAGGTACCTAACCTAGGTATTCATGCGATCCTCTGTCGATATTATTCGAAGTTCTTTACTCTGCGAACCCTTCAATTCTAATTTCTGAGACTCAAACGCAAGCACTATGTTATATCATAATAGACAAATTTATACAGGCTAGGTAATTATATTTGATTGAGTACTTGATATATCTTATTAATTACCTACCTACCTAGCCTAACCTATATATTGCCTGTCTTTGTTACTTACTATCTTGTTCTAATAATGTTTAAACTTGTAGCAATCAACTTACTAATTATGTATTTAACTTATATTAAACCAAGATAATTAGTAATCAGTCATTCGACCTGTTGGTTTATAGTGGTTCTACTATTATTGAGATACCTCTCTTACTAAACTTACGTAACCGATGCGCTATATGGTCACCTATTATACGACTTGACAAATGAGGCAAACTGGGTCAATAGAGCGTATTGAATAGTTGCCTTATTAACTAGTAGTTAGGAAGTATTCTCCCGAGAAAATCACCATGCTTAAAAGTTCTGACTCAGATACAAAACTATGCACACATGATCTAATAAGTTTGAGATCGACGATGAGCTTTATGATTAATAAAGACTAAAGATACATACATAATACTGGGTTCTATCAAGTTGCCACGCCGATCAACTTAGGTAATCCTAGCTGCCTGATAGATTACACGAACCCTCGACGGCAGTTTTTACGTCCTCAAATTGTTTGCTTTTCTAGCAAACGTGTATCCGCTTGCCCGTTTTGATACCAAGAACCAGCAATTCGGCATCGCCCCGTTCTTGGTTTCCTGTGTAACAGGAATGTGTTAAGTATACTAGCTGTTAGGAATTGATCTGCTTTATGTCGATCTATGCAATCTGAAAATGTAGTGAGAATCTATTAGTCTGGGAGAGGTCTGTTAGGTAGGTCATGGGTTGGTTAGAGGGGAGGAGTTTACAAGAGCCTTTCTTTTCGACTCCGACTGAAACTACGCCTACGAAAAAGAATCGAACGGTCCATAGTTATTTGGGCCCATATACCGTTAAAAATTAGTGTTTTCTAGCATATAAAAACGTCTTTCATTTGTCCTTGTCGTCGGGTTCTTGTTGAGGCATTCATATCAAGCTTGAGACTTTCCTCGGAATCTACTCGACTCTTGTCACTCGATTGACGTCCTCAATCCCCCCCAGTAGTAATTACCTGGATTAAGATAAAATAAAGATATTATTTTACAATGATGTTGCCATCCTCTATAGTATATAGCAGGGACCCGTCCTAATTTTAGAATTGCCCTCCAACTCGGTCACCATACTGTGCCATAACCCGTCCGTCACCCGAAAACCAAAAAAATGGATACCTATTGCGGTTTAATCTCGGATGGGATAAACCAGCCCGTATTGATCCATACAGAGTGGCTTGTCAGATGTAGTTAGGTAGCTGTATACTTAAGTTAACATAATGAATGACTAGTAGCAACGGGGAGTACCTAGGAGTAAATAGAGCAAAAAAAAATTCATTGATACTTACGCAAATCGTCCGTCATGCTCGCGGTCAAAGCCCCCCCTCATGGCCCAGATGCTCTCCATTTTGAGTCGATGCTGGCTCTCCGGTTTGCCCTCGGCAATTCGTTTCTTCTCGAAGTAGACATAAGCAGCATAGAAGACCGGGCTGGTGCAGCCAGCATTGGCACCTTTCTTGCCACGGAAATCGGCAAGTTGCTTCGACTGGAAACATTTACCTTTGGGCTGTCTGAGTTGCGCATATATGTCACGGCAAAACTGTGCGGCGGTCAAACCCGGCGTTTTGAGATGCGCGTTGATCTTCTTGCGAACCTCGTCACATGTGTCGTATACTGGAACAGAATCGGTCTCTTCGCCAGGTAGAGAAATGTTGCTAATATCCGTCCCGGAAACTGGTGGTATTGTGGCCTTGCTGGCGCTACTGGACCCTACGGCAGCGGCAGCGGCAGCGGCAGCTTCGGTCTTCTGTCGCTTTTTCACATCCGGCATCTTGAGACTAGCGATCTCTCGCTGTTTGAACCATTGCCAAGCGCTAGTATAAACGGAACTTCCGGCCCCATCCATACTTCCTCTCTTAGATAGAAATAAGTTGAGGCTTCTAAAGTTGCTGCCGATGGCATCGCAGAACTCGCCTTTCTTCATCATGTCGCTATCCAAAAGCTTGTTGATTTTGCCCCTCACTTGATTGCAACTCATATCCATAAACAGATGATCAGTTTCGATGTCGGAAAGGTCCTGCTTATATGCGGCAATATCATCGTCTAGCGACGTCTCTGATTTGCGTTTCTTGCCAGCGGTAGCAGCGACCTTCGGGGCCGGTACAGCGGCTTCGGTTGCGGGAGATTGTCCGGCAACTTTCTTGCCCAAAGGCGGAAGAATGGGGGTCTGGTTTGCCCGACTACTAGCATCTTGAAGGGCTGGCCGCGCCGCCTATATTTTAATTAATATATTAGAACTATCTTGTTAGATGCGGGGCTTACTTTACCACAGAGTCTTTAGTTGCCATAATTATAACACCTGAATTTTATCTTTTTAGGCTTTATTCAAGATTATAACTAATCATAATTCTAAGTTGAAAACCTGTATCTTTCGTTGTAAAATCACAAAATATAATACAAACATAATACAGAGACGCGATAGTTTACATCGAGATCACTATCACTACGCGACAACGCGGTGGTTCGTGCTGAATAGGACCAAGCTTTAACGCTAACGATGAATTGACGTCACTTAAACGTCACTAAAACCATCTGACAGGTACCTAAGACGATAATTCTAAACCTCCCCCCTATCTATAGCCTAACGCTACCTAATCTTCATCTACCGTACATAATGATTCTTGAATCATTTATCTGAGGCGGCGGTTCTGCTCGGCGCCGTTACGCTTCTTCAAGCGGTAGGTGATTGCCCGCTTGCGTGCAGCAGGGGACTGTGTAAAAGCCGCCGAGCCTCCAAACGGTCCTGCAATTGCGTTGTTCCGAACTCTCACGATGCACACGTTCTGAGCGTCGCCGACAGTAGCGTCGCAGGTCATTCCCTCGGGCATCTGTACGGTCAAGGGAAAGTCCGTATTGGTGGCCGTGGATAGTCCTCCGAACCCTATGCCCGGAACATCCTGAGTTACCTCGGCGGTCTTGAACGCGGCAGGGTCCTGACCGCCCGAGGTTCCGTCAACGGCGGCCTCCATCGGACCGGCACCATCTTGGTTGATTTGTCGGAATGTCATGGTGATTGAACCATCATCAGCACACGTGGGGAGGCCCGACGTGCTACCCTGACCAGCAGTAGCGGCAACCGAGGTTTCTTCAGGCGTCTCGGTCTTTTGGCCCGCGCCGGTCTTGGCTTTGTTACCACCAGTAAGACCACCAGTGAGACCCGAAAGCAAGTCGCTCAGTGCTCGGGGGAAGGAGGTGCTCTTCTTTGCTACGTTCCCCGGGATGTTGTCCTCCACACCGGTAGCGGCAGCAGAGCCGTTATTGGTTGGAGCCGTTGTGCCTGCTCCCATGAAATTTTGGATCATGGTAGAGGCGTCGATAGGTCCATTGCCTTGGGTCCGGCCCAGAGCACTCGCCTTGCCCGATGATATCTCACGATCTCTGATGATTGCTGTATCGGCCTGCGACCCACAAGAGTTGGAGCTGCAGTCTCGGGGCGTACCATCGGCAACTAGTTCTATCATCAGTACCTTGTATACAATATCGAAACACGGGATGGATTTTTAACATACCGCTAAGTCCGGGCATCACTACTCCATTTGCTCCTTTGATAGATGTCACAAGACCGTGGCTATAAGCAGTGGCAAGAAGGCCGGAAGTAGCAATGAGTGAGTACCGCATCTTGACGAATTGGGGAATTAATAAACAGGAATGATGATGTTAAAATATGCCACCAGGGCTGTCCTCGAGAAAACAGAAGGGAATTGTGTTAAACGGGTAGTAAGTTGAAGGTCTTGGTGTAGTGCTGACGAGAGTAGAATCATCGTTGAACTGCGATTCATCTCGAGTCTTATATACACACCATTTTGGTCGAAGTAAGTTATTCGACCTGTAGCAGGTAGTGCGTCTCAATATCGAATACACAGCCATCTCGTCGACTTCGAACTAATAGCCTCTATGTTGCGTGAAATCTCATCCGAAGTTTCCGAAACGATGGACAAAACACAGAGAAACAGTTTCGTAGCCAATCGCATTTAGCATCTGGGTATTCCCACTTTTCGGATCTAGCTAACTGATACTGATCACCTCCTTGGCTTCAAGACAAGCATTTAGACTCATTGAGGCTTAGCTATGATAGTGTGTGAAGCTATCACGTTTCGAACTCTCCGAGTCTTGGTAGGTCTCCCAAGGGTGCTAGAAAAGACATGGAATCTAGCAACTTTCTAGAATCGCGTTTGGCGTCGATATACCTACCTGCGTATGTAGAACGCCAAGTCCCTTCGTTTTTGGAGAAACAAGATGACTCTAATTAAACAACTATCGAAATCATCTCTTATTTATGTCATACAGTTATATTTAATTGCAGAATATAATAGCTACCTGACCTTCATGTTTTTTTTTATCATTCTTTTTATATTTTTGACGCTTTTACGGCCATGTCCCGACGCAACTATCGCTCGCCAAGAGAATGCTGGGGCTCCCAGGTTGAGGCACTGCAGCAGGGGCTCAAACATCCCCTGGGAGAATCTGTTTTCTGGGGAGACTGAAACGAAGATGATTGGCCAATCGGCGAAAACTTCTTTATTCGCATCAAGACCTCTTTTGGACCTTGTTCCGAATAATGTTATCGGAGGAGGGTGATGTTATTGGCAACCCTAAGCAAGTTACATCATCTCCTTGTCTTCTACGCATAATATGATGTGCGGCTACCGATGCGGTTAACGGGAAGCTGCCCTTGAGGAGATCTTTGCGAATCCCGAGAATCATTTGAGATTGTTGGGCTCCCAGCCAATATGCATCAGATGTCCCCAGCCCCGTCCACCAGCCAGCCAGTCACAGCCTTAGTTAAGGTCTCATGGTCTCTAGGGACTTGATTAGGAATAACTCACTATACACGATGGTAGTCTAGATTGTACCAATCGCAACACTTGCCAGTTTTTAGTTCCTCGCGCATCGTACTCGGATCTGTTGCCTCGGCGATTGCCACCGTAGCACAAAGTAGAATATCGAATCGGATATGACACTTGATATCGGGAATACTACCTCGCCGTTAACTTGAAACTGCAAGTGAGCTGAAAGATCCGTACCTTGCTAGGTAAATGATAATATTCTACCAAATGTGTAACGCATGCGCAATACGCCACAAAAAGGGGAAATAATACGAATATGCTATAATGAGGCGAATTTAAAAATGTTTAATTGTTTTTTACCCCATTAATTTTATAATATTTTAATAAAACCTTATATTTTTAACGAGTTATTGTAAATTTAATTTTAGGTTTTTTATTTTTTAAATTAAATAAAACGATAGTTTAAAATTAAAGTTTTTTAAAAATATTAAATTTAATTAACTTAATATTTTATATATTATTTATTTGTTTTAATAATTGCTTTTAATCTTTTTTTTATATTAAAAGTTAATTGATTTAACATTTTTTTTTAAAATTTATTTTATATTTTATTTGTAATAAATATTAGCAATTTTAATAATATAACGTTTTTAAACATGTTTAAAAGTTTAAGTTTTTTATTATAAATTTTTTTTTTTAATAATTTCCAAAAATTTTTAATAAAGTTAAAATTAAATAAATATAATGGTTAATTTATTAACATAACTTTATTGTTTAAAACTTAATTTTTTAATTAATTTATAATTAAATAAATTTTATATATAAAAGTATTATTTATAATAAATATAAATTTTAATATGTAAATTTAAAGTAATATTTTTTATAAAACTTTTAAAATAATAAAAGATATAATTTTATAATACCGTATATTAAAATTGTTGTATAAATTTATTAATAAAATACAATTTTCCCATTTAAATATATTTTAAAACATTTATAAATGTTTTATTAATTTACCTTTTAATTAAATATATTATGTTAATAATTTTTTGTTTTATTATATTATAATTATTAAGTTATATATAAATTAAATTAAAATATAAAAAACAAATGTTAATTTATCCGTTAATAAAATACCCACGTTTAACGTTTACTTTTACCATAAACCATAATTAACTCGTTTAAAAAAACTTAACATTTTTAATATATAACAAGTTTTTTTTTATGTTTTAATGTAAAATTTAAGCATTTTTCGGCATATTATAATGTTAATTTTAACTTTTAAAATATTTTTTAATACATTATATTTTATTTTTTAAACCAATTAATAATAGTTTTTACATACATTTATAACTTAATCTTAATAATTAAACGATTAATTATAATAAAAAAGTTTTATATAATAAACTTTATTATATGTTTTTTATTTTAATTTAATAGTTTTTTAAAGCGTCCGCGGCTAAAGCGTAAAAAGTTTAATTTTTAAATCTTATATTTTAAATTAATTTTATATACACTTTACCACGGCACTTTTTTTAACTCCTCGATTTTTTTAATACTTATTTCCGTTAAAAATAAAACTGCAATTTTCGTCTTTTTATAAGGAAAATAATGCATTTTAAAGGTTTTAAAATTTGGTAGTAATGTAAGAGCTATTTTTAAAAAGATAATGTAATTATTTACATATAAAAAATTAAGGTTTATGGGAAAGATTGGACGTTTTTAAATTCGCCTTACTGTACACGAGCTTGGCGCGCTATAGCCCCCTATCGCATACCGGCTCATGTGTGCCGAAGAGATCTATGATATATGGTTCCCAAGTCCCGATAGACCATGCATAAGGCAATAAGCATGAGGCGGCATTGACTAATGTGTGAATAATCAAAGCAGACTCGGGCTCCGTATCTAAGGGAATAACTACCTATGGATAATATTGTGTAAGGGGTCGAGAAACTTATATCTGAGTGATCCTCCGCACATCCAATAACGGTAATCCTCAATCGTAATTCTCTCTGCTACACTTAGCATATGATAAGTCTCGCTCTTATTCGATTATCAGCCAGTTTAGGCATCCGCAACCTTGGAATAGTAGTTGATCTTGACAGCATCGCTATCCGAGCTGGTAATTCTCATACTCGTAGCGCCTGATATTATACGTACGTCAAGACATCACTGGAGACCAAGGGATGTTGCCTTGTCAAACCCCTATTTTTCACAATGAATTTACATCCGCCCCCGTCGAACTGATTCTTCGATCATCTCTAGGCTGTTGCAGTTGACGAGAATGATATGGGTGGGTTCCTCTTTGAATCTACGCCAACTCTTAGAGATCTATTATGGCTTAGGTACATTTGTCTGTAGGACTAATACGTTAGCATGAGGTTGTTATTTACTACGCGAACAGTGTCCATAAATATCTCCGAGCTGTCGGATATGGCTTTGATAGTGGCTCCGTCGAGGGTGGCCATTTAGATTATGTCTAGGTGTATAGCGTGTCCAATTCATCGTGTATAACGGCAATTTATTTATACCGTTCCTTTTATATGTACCTACCATAGCGGAGGAGGGGGGTTTGGGAGAATGATTCCATAAATATGAAACTATTCCATATAATGGTAACAACGGAATCAGCTTGGTGCATTCCAACATCGTGGAATGATTCCAAAATGTGGAATGGTTTCGTAAAATAGAACGATTTTGATATTCACGTGACTTTCACGTGATTTCCACGTGAAAAGTGGGGCAAAGGTAAAAAAAAGTCGAAAAATTAGAAAGACTGGTCCTCGAACCCATAGCTCTTGCGTTTCTGTTTCTATAACCATAGAACCCCACAATTAATAAGGTTTAAAGTTTAAACGTTTGAGCTAATGGGATAAGGTGGCCAATCTCATCGAATTATTTCGGAATGGAATTTCGTCTGATTTTAGTCCTTATAACCTTTACTTCGGAAAAAGTAAAAAAGTAAAATTTTGACTTAGAAAAAAAAAAAAAAAATTTTTTCGAAATTTTTATAAAAATTTTTTTTTCTCTAAGTCAAAAGTCGGGCAACCGTTCCCAAAATGGGAACGATTGTATGGGATGGAATGGTTTTACGGTTATAGAACGGTTTTTGTAAAATAAGATTTTAAAAGCGGGTCCAAGACCCACTATTCTCAAATTCTGACCAATCAGAGCCCTTAAAACCCAAAAACGTTGCGCCGTACGGAACCATTCCAGTTTTGGAATCATTCTCCCAAACCCCCCTCCTCCGCTATGGTAGGTAGGAGGTAGTTATTAACTTTGCTCTCTTTGCCTCGAAAATACTAATTTCTTATGGGTCACTAGTATGAGATGAGTACCTATCTATCCATCATCCCTATGGTCCTTGCTAAGTGGTAGGTACATGGACGAGAGAAGCCGCGGACTCCGAACGATGTAGGTTCAGTCTTCGAATATACTGGTAAAATTTAGCAGGATTATCTTATTGCACGAATCATCAGATCCTACCGGTGCGGCTTGCTAAGGGGAACCCCCCTATTGCTATTGGGTCTGTCCCAATTAGGAAACCACTCTCTGATTGGTTCTACCGCGGCTGGAATCCATAACACCACTCCATGTCCCTATTCTAGAGGGCAATACATCTAAATGTATGATAAACGTAGACTGATAGAAGAAGACCGAAATTTTCACTTGATCTTCCCGGGCTTTACGGAAGCCGATAGCCCAAAGTCCGTAGAATAGGAGGCTAAAATGGCGTATTTCTCCTATCCATCTCTACTGATTGTCATGGACGCTACCTGTATCACTTTCACTTAACAACCTTCCATTATTTTAAGCTACCGATAAATATCATACAAGAAACCCCCTTTCAACAGATATGAAAATGGTATCCGTTTGGGAATTTGTATCTGAGCAATGGCAAAAGCTCCCTGTCCTCGCTACGACGGAGACTTGTGCTGGGAAAACGTACATTGTTACAGGCTCTAATACCGGCCTAGGGCTTGAGGCTGCGAAACATCTAGTCCGCGTCCGAGCTAATAAAGTGATCATCGCAGTCCGAAACCTTAAGGCAGGTGAAGCGGCAAAGGCCGAGATCGAGTCCGCAACGAACAATCGAGGCGTCGCCGAGGTATGGCATCTCGACTTGGCAAGCTTTGAGTCTGTCAAAGAGTTTGCGAAGAGGGCTATCGAGAAATTAGATCGCATCGACGGTCTAATCAAGAATGCCAGCGTCGCGCTTGACAAGTTCGCCCTTGCAGAGGGATACGAGTCGACTGCCACTATCAATATTTTGAGCACCTTTCTTCTAGCGATCCTCCTCCTTCCAAAGATGACCGAGACGGCGAAACGCTTCAACATCCAGCCTCACTTGACAATCGCTACGAGCGAAGCTGGATTTGCAGTCAAGGAGGCCTTTGATAGTGTAAAGGATAATCTAATGACGAAGTTGAACGACCCGAGAACGTCGGATATGAGACAAAGGTTCGGAATTCTTAGCTTTTAATGATGTCTAGACGTCTTCTAATGTCTTGTATCGCAGGTATCCGGTCACCAAGCTCATCCAACAGTTCGCAGGCCGCCACCTCGCAACCCTTCTACCAGTTTCAAAAACAGGGGTTGTCCTGAACCTTGTGAACCCTGGCCTATGCAGGACTGCGCTTAGCCGACATGTAGGATTCTTTTTGCGTCTGCAGATTGTCATAGCCATCTTTTTGATCGGGAGAACTGTTGAGATGGGTAGCCGCACGCTGCTACACGCAGTGGTGGCTGGGGAAGAGAGCCACGGGTGTTACGTCTCGGCTTGCGAGGTTAAGGAGTGAGTACCTAGTCATTTTATCCTATACCTATTATATTACTGACGTGTTGTTAAGAGACCAGGTACCCAGCTGGGTGAAAGGTGAGGAGGGTAGGAAACAAGGAAAGCTTATATGGGGTGAGATAGCAAGGGTTCTAGAAACAGTTAATCCAGGTTGTCTGAGTAAAGTATTGTAATATGGGCGGCATTTGATGTACGGATTAGGAGTTTTATAAACATGATTTTTAAATACGGAAAACAAATACAGTCCCTTATAGTTTGATGATAAACATTCATAAGGAGCCTAGCAAAGAGTGGTTGTATACTTTAGGTATGTAACCCTATTAAGATAATTTACGTACCTAGGCACACTTTAAGTTATCCCATAATAATCTTCCTGGTTTACCATGAAGAGAGTTGATCCAGGGAAACTTGGAGAAAATTTGACAAACGTCATCCCAACTTTGGAGACCCAACAATAGGACAATCTGCCTTATCCTCTGCATCAACTGCTCATCCTCAGATCTTTTGAATATTGTTATTTCTGCCATGAATAAAGCCCAGAGGATGGCTTCCTTGTTTTCTGTATCCTCGGTAAATTCTTGGACGAGGACTCCTATTTTCTGGCGGAGAAGAGGTAGTTCAGGGAGTCTATGCAGAAGGGAAAGTAGGAAATTAGCCATTATCATTAATAGCCCCATGTGAATGATATTCTCGAGACTATCAGTTGGGTCTGTGTTAAGGGGTCTGATGTGAACGAGTCGATAGCCAATGAGGATGAGGGTGTCATGATACGTGTACCCATCCATCTTAATACTATCGTCGGTATTCTCGTTGAGAAACCAGGTAAGACTCATAATGTCTGTCCAGACCTCTTTCATACGAGGGTTCAGCTGCACGAAAGGCTGCGATGCGAGTAAGCCAGATATTTGAGACGTCCCAAGCCTCTCACGGAGCCAATTCAGAGTGGCAACACCCGGCACTTCGTCGACGCTAAACCGTGTAGACAATCCTAAATAAATAGCAAACTCGAGATCGACCCTAATGTGATGTTAGAACACAGTCATATATAGTAGGTATTTATGGCGACGTTTCTCACCTGAATATCTTTTGAGTAAGCTCTGGTTTATCTTTCATAAGCTGGGAGATTCCGCCGCGGAGCTCAACCATCTGCTGGAGCCCTCTGAAATGGATCAGGCCTTGGTCATACTGACCACACATCCGCTCGTACTGGAGCATAGCAACTACCGAAGCCAGTGTCATGTCTGACAACGCCTCCCCCCCGGATAGTCTCTGATTGACTAGGCGGAGGCTATCTGATAGGTGGCTCAACCCTTCCGTAGAATCCTCGGAGTTTGTAGTTAATAAGTTTTTGGCAGCGATAGACATTGCTATAGAGCAGTGAAAGTCTTTGAACCGTTAGCTCGTTCTTATACGCGGGTTCGGTAGGGAGACTTGCATGCTTCATCTACAAACCAGAACTGGATCCATATCGACCCAGCTGCAGAGAAATCAATGGCATTGCCGAGCCCGGGCATATGAGGGACGCTGATAAGGAATGCGAAGGCTAGATTATAGTAAGAAGTATGCTCATGTGTATACCTAGGTATTTATGAAAATAGTCGTGGGTTCGGCCGCTACCTTTCTGAACAAGAGTTCTAGATCCAGGAGTTAACTCGACTGGTAGGGAAAAAACAGATAGGCTATCGCCAACTTGAGGTTTCATCGTAGGTAATGCTATGTGATGGTGCTGAGAGACTAAGTGTTTGGTTTTATAATTAGATTTAGCAATATCAACTTTGATCGCGGCTCTTCTCCCCCGCGATGGGTGCTTTTTGCCGACATTTCGACCCTTCGCCGCTTGACTGCGGATCAACTTTCTCGTGTTGCGATCAATTATAGTATTGTCGACGAATTCAAAGGGCATCTTTCCTTATACTAATAGGTTTGTTCAATGTATCTATAAATCTTAATCTGGATTCATGATGGAATCAGATGAGATAACTCTAAGAATAATGAGACTCATGAGTGCGTTCTTATTAGCGACGGACGTATCGGAGTTAAATCGCGGTCGTCTCGATTAATAGAATAAGTACGAAGTACGGAATACACTGTGCTTAAACCAATGTGAAAAATGTTTGTACATTCCTTCTCTACAATCCATGTCTTCTTAAAAGGTTTCAGAAATGATATCCTCTTGACTGTCCTCATCTTCCTCTTGATTTTGTTTCCCGTAATAATTTCGCCTTAGACCCTGGGTCATAGATGCCACCCTGTGAACCCATTCATCACGATCTGCTCCTTGCAATGGGGCATTATCGAGAGCCGCGTCGACTTGGGACCCGAATGGTGATAGCTTATAATACTGAGATGCTGGCGCGTATGGTTCTTCTGTTGCCCAATCGCGGCGAGGCGACGCCATAGGCGTTCCTCTCCGTGATAACTCCGATCCAGCCCTGCCACGTGCAGCTGACCGGGCTTGTCTTCGCCGTTCCTCTAGCTTCTTCTCTTGTCTCTGTTCTTTTATCCTCTCTTCCTCTATTTCTCTGTCCTCGTCCCACATTCTTCGGAAGAGCTCTTGGTACTGGACTAATGTAGTCACTTCCTGGCGAAGGCGGATAAGATGGGCAAGTAGGAAAAGTCCGAGACAGATGGATATGAGGGTCGAGGTCCAAAAGAAAAGTCGTTTAGTATTGTCTTTAATGTCATCTAGCTAAATGCGACCCGTGTAAGATTAGTCCGGGTAGGCGCATACATAAGTTTTACTTTTTTCCAACTCACCGAGCTCTGGAGATGGGTTACGTATTTGATAGTACCATGTAGAGCGGCTGATAATTGATCTTCAATATTCCTCCCTTCGTACGAGATGTCAATATTAGATTGTCCACTCATGGCTGCTTTGCTTCATCAAACAGACTAGCACTAAAGCTCTTCTTGTTTATTGTAGCAGCAACGAATGTAATGTGAGTTTTTCTCTTAAAAAGTTCGTGCTCATAGGTGACAATACGCGGATTGGCTCGAGATTCCATAATAAGTCCTTGTGGTCCGCATTGGAATGTAGTGTAAACAAAGACCCGAATTGTTGAACTTCTCCTAATAGAGCTTTCGGCTAGAATTAGAATCCGTTTTCAAACCAAATAAGTTTTTACACTACTGATGATAAGGATACAACACTGAAAGATAAAGCTAGACATCGAGCCATAGTGTTTACCATTTAGTATCCACAAGTACACGACTCTTAACGTCTAGTTGTGACCATGTGCTTTCAATACGACAATAGGGGGTTCTTTAGGATTGTAGCGCACAAGGACTTACTAATCTTGTTATAATTTAGATACTCTGGTATACGTACCTAATATAGGCCGAGGCTTTGTAAAACCCCAAGTCGCGATCGTGTATTGAAGAGCTAACACGAGTTAAGAGTCCTGGCACCTCAAATGGACTTTTCCATTCTCAGATCATCGGAAGACCTAGTGGGCAAAATTTACCGAATCGCCCCAGTCGTGGATGAGAGCTGCGAATTTAGGACATTGTTCTTGGTCCTTAGCGAGAGAACTGCCTTCACCACCCTTGTAGGAGAGTTGTTTCGCTGCCTGACTGTGAGCATATGCGATAAAGTCAGGAGCCGAGATCGGGGGATCAGCTGCATCCTGTCGAAGTTGTCTAAAGACCGTTTGGATTTCCTCAGCTTGGGATTTCAGTGTAGCAACTGAGTCCTCAACTTGTTGATCCTCATAGACATGTCCACCCATTTGAGAGCTGGCGGCGGCGCTATCAGCTATTATGGAGTCTAGGAGGAGTTGGGATCCGAGTTCTGCATCCGTAAGCTCAGCCTTGGCGGCTTTCTCGAAGAACTGGTGTATATTTTTTGAGAGATCATCGCCCTTCTTCTGTCGCGAGGTGACATAGTGATCAAGCTTTCTAATTTGCTTGTGTGGAGTGAGCGCATTAGCTTTATCAACGTCTATCGGGACGGAGCCGTAGAGTTCCATCTGACGCCGAATATTCTCAAGCAATGTGCGGTCCTTTACTTTGCTGCTTCCCTTTTTTTGGTCTGAAGGGGGATTCTTGGCCAGTCTTTTAGTTACGTCCAACTCTGGTGTGTTTATATGGGTAAACGTGCTGAGAAGGGATTGGTGATGGTAAGCTAACATCTTAATACGATCTGCTAGGAGACGGAGGCGTTCATTCATGAAACCAAGAATAGCAGACGTCTATATCGAGTCAGTTATAAGTTTAAGTGTTGGAAACTGAAATACCAACTTACATAGCGAGAAACGGTTGCATCACGTACAGTCTGACGCTCAGAGCACGTTTCGACCTTCCCCAAGATGGGCTTGAGAAATTCTTTCTCTACCACCATATGCGCAAGCGGCACCATCTCATCCCACAGAGATTGTATTTCGGCATATACATCGTCACGCTCATCATTGATGGCCTGCGCATTGCCAGGCGCGAAAGAAACGCGTTTATTAGGAGTAGAAGAAGTCTCCAGAAAAACAGTATCTAAGGATGCGCGGCATTTTGTAGCTAGCGATAAAACAATCCTATCGTCTAGTTAGTAGCAGCGTAGAATTGAAGATACGGAATATGCTTAACTGATTGGCATGGCGTCTGGCTGTCCGAAGAATCGCATCCTCATCGATAACATCGTCGCCTAACTCGCAATATAGGGCATTTAATCTACCAAGGATATGATCATAGGATACAATGGTGGTTTCGAAAACTTGCTTTGGGGCAACGGATTTTAACCTTTCATTGCTATCTGTCTCTACCGAGGTGGACTTGCTTTGGCTGATCTCTTCAAGTTGATTCGTATGGTGGCTGATTTTATCTTCTAGGGTGTGGATCTTTCTAATATTAGTATCAGGAACTATTCAACCTTTGGAATTAGTATATACCTTTGATTTGAGTAAATCCTTTCTGCGAGACAGAGCAGAGATCTTCTGCTTTACCATAGATACTTCATCATTGGTTTCTGGAGGTCGTTGTAAATTAGCAATGCTACGGCGAACATAATCTTTGTACTTCACCAGAAGTTTTTCAAGGACATTATTATACTGGTTAATGTCATGAAGAGCAGCCTTAACCATGTTATGATCAATAGTCTTCTGACTAAATGGCATCTCGGAAAATATGTCCACATCCCCACGGGATTGAGTTGATCGGTGGCCACGACTAGCTGATTGAAGAGAGTTTAGACTGCGATGTATGTTAACAATAGATGCCTAATGTATATCAGATGAAAGTGGTCTGACGTACTACTTCAACTCGTCCTCCGACAGCACACTCAACGGACCGTTTGATTCAGCTAATGACACTAAGCGGGCCCATTCAGGAGATAACTCGTTACAGATAAACGACTTGAGTAGGTCCTTTTGACTTTCGTTCGTGGCATTTACAGCCCCGCAGACTTGATTGAAGAGACGCATCTCGGTCTCCGACAGGGCCGAAAGACTAGCCATCTTGAAATATGGCAAAGTAGACTATCTACGAGATATCAACTGTCAGACATCATATGCAGCTATAGTACGAGATGCAGGTAGTACAGGAGAGAAAGGGGGCAAAAGGGGCAAAAGGGGCAAAAGGGGCAGAAGGGGTCGAACGCCAAATGAACGGGCACTGATTCAAAAGACCTAGTGCGGTGTAGTTGAATAGTTTAGTCCTCGTATTATTGAAAAAGTAAGGCGATATGGCTAAAAACCCATCAGTGTTTCTTATAGATAGAATGAGATGATGTTAAGATGGCTGTATAGAGTAGTAGACTCCGGCTACAAGATGACATACTGACCTGTGATGTTGGCTCGTTCCGGTGGATGGAATCGGTGCCGCGGACAATCCGGTGACCCCCCGCTCGTAAATCAGCGATATTGGAAACTGTAGCCGGTACGCAGCGCGGCAATGGCACGATATCGAATCTAGAACGGCCTAGACAACTTCAAAGATTGAGCATGAATCCTTGACTCTGAAAATTGTGATATCCTCATTTGCTAGTATGAAAAGGCGGTCTTGGGCTAGATAAGTCTAGCCGTAGGCTAAATAGGTTGTGACATGAAGCTTATGGAGTTGATGTATGGCAAGTTTGACCGCTTCCGTTGAGAAGGTTGATCTAAACTAGGAAGCCAGCTTGAGTCGAAGGGATTATTATGAGTAGGTGAGTAGCATTGTAACTTCTGAAGAATTATTTAGCCGCTTATAGCTTCATGTAAGCTAGGATATAGTATGTAAAGGGGAGGGGATAAGCTTGTTGCATTGGCGCACTGATTCAGTCCAATAACTTGTGGCTTGTTTCACGATATCCGAGATAACATTGTATGTACGGTACGAAGTAGACGCGAAAATATTGGGGACTTTTGTTTACATTTGACCTGTACTTTGTACTTCGTACTTTGTAGAATTTGAAATGCCCCACAACTGCATAATCATAGCTATTATAAATACCTTAGGTACATATCTTCATACAAATGCATTTTGGCTTGGCATTAGTTACGTTAATTGCATTGCAAGTTCTTATCAACAATCAACAAAGATGGAAGATTTCAATCACTCAAGTTCTTAGAAGAAATAGTCAAGTTCTTATTTCGACTTGCTTTAATATACTTAAGGTATCACTTCTCTTTTACCTTATTGTACGCTTGTATACTTAAATCAAGCTTCGGCAAAAGCTTAGAGGGATTCCTTCACGACGTCAAAAGCCAATGGTCAAACGGCAATTGGGAGGTCTTTTAAGACAAGGGTCCTTCTAGACCAGAGCCGCAACCAGCCGCTGGACAACCTGGACTTGCAGCATTGAAGTTCCAGGTACGAAAATTAGAGACAAGCCATACTTAGGTACACGTGGGCAACGTTAGCCATGATTCTGAGAAAGACATGATATTCGGGGTCTTCAGTGAAGGGGTCTTCAGTGAACCCTTATATGCATGACTACCGAATCACTGCAAATGACGTCCGCAAGGCTGTTGGTCATAGTTACCATGCATCGTGTTTCTGTAACAAAATAGAGACGATATGCCATGTCCGTCTGTTCAGAGGTAGACAGACAAGGACGTACAGCAACATCAGTCACGATGCTTCAATGGTAGCGCCGTCGGAATGATACGGATTCACTTATGCTCGAAGATGAACAAGTCCAGATTGACAGAGTTCTTCTGACTTTGTCGCGTCAACGCCCAGAACGGTTCGCATCGCTGCGCTTGTCTCATACGCTGTGTTTGCAAGCAAAGGGTCCTGAATGGTCCGCCTCCAAACTGTACCACCTTAAGTCCAGCGGTCAACCATTCATTTCCTAAAATGGGACATGGGACACGAGCTCTTCTTTATCATGGCCTTTCCTGAAGTCTGGTCCCAAAGTGCACTGTTACTCTTCCTTAAACCTCTTCACAACCTCTTCACAGGTTAGCCCAAGGCCTGCTTTCGGATAAGTCCTACTCTCTCTGGATAATCTCAAGTAATAGTAGTGTCAGATCTAGAAGATTGCAAACTACCTAAACGTACATGATATAAGATCTAATTCCTTGTCAGGATGGGACGTCCCAACGATCTGTTTAGACACCGGCCATGCGTTTGCATGCGCATGTGGCAACCCGTTTCCGCTATCCCTCCCCGTCACCATGTCAAAGTGACAGCGGCCGAATGTACCGACATTCAATACTTCAGCAATGGTAGCAAATGCAGATTAACATTGGGCAATGCTGCTGTGACTGAGCCGTCCTTTTTTGGCTTGTGCTCATGAGTCTGTATCCCATTCTCGTCGTCGTTGTACCTACTGGGACCCGCCCGGTTGCCCACTTGCCCACTTGCCTGGCTAGATACGTGAGACGTCATGGAACCGTATCTCCATGCCATCCTAGCATGGTTGCGATTGACCTCAATTCCTCTGTGCTCTTCGGATACTTCCCAGGGGCTTGTGCAATTATGAATCTGCCATGCGTTTCGGCCGTGGAAACATAAGTAACTTTGATCTGGCTAGTCTACGTTGAATACCCGCTCTCCGAGTCACAGAATCTTCCGTCAAACGAACTGTATCTAGTATATATCCTAGTTGTTCCCAAACAGTCTTTTCGATCTCTTTATTACTTCAAGACATATAATCTTCTAGAACTCATCTCTACCCCGCTGTATGTCTTTCCATCCCGGAGGCCCCTTGTACTTCATACTCTTCGTACCTGAACAAACTAGACCATGAATTCAGTCATCCAACAGTTATGTAGGGCTCTACATAAACCAGCAACAGCCAAAAGATACCGGGATGCCGGGATAGGGCTGGCGTTTATTGGATTGAACCAGGTTCTGGTTGTTCCTATCCAGATCACCCTTGATCTCTACTCCATAAACCTCCCCGCCTCTATCCTGGTGATGCTTCTCTTCTCTCTCCTCCTCCTCACCGCTAACTACATTCATGGGGGAACTGAGAAGCTATACTCCAAGCATCTACGCGGGCCGACTGACTTCCTTGGCCGGCACATGTCTTTCGGGTTTGTAGCATCCTTCATAATGCTCAACAGAGACCACATATCCAATGTCATAGACGTCCCTAGGATTGCCGGGGCTTTTTGTAAGTTGCCAGATAGCATTGCCCCCTGAAGAACTTAACTAACTAAAACTAGTCATTACCACCCTTGCAGGCTATATTAGCACATACTTGGTTGCTTTCGGGAGTTCCAAGCTAGAACAGCGACTACGAGGTGTACGAGAGAAAATTTCCGACGTCGAAAGCCGCCCTAAATGCTGGCCTAGCCCCTCCGCAGCATGGCCGGCTCCGCCAACAGATAGGAGTGCTAAGCGGATATCTCAATTGTCTCGGCTAAGTGTGGCTATATCGAACGAGAGGTCTCTTATTTTGGCCGAAGCGGTGAAAGGAGGTCCAGTCTCGCAACTTATAGAACAGATCGTACGCACAGGTCCGCTATGGATTTGCATCTTTCTACTTGCCGTTGTCGGGGTTCCGGTATATTTCACGACTAGGTACGAGGCACCATTTGAGGTTCTATGCTTCATCCTATTCTGGATTTTATCCGTCCAGTTTCAGAGGTCATTAAAGAGTTCATACCGTCTACTAAGGTTTCCGTACCTAAGATCGGTAATGGTCATGGCTGCGAATCCGGTGCTCGTGACTTGGGCAATTGGAACAGCTTATCTCTGGATTAAGACAGGATATAGAGGACAAAGTATCGATGTCACTATCACCGAATTTCACTGTCATCAGACTTTGGCGGAAGGCATAGTTACGATTGTAAAGGGCGGGAGGATATCAAATAACATTGGTGCTGGTGACCTATCTGGACCGGTCTTGGATGCTGGCATCGTCTGTATGGGGTTCAAGATGTTCGAGTACCGAAAAGAGCTATGGGAAAGTGTATACACAGTGTTAGCCACATGCGCATTACTTGCCGTGGCGAACGTCTCCCTCAACGTTATGCTCGCCCGCGCATTGGGATTACAGCCCGCCGACGCCCTAGCCTTTGCCGCCCGATCTGTTACTATTGCTCTTGGGGTGCCGGCGATTGAAAGCTTGGGCGGTAGCACTACGCTCATGAGTGCACTTGTTATTTTTGGCGGGATCATTTTCCAGATGGGCGGAGATTGGCTTTTCTCACTCCTGCGGATTAATGACCAGGAGCGCCAGCTGAAATCTAGCGACTCCAATAACAGTAGTTACACGGAAACTACAGGGTCTACGGATATGTGGAACGAGAAAGACATGCAAAAGCAGATTACTAGGACCGACAATGAGGTGATCGCAGTCGGTGTGACTGTAGGCATCAACGCAGCAGCGATGGGCACAGCGCATCTGATAGAGCGGGATTCGAGAGCTACAGCATATTCCGCATTGTCAATGACGGTGTTTGGGGCCATGACGGTAGCACTTACGGCGGTCCCTAGTGTCTCGGAGATTATTGTATCTCTAGCATCGAGATGAGGCAAATGCCATATTTTAGAGTCCCTAGTTAGCGATTACGAAGATATATGAGATATGAGACGACATCACGTTGCATAGAGATTTCGGGCATAGCGAATGATACCACTACATATGTTTCGATAGACATGGATGGGGAATAGGAGCATGCCACGAGTCAAACTTTTCTTCTCGGAAGGTTTACAAATATACATTAATATTCCTTGTAGCTTATTCTCACGCAATGATATCATAGTCGTAACCGTACTCCCAACGGGATCGTGATTGTTCAACCGACTATCCTACTAGCATTAGAAAATTGGCTTGCCCCTTAGCCGCCCTACGCCGGATACCGACAAGAGAGATGTGAACTCGGACCGTAATTGGGATCGCGATTGAGATTCGGTATCTTGCTAGCTGAATCACGATCCGGTGCGAGATGAAATCCTGTAAAACTACCATATCGTCGTTCCCACGGCGCACACATACCTTAGGTACCAACGCAGGCGCTATCTCGGGTCCTCGCAACGTCGCACGGCACGGCGCGTCCCATAAGTTCCTGGCTTCTATTGCCTTCTAGAAGATATTGAGAGAAAGTCATGCCCCTTCGTCGAACGCATCTCAGTCTACATCGGTCCGTCCTGCTGGGTCATAATTTGTATCTAGTGTAGATCAGTCTACATCACCATTGAGGGGCACTATAGTAACCGTAGTACTAGAAGCTGAAGCCATCAATATGCAGAGGAATGTGGAGACCTCTAACATGGTAGCAATACCGAATCCGTAGAGGAAAAATCATACTCGGCTCACTTACCTCCCTAGTGACATCCAGTCCTTTGGAATGTAACATCGCATATGTAAATATATTATTACTATGGTTCCTATTGCTTTTAGATGTACCCATGTTACTTATCTCTCAGAAATCACGACGAGCTCGATATGGCTTACAGGCCGAAATGAGCCATGACTCGGAAGACTTGTACTTCTCACTTTGAATCATAGGCTAACATAGTAATCGAATAAGTTGTAACTTTAACGTAATTCTTAATGAGGGCCTCGACTATATAATTACCTGTTGATAGAAATAAATATAATACAGCATGTCTACCTTTCATCAAGTGTAGGTTGATGTTAAGAAATATAAAAGGGGTAGGGCGTGTAACCAAACTGGAATAGGACGAATAAAAGGAGCTAGCCATGGCATATACGGCAACTTCTAAATAATATAACTAAATATAACAAGATCTATAAAAGAATTCAGGATATCTACTTGGAATCGGTTCCTGGCATAGAACTATGTGAGGTATTGGGGGAGAAAGGCTCATTGAGCTGCACAGAAGCGTCACATCACATGGTAATTTTTAGTATATAGAATCGAGCTGTTCTTGATGTGCCTCTCTGTTCTAGGCTAAAGAATTATGAAATTCTAAGCAGTGGCTTAACATCATGTTCGGTGAACCTCATATAGAGGCAGCCATGCGCGTGAGTAGCAAGACTTCTCACCCCTAAGAATACACAGGGACTTAAACTAACCTTTCGATTAGATGCAGCCCACTTGCGGTTTCTACAACACCACTCATCTGGCCAGGTTGTAGTGCGAAAGCAGCCTCTTCAAATTCCTTTTGCATGTCTCCCTTACCGAAGTATCCTAAATCTCCCCTCTTTCTGGCCGAACTGCAGTCGCTTTCAGTCATGGCGATCTCTCCAAGAGACACGGTTCCACTCTTGATCTTCTGCTCATGACCCTTGATAATAGCCATTGCTTCCTCCTTGGTTCGGGTAATCTTGCTCTCGCGCCAGCTCGCAGGTCGTCGGCTGTCGCGGTGTTTGACTAGTAGGTGGGCGGCACGGATTTTGCCCTCTGGGTGGCTGACGGGAGCCATCTGAGACGAAGTAGAATGGTGGATCGCCATATATTGTTTCAACTTCTCGGTATCGGTCCCAGCAGGCGGCTCCCAGCGCGAGATTTTCTCGCTCGCGTTGAAATAGTATGGAAGGTTCTTGGAGTTGCTGTGGCGCACCTCCCAGTTAGGTGGTAATCCCGAGTCATCCTGACCGCAGGAAACGTTAGTGGCTGTTTTAATATGAAGATGAAAGAATGAATGAATGGGTAGAACAGATTTGCAACTCTAATCCCTCTGGCGAGCTCGAGGCTAACTTACCATGCTGGCGGTGTGATACGAAGACTACTATTTGGCTGATGAACAGCTTTTATAATTTATTTAATAGCTGTTTAAGCTAGGCTGGAGAAAGGGTATACTACAGTCCGGAGTATGCGTCGATCAAGAAGAAAGAGTGGCCGAATTTTTTGATGTTTACCTCAAGGGAAGCCTTTTCAAGCTCAGAATTGAAGCTATAGCTTGTTAATTAATTGAAGCTTGCTTAAAAGGCAATTAAATCTAAGGAAGTGACAATATAAGCTTTGCTTTTTTATCCTTCCCAAGATGTATGAAAAAGCGAGTGGCGATGACGATGGCGTTATGGTGTTGTGTGTTGATAATGTAGTGAGTTGCTAGGGAAGAATTGCGTCGAATACGTAAGTACCTTTCCCTGACCTTAGGTAAGAAAGATCACGAGGATACTGTCGGTTGAGCGGGGCAACGCTGACCTGACGATGGAATGAGTTTGAAACGCGGGGTGGTGAATGGATAAATCTAAAAGTGATTGGTCTACAGAATCTGTATGGGCCATTGAATCATACTATCCAACCTACCAATCAGGTGGTACACTGACCATGGGCTCGGGCCACATCCATGTTAGTCATCGTTAAGAATACTTTCTCCGATGTTCCGAACCTTCACTGCGCACCTGCGCAAAACCAATTAAAAGTTAGCGCTAATATTACTGCTGAATCTAGAATACACTAACCTAATTCTTAAGCGGTCACTTAAAGCTTGACAAGAAGTGACTAAGATCTTTCCACCTTTGATTAACAAACAACCACCAAACGGCATCGGTCTTTCAACATTTCATCTCACATTTTCAACGCCGTATTACGAACAACTTTAGGTAATCTTCAATCTTGGCCACAGCGAAACTGCAATAAAATACATAAGCGCAGCTTCATTTCATCAAGGATAAAACTGTCCCACTGGAATCATCATCTACCTAGGTATTTGACAACCATCAATTCCCAAGGTCTCGTCGCATCCCACTCATCAGGAACCTTGCACAGCAACATGTCGTCGCCGGCGCCAAGCAACGACGGGGACGCCCCCAAGAACAACCAGGAGCAGATCACTTTCCGTTTTTGCGCAGAGTGTTCCAACATGCTGTACCCCAAAGAAGATGAAGACGCCCATAAGCTTCAGTTCACCTGTCGCACGTGTCAATATACCGAAGAGGCATCGTCTTCCTGTGTCTTCCGTAATATTATCAACAGCGCGGCAGGCGAGACAGCTGGTGTGACCCAGGACGTGGGATCGGACCCGACGGTTCGTAATCATATTTCTTCTTCCACCCAGGCTTCTCCCCATTCCCACCCCCATCTCCCTACTTCTACCGATTGCAGCCTGGCTGTCTGTCTGAGATGTGGCGTGACGCTCCTCCATTGTGATCGGTGTAAAGACCCTGCATCAGTCGACGAGTACAATCATTTCGTTCGACACAACCCGGATTACGCCGTTACAAGAACCTTGGACTCCATACGATTCTCTAGCTACTGGGCCTCCCAGGATGATGAAGGAAAGGCTGCTTGGGCCGACGAATTTGCTTCATGTAGCGAACCAGCGATTCCTAATCTCTCACAAGATAAGGACAGTCTTGCCTATTACATTTCTAGCAATAACTTCCTTATGTCACTTGATGCCTTGGATGCCGATCCTCCCGAAGCCCTTGAAGATCCTCCGGAGTATGGTGACATATGGATGCCTTACTCTGAGCTCATTTCTGCCCAGTCAACAAAAATCGCATCGCAATGATCTTGTTTTCTAGATTTGATGATTATATTCTCATTTCTACGTCTTGTTTATTCCTATTTGTCACGTATTTTGGGCAACAGACAGACCAACAGACAGACAGCCGGGCAATTGCATGCACACAATTCTCTGGATTTCTCTTCGGCACCGGCCACCCAGCTTTGGAGAGCATGCATTGTATATTCTCTCTCGGGGAACCTAGTGCTAACGCCTTGTTTTCTTGGCATCTAGCTTCCGCGGTCCAACAAAACTTGCCCCATTTGCAAGCATGAAGAAGCTGTATTCTTCCAGTCCCAGCAGCGAAGCGCGGAAACCGGCATGGTCAGTGCTCTCCCCTGTCTTAAGTAGCGGATTGATGAGAACTAAATATCTAACTATCTTCCGACAGAAACTTTTCTACGTATGCTGCGAATGTGGTCACATTTTTCAGTAATGAAGATCATGATGGTTTATGATCATGAAGGTTAGGTTGCAGCACATATGCAGGGACTTTCATCTGGCAATTAAGGCCATTTTCGGTATTGCATGACTCGGCGTTTGGAAACGATTCCGCGGAATTTCTTAAGGAAATTTCCCTGGCAAGGAAAACTGCACTCTGATTTGGTATCAATACACTTTAATTTCCCGTTACAGGGTCACATCCACATATTGTACCTGCTGCCAAGTGAAGAGCCGGGTATGACTAGGGTTTCCGTGATGTAATGTAGTACTTGGGGATTTTGTAAACTGGATCGCGAGAATAACGCGCGACTTTTCATATCGTGTACTAGCTATTTAGTACGACGCTGGTATGTCTTGTCAACGTCTATTATATGCGTGCTTAGTATATATAGTACATGATATTTATGACTTCTGGTGTGTTGACGCTCATTCTCTTGACTCATCCTAGAACGCCAGGGCTCTTGCAGTTGGCATAAATATGGTTTGCCTTTTAATACCGACCGCATTCTTATAATGCATTAGGTAGATACAGCCCCTCTCATAATGTCGCCCACGCCTACGCATGTGCGGGTGCCATACTCAAGATCTTGCTCCATCCGCGTCTCCTTAATTCGGCACCTACTACGCCGTTCACGCGAGTGCCGATAGGATCTCCGGCCTTGTTGATAAGGACGCAGGCGTTGTCGTCGAAGCGGACGACGCTGCCATCAGGGCGCTGGACCTGCTTCCTAGTGCGTACAATGATAGCGTGACGGATATCGCCGCGCTTGACTTTATTTGCTGCTGAGGCTGCACCCATACCAGCATCACTTGCGCCGCGCTGCTTTTGGACGATGGCCACTATTCTGTCACCTGACGTATCTAGTTTAGCGGCTGGTGGTCCTCGAGGGATGATTGATTGAGATGTATGAGATCTGAACCTACCAATGGTGGCGTGTCTTTTCTGGCCAACTACTAGGGCACATTCGACTATGGCGGCACCCGAGTTGTCGATGCAGTTAAGCATCGTCTATATTTCCCTCGAAGTTAATATACGAACACACCATGGGCTTTTAAATGGTCTGATAATACCTTGAGTTGAATCATCTTGGCCGGCTGATACCCTTGGTACCGGGTTCCAATCCTAGATAATGCGATGCGGTGGCACGCCGAGGTATTAAAGTGCTTGAGTATTTTGTTTGTTTGAGGTCGAAAATTCGAGGCTCTACCAAAATGATCTAAGGCTGAATTTGCCAAGATGAAATATTATTGGTCACTATCTTAAGGTCCTGACCCTAGATCTGGTTAGTGGCTTTTCATGATCTTTCTAAGTGGCCCCGGCGTCTGTAAATAAGTGGCTTATTTTTGGTATATCCAACATGGTTCCACCATCTATTAGATGAGGCTTATAGGATGTGGTGGCTAAGCTACCTATATAAGTTAGATTAGATAGGTGGCACACCCCCTGGTATTGTTAATCTGGCTAGTGACTTCCCTCCCGAATTGATCGACTGATTGCATCAGAGGTCTCCCCGGGGTCCGGGCTGGTTGACGCTGGTTAACGCTGGTTGACCTGCCACCCTCTTTTCCCACTTTTCTTGCGCTCTCACTTTTGCGCCGGCTCAACAGGGGGCGGCACTTCACCTACGGTTCCTGATGGATTAATTAGAACTACTCTTTGTTTCTTTTTTTGGTTTTTAGACCCGAGCTCACAAATAGATCATTCCAATTGGTTTTCCTCTAATATTCAACGACGACTACTTCAATAGTTTCTCCTCATCGTATGTCAATGAGAATTGCCGTGGTCAAAAGCCAATATACCCTCTTCTCCCATTTCATCGTCTTTCCCATCCTCTCTCATTCCCTTACCCCGGCTCAACTTTCGCATGACAATATATATCATAAAACTCGCCCTTCTTGTCCATACCATCCCTCTCGCTCGAAAGGCTTGTGACAAGAACTCTAAACGGCATTGATAAGCGTATGCGCTGGCGCTCGGAGGCACTTGTCAACTTCAACTCGGCCCCCCCTTGACTGCATTTCAGCCCAGAAAATCATCCCATTGCAACTAGGTGTCACCCTTCCACCTTACTCACATCTTACTTGCATGAAAAAGTCAGACACTTCTTGGGGCCGGAGAAAACTTGTAAATATCCACCTGTCCGGGGATTACGTCCTGCACATCCTGCACATCCTGCACATTACTTCACAGTAGTCCCTTTAGAGCTTTTGTTTTGGCTTTATACGTACTATTGTATTGCAATTCCTCCTTGGTCTGGCTGGGTAAAGCTGCGTGTCGCAATGCCTCCCAACTCATCTACGGCATTGAAGAAGCAGCAGATTACTCTCTCGCAATTATCATCGTACGATGATATACTAACAGATGCCCTTGTCGACCATGTGAGTGGAAAGACCTATCTCTAACAGCGATGGTGCATTGTAATACAAGGAAGAACTAACCGTCTTCTCTAGGCATACTACTGGACCGCAATCCCCAAGAACCGCCCGTCTTATCACCCTTCGCGAGGTGTAAAAGAAGAGGAAATCGCCAAGATTATCCAATCTCATCTTATTGTCGACCCTAATATCGAAATTGCTGAGTCTAAATTACTTGCGACAGACGGATTGCGTAAATTTCATGATGCGCTCAGGACTCCAAAAGAAAAGGCCGACTTCCGCGCCCATCTTCGTCGGTACATGCAAATCTACCTGCCCGACTGTCCTTTCGAGGTTAGCTCGACAAATCGATATACCATCGTTACTCACGAAGCAGCGGTGACTGCGAGGAAGTTTGTCAAGAAGGGTCAGCCAGTCAAATACTTGTCGGGTATCCAGGTTTTGATCACGGAGAAGGAAGAGAAGGAACTCTCCAAGAGGAAGAAAGATTTCAGTATCGTAGTTAGTGCAAGGAACAAGTGCGCAAGCTTGTTCATGGGACCTGCGAGATTCGCAAACCATGACTGCGAAGCCAATGCGCGTTTGATGATCACTGGTCAAGCTGGAATTGAGATCATTGCTGCAAGGGATATCGAAGTAGGGGACGAGATTACCGTCACATACTCTGAGAACTATTTCGGAGCCGACAATTGCGAATGTTTATGCCGGACATGTGAAAACAACTTGGTAAACGGATGGGCACCAGCCGATGGTACAGTAGCCCTAAAGAAGAGCATTGAAGCAACTACTGCGGAGGGATACTCGTTACGTCATAGGAGGCGAGATGATAGTTGCGCGTCTGCATCCCGAACCCCCTCCGTCACGCCGGATATCCGACCCCGAATTTTAAAGACCCGATCCAGGACGTTGAAAGGGGATTCTGAGATGGGATCTGCATTTGGGTCTCCAGCACCCCAGGGCATCTTACGCCAAAAGCGGAAGCGCGAGTTCGAGTCGCTACAATCACCGCCGGTTACTCCTGACAAAAAATTGAAGTTGTTGCAGTATGAAGTTGAGGCTATACCAGCTCCTCTAAGCTTATCTAGACAAAGTAGCGACGAGGGCTCAACCAGTACCAACTCTTCAGAAAGGGAGAGTATAGATATGGTTCTAACGGATGCAACAACGCCCGAAGAAGATGTTAAAGAGCCCATCTTAAAGTCACCGACCCTGACGCCTGCGAAATTATTAACTGATTCTCTTAAACAAGAAGACTCGGAGGCATCTCCACTTTCTGAGATCACCTACACACCTTCAAGTCTTGAAGCCCAAGACTCAATAGCTGTCGCACCATTACCTATGGTTGAGAGCATTGTTCAAATCGATAGAGCTATACTGACCCCTCCAGCTAGCCAAGTTGAGGAACCGCCATCAGATATCGTAGTACTTCCAGCCCCTATCGTTGCTATTACACCCATCTCCACCTCGACGCAAGCCGTTGCCCCCGCTCTTGAGGAGACGGAGTCCTCGATTTCAACCAAACAGCCTAGCCCCAAACGAGGTCGCCCTAGGGGTAGACCGCCAAAGAGCGAGATTCCAACTGTCAGCCACGCAACCGAGGAGTCTACGCCTCCATCTCGTACCCGAACTCCAGGAGATTATACTCTTACCCCAGTGCTACTTTCTGAGCCTAACACCGCCTGGATACATTGCACTGTGTGTAGTGAGCCATTTGTGCAGTACAATGCCTATTATACGCGAAGTTCCTGTCCACGATGCGAGCGTCACTCTAAGTTATACGGCTACCAGTGGCCTAAAACTGAGAAAGAGGGTAAACACGATAAAGAAGAGCGCGTCCTAGATCACCGTACAGTCCATCGATTCTTAACGGCGGAGGACGAAGCGAGAATCCGCGGACGAAAGTTACCTTCGGTGACTACTACAGCTACTCCCGAGAAGGAGACTCCGGAGAAGAGGGGGAGAGGCCGACCTCGAAAAGTACGCCCTGAACTAGGCCTCGAAGATGAAATGCACAACGAAGAGGACGATGAACTTGGTAACATCAGACGAAGTACAAGAAAACGGCAACCAAGTATAAAAGTTGCATGTTAGTATACCGGCATATAGTGATTTTGGCAGCATGGGAATGGATTAATTGGTTACTTCTACCAGTCACTATCCCAATATGGGATATGTAACATATTTCCCCCAGGCATATTCCCGGCGTTATTTGCCACAGCGTTTGCATCATTTGTCGAGTTCAATTGTATATCAGACAGACAGATAGGCAGGTAGGTATCTTACATATCCTATCTAATATGTACACTGCAGCTTGGCTGCTTAAACCTCTATTTTTCTAATTTTCTAATTTTCAAGATTCTACATGACCCGTTCGATGTATCCGATTGCCAGCTAAACACATAATAATTGTGGACTTGTTGTCGATCATGTGTACAAGAGAGGTGCTGTGATGTCGATATGTAACCTTTTACTGTACTGTGTATGTGTATGTACTGTGTACTGTGTATAGAAGATCTTCAGGAGAGTGAGTCTCAGCCACATTTGACGTCATACCATATGTCTAGACCCATCTCTTTAGCCGTCTCTCGTGTTTCCAACAGCACATGCAGCGATACACGTCACAATGTACAATAGGTACCTATCTACGCAGGTACATGATATTAGACGTTTCAGGGGTCTCCCTTGAAACAGCTTTCTGCGTAATAACGTACCTAAGCTTAGCTGCTACTAGGCCCTAGCTGCTACATGTACATAGTATGAGGTAGTTAAATAAATGCTTCCTGTTTCTTCCGCGTGACACCTTACGACGTTGGCTTGACTTTATGTACATTTCGCATCCTCTAAGCGAACCTATTTCTTGAACAAAACCGCTCTTATTCTAGTTTACTTAAATCCTAGCTTGCTCTAAAATTATCATACTAAAGTTCAGTACCCCGTTTCACCAGTTCAAGTCTATTCTCAACGTAGTTCGTCTTCACTTTGAACGTTACAATGAGCCGCTGGTCGCAGTACGATACCGACGAGGAACGCCTCCCGGAGGGCATGCAACGTATTGGCTACGATTCCGATACCCAAACCTACACATTCCGCGATGCCGAGGGCACTATCTGGGAGAGCGCACCCGGTAACCGGTACGGTGAACTCCATCGCGTCAATACAACATACGCACCTTACGGTGACGAAGAAGCACACGATGCGACAGAGCCACTGCACACAGCCTCGAAGGGACCACATACTTCATGGCGACATGAGATGATGCCCTTGCTCAATTGGTTCTTGTTGGTTGGTCTATTCCTGATCCTCATCTTTTGGATCATCAGCGGTACGACTAAGCACATCGAACCGATTACCTGCGGAGAGCACAGCAGTCCATACAAGATCAAACCAGGCGACACATGCTGGGCCATTGCCGAGGGACATGATGTCCCACTTGATTCTCTCATCCACGAGAACGAAGGTCTTGATTGCGATAAGTTGCCCATCGGTAGTACGGTATGTATACCAAGGGTCTAGATCGTCGCTACACCAAGGGTTGCAGGGTCTTCTGGTTACTCTGGGGTCCTTGACACAGCAGTATTGGCTTGTGGGCTTTTGTTGTCGGGATCAAATCATTTGCTTCGCTTCGTTGGCGTTTACAGATAGGTACAGGTTGCTGTGCTACCTTTCCCAGTTTAGATTCGCGTCTCATGCTAGGTTTATTTCGGTCGCTATCTTCACTATCCACCAGAAGAAACTATGTACAGCTTCCCCAGCTTTGTGAACGGTTCCCTCTGTCTAAGCTCCAGACAGTAATACAAGCCGACACTTGCCTACTCCGTGGAACTCATCTATGAGCTGTCGGGTTCTCTTGGTCGAAGTCAGGCCTTGAAAAATCAGATGAACAAACGCGAGCCGCGGCAATACTTCGTTACAGGTTTCAATAATCGGCCGGCATGGTCGATAGCTTTCCGCCATCATTAACGAGGATGAATCCATTACAGAAAGAACCTGCCTTGCTGGCCAGATAGAGGACAGCGCCAGCCATTTCATCATCACTTCCGAATTTTCTAGCCGGAATAAATTTAGGGTCGTCGACCGACTCTGTAGCTGGATCGCGTGATCCAATCAAATTCGCTGCTAGCTCAGAAGGGAACACTATAGATCTATTAATCTTTGGGTCGTCGAGGTGGTTGAGAAGGTTAAGAAACTTACGCCCTGGGGCAAGTGCATTGACTCTAATACCGTGCGCGTTGAGACCTGTACTTGCGTGCTTGGTGAGATGGACAAGCGCTGACTTGCTTCCCGCATAAGCAGGCGGAGACATGAATGATCGACTGAATCCCGAGATACTACTGGTGATGATAACCTGGCTCTAGGAGTATCTTAGCAAATGTAAATGGGTGTTTGTCAAGACTTTCATACCTGGATTGAAGGAACATCACTACTTTCCTTTATCGGAGCTCCGAATCCCCCTTTCAAGGCCCGTTTGTTACCCGCATCTAAGAGCTCGAGAAATGCAAATATGGAGAACATGGTACCAGTCACGTTTACGTGGAAGGTGTTGTTGAACTCCTCCATGGAAGTTTCTTCAAATAGATTCTTCCGAAGCTCTGAGATGGATGCTCCCTTGGTCCAGGATGCCCGTGGACCGAGAGCACCGGAGTTGGCGATAAATAGGTTCACATAGCCGATGTCTTTTGTTATGAAGTCGACTGCGGATTGGAGGGAATCCTTGGTCGAAATATCACATTGTACAGGAATAATACTGGGATGTGCAGTGGCGGCTGTTTCGAGGGTCTCCCGTCGTCGTCCTAGAATGTAGACTTTCTTCGCTCCAGCCCCTGCGAACGCCCTGGCCATAACATGTCCAATACCTATAGACAGATTAGATGAGATCAGAGAAGAATCGGAAGTGTTAGAGCCTTACCACTTCCACCACCGGTGATGACAGCCACCATGCCATCCACCCGAAATAATCCAGACGAGTCCATTTTTAGTTCCTTGGATATAGAAATCAACGAAACCAGTTATATTAGCCTGCGGCTGGGTAATTCTGCTAAGGATATCTTGGTGAAAACCATGAACGTAGTTGTCTATAAGAGGTACTATCTTCCTACAGTATGAAGCACTCTCAATTGAGATACATCCGAGATGTATTTATAAAGTCCGCAAAGTCCGGTACGTAGGGGATGTCCGTAACCCTTGGGACGGGCCAATGATGTAGCCGACGGGTAGTAACAAGCTCACCCGCATTAAAGGCCTATTGCCGCATTTCCACTGGTACTATTCATAAAATTGGTAAGGGACTATTACACCGGCCTGGTTACCAATACCAATGTCAGCCCAATGTAACCGTTGCTTTGAAATCAAGGCGAGTAATCATCCCGAGATTTAGAATATAACCAAGAATAAGCGCTACTCTAGTATGGAGAGCACTAGCTGCGTTACCCGTTCGCGCAAGCGCTTACGGGGAGTGCCTAGCTTTAAGAGTGCCTTTTACGCCATATATTTAGAAGTCTGGCCTTTCTGATTGACTAGCCACACCTCAGGGCACGTCCGATGAATTTTTTGTAAAATTAATTAACCTACTATACTATTATATAAATCTTTTAATAATTAGTATTATTAAATAAAGCTTATTTTGCATAACCTTTCTATCTTATTTGTATATGTTTTAGACTTTATGCGATAGAATAGCAAAAGAAAAAGTTGCCAACTGCGGGGCGATTTTAAAGATCTAATTAGCTGGGAAAATTGTGGCAGTACTAATAAAATATAGGAGAGTTGATGGTAATCAGTATAGTGAAGTGGTCGTATATTCAACAAATGGTATACGAATGGCATTGTAGAACCTTAGATTCGAATCACGCTCTCAAGGGGTTCAATGGGCCTTTAATATCAGCTGCGAAGTGCGGTGGTCTTAAAAATGGCGTATGTATACTCCCGAAGATGGAATAAAAGCATCGCAAGTGTTTGCGGTAAGTTGCTAAGATACAAGAGTCTTGATATACCATATACAACGATGAAGATATAGTACACATTGTAGAAGTTCTAAGCTGGAGTAACAACACTCTAGGTAAATTTAAGGAGACGGTCCGTACAATCACGAATCTGGATAGGTACTTAGCTCCTGTTTAAAAACGATGAGCTATTTTAATTCCTTTAGGCTGGTTTAGGTATTGTATTGAAAACCTACCGGTAATAGGTCTTTGCTAGCAGGTAGCTAGATACCCAGCTGCCCGTTCGCTTCTAAGTTGGTATCATTCGTCTATATTCTAGTAACTCGAAAGTAGATATATGTTATTACTACTTTGCTACCTAAGGGACTAAAGTAACACGTCGTCAACCCTGCATTAATATTATAAGATATTAACAGAATACAGGTTAACGGAGATATAGCGAATTCAATATTATACTTAAACCTCTATACATTATCCTCTAAGCTCACGAATATTGGAGTGGGGCAATTGCGTAACACGATGCGAAGCATTAACCGCCAAGTCTATTATGTAGAGCATAGATCTACTCTTGCGTTGACATGTTCGTCTAAGAGTTGTTTGATGGGACAAATATGAAACGCAATTCCTAGGCTAGGTTATCTGCCGAACCCACTACATCGTCCAAAGCACGTCGCAGATCATCAGATGATCGGAGCAGTATAGCAGTAACACACAGAGAACCCATTGGCTTGGTCAGTCTGGGGTGTGCCGATCTCACTTCCGGCTGAAGGACGTCAGAGCGCATCTTACGAGGTTGAGCCGCGTCGACTTTCGCCTGGCGTGTCTCCGGCCCCAGGAGTATCACCATAGTTCTTCTCGGACCCCACATGTCAAGTCGAAGCGCGTTTGATCTACCTTGGGGGTTTGGTATAGGAGCTTGATTGACGTTTATCGTCCGTTCGTTAATGGGTAATTGGAATGAGACCAGTGTAATACTCAACTGAAGAAAAACTACAAATAGACACACGTTCCGGATGAATAGATGCCAGAATCGTGAAATCCATCTCGCACATAAACATTTCTTCTTTTCTTCACTGTATAAAATAGTTCTTACGACCTGGCGTCGCTTGGTTTACATTTAACTATTAACTACTGTATATCCAATTTACTCTAATACCCTACCTCGTCAAAATGGTTCACATCAACATTGCTGTACTCCTGACGCGTAAGTCAAGTTATAACTAAAGTTCCCTGTCTGAATTACGTAGATGTTGACCATTTATACCTCTTAGTCGCCGTTGCAGCTTTGGCCCAAGTTACGCCTAACAATGCCGGCGCTAAAGATGTAGGCCAGGGTAACGGACAACAGTTCATCACCGGTGGCTGCACTTCCGACGCTGTAAGTGCTGGTTCTATGCATTCGTGAAGCAACGCTTCGATAGCTCTCTTGATCGCTAATTTAACACCAAACGGTTAGGACTGCTCGTCTGCATGCTGTGCCCAAGTTAAAACCACAGGCCTAGGTGTCTGCTCCGCAGAAGCTGCGTCGCTTCAAAACGGGAAGTTGGGCTGCGGTTTCGTCGACCCCAATGCCGCCCAGACTATCGCCAATGCTCAGGCCCAGGTCAAAAAGCAGGGTTTCTAGGATGGAAATTTCTAGGAAATTTTGTCGTTGAGCTAGGTAAAGGATTTTGCTTAGGGCTACTACCTATGTATGGGAACTTAAGTCGAACATGAGCTTTGAGAAGTATATATCGCATCAATCAATGCGCGTTATACACTATGAATGTCAGCACGTGGCAGAATACCTCGCGTAATATCCCACGTCTTGATGGCAAACAGTGGCGAATCCTAGAAATCAAGGGTTAGATAGGGGCTCACGTCCCATCTGGACGCCCGGCTTAAGGAATGGGCTCACCCCTAATATCGAGTGGATGTTTTTGTTAATCCTATCCAACCCGGTTATGATTTATACTCTCCCGGCCCACCGGCATGTTAACCGGCCGCTCTCTACAGCTGCACTTTGTTTTGTTACCAGGCCTTCCGTCCCGCTTAAGGCATCTACCACATCTTACCTTAACTACCATAAATATTAGATATTGAGAAGTATTTGAAGTTATTTCTAACGTTCACTATACAGATATAACAGCATATGAAGTATTAAGTACCATCAGACTCCGTTGTGTACCTATACTTGTAGATGATTAGATTCCTAAGCCACTTTCTTATTACGCCATAGCCCTGAGATTACTCGTCATCATCATCATCTTCTTCTTCATCTTCATCTAAATCTAAATCTCTACATGCATCTTCTTCTTCTACCTCTTCGTCCTCGGCCTCGCCGGCACTCTCCCTATCCATATCATATGTTTCGTGTAAGTAATCTAAGTCATCTTCCGATAATGCGATACCACTAAGGATATTGCACATGTCCTCTGGCTTGAAAAAGAAAAGGGTTTCTCCTCGAGGATGATGGTATGGTTGTATCTGTATTGAGAGGGGGAAAGAGGCTTTACCTGTCGTGTAACATTCTATTAATTATTTTTCTGTCAATTCCTTTCATTGTTATTCATGCCATCTGCATATAGGTGCCTTGCCTGAAATGTTAGCTTGTGACTGTCCAATAAAATCAGAGGCAATACCCCATTTAATATACCTGCAACATGCACAGTCTTTGCCTGGTTTTCTTCCACTGAATTGTACTTGGTTGGATAACTGGAAGGTGAGAAAAGACTGGCTGCGATGAGTTTCCTTTAGCTTCAACGCTGGAAGCCGACGAGGGCAAACAAATTTTCCGCTGCGTTCCAAAGATTGATAACAACAGTAAGAAAACTACATATAAGACTTTATGTATATCTCCATACCAAGTGCTAATTAGTGTATTGGATGACCAGGTCAGGGCGGATAAGTGAAAAATGCCATGAGAAATAAGGACCTCTGCATCAAATTCCCGTGTAAATTTAGCTTCAGTTTCGAAGGTGCGAAGTCTTATAAATACGTAAGTAAACCCCTAGCCTAATACTATGAGCTCTGTTTCATAGAAGTCAAGAGGAATTTCGATCCTTAGGTATAGCACAATCCTAAGAATCGAGCCCAAGTTTCGAATTTGTTAACCGGAAATGATAGTGTGCTAGCAAACCCAATTGCAAGAGCGACGGCAACTTTTTCACTAAAGGCAACAAGCCGGTGAAGCGTGACCTCGAGCTGGAACCAGAGGTTGAACAGGGTGGATACTATCAACTTCGTAGTGGCGCCACCATCTGTATGTACTCTTAGTATTCATTTATTAAGCTGTATCTAGATATCTCAAGCATCTAACAATAGGCTAGACTCCCCCAGCGACCTCGAGATCGGAAGTTTTGCTGTGCGCAATGTTTACGCCAACCAGACCATCGACGAAGCCGAGGTGGCTCATCTCGAGGCTCGCGGGTTATTTGAGGGTGACGATGACGAGGATGAAGAGATGATTAAGGACGAGGTTATGCAGAAGCTGTAAGCTTAAGAAAAGATTCATTACTTAGTATCTATCTTACACGCCAGTCAATACTGGGTTTGGCTGTTCCATCGGACTACGTAAACAGCCTAATGACAGGAAATTCAGAAACGGCACTCATGTTTCGCTCCTGGCTAGACCTCTTCACTTTGCAACAAGAGGATCATAGGTTGGGAGGAGATATCAAAGAGCTTTATAAAAATCGGAACCTCGAGCTTGCCGGAAAAGAGTTCTTCATCACCAAGCAGGGCTGGATACATAGCGCACCAGTTTACCTTGTCCTCAGGGACGTAGAAAATCCTGGCCCAGACGGTACGCAAAATCATCGGATTGTTGCGCGCACAGGTATTTCCGAGAAATCATTAGACATGACGGAAAGGATCAAGTCCTTGCCTCCTTGTCGTTTCCAGATTGTTTAGCGAGTCTCTTAAACCATGCTGATGCTGAAGGATGGGATATTCAGGTTGGTCCCAAAGGCATATGAGCAGCTCAATTTCATAACAATATACGGCAGGGGTTCTAGTAGCTTTATGGTTTTAAGGCGAAGATTAATATACTCTGAATATCATCACAGAGACATACATGGTGATACTATAAACTACAGAATTAAATACTTCAGGACCCCTTAACAACCGCAGGCCATCCAGAGCTGAAGTCGAGCTTATTCCAACCAAAGCGGAACTCATTCGCAGGAGTTTTGCTTTGAACGTCGTATGGCACTGAGACCGTACTGGGTTAGCTTATGTCCTCGTTGTCATATAAAGAGTAATCGTGAAAAAGTACTTGCCGTAGTGATAGTATATGATAGCCCCCCCGGCCTCGTCGTCGACAAGGACCCCTTGACCGCCAGGAGCCCATATGTTATTATGGGTTCCCAAAATCTCCTTACCGCCACTGTTGTTAGCACAGTCGACCCCTTTGTCATCGACGTAGCCGGTACCCGGTTGCTTAGAGCGGCACACCATGACTTTGTATACGTCGCCCCTATCGACCCAGTGGCCATCTGGTTGCTTGCAGCATCGGCCAGACGAGAAGAATAGGTAGTACCAATCCTGCCATTCGAAGATGTAAGCCGCCTCTGTCGGACCGTTTGGAAATGCCGACGTCTTGTTGTTAGCGAGGTGGTTGATATTATTGTTAGCACCATCCGCGATCTTGATCGGCGGGTCTGCTAGTGGGAGCTGGAAGAGACCCTGCTGGTACGAGCCAAATGTGAGGAGGTTCCGACGATTCCCTCCGTCGTCGATAGTTAGGAGAGCGGCGTCGAGGATATTATACCTCTTCGCCCAATCGATCTCAAGGCGCCCGTGCCACTCCCAGTCACCAATCTCGAGCGTCTTGGACGAAGCGACAAGGAGACTGGAGTTGTGTGCCCACGTGTGTATGGCAGGATCTGTCACGCCAACTGTAGAATAGTCGAATTCGTGATTGTTGATATAGACGTAGTACGTGTCACCCACGCGATGTATCGAGGGGGCACCGCCATACTCGCGGAATTTCGCTGTGCCTTCGTGCGCCCAAGGGCCATACAGAGAACTGGCCGTCCAGACGCTGCCATTCTTGCCTGTGGTATATAGGAATAGTTTATTGTCAGATTGACGCCGGATTAAGGCAGGGTCTAATGTCTGGGCGATAGGGTTGTTGGGAATTGTGCCTTTCATAACCTCGGGAGCTGGCCAACCATTTTGAGCCGAGGCATACTCGGTCAGGAGACCAGCGATGAGGCCTGTTGCGAGAGTAACAAGTCTTTTGGAAATCAACATTATGGAAACCAAACACAACCGTCTTAGAACTGTGCTTCAACCTATTGGCACTGAGAGAGCAAGTTATAAGGTCATCAGGCTCGTCCGAGAATCAGAAGGTTGCGCCCCTTTAATAGACAACGGCAATATGCTTCTTACATATTGAAACCCACGCTATAGATAAATCCTATGTAGTCTTCTGTTGTAGTCGTATTTTATCACCATAGAACGCGGCGGAGGCTGACGCACTGCCACCTTTACAGATTACTATCAAGGATGATAGTGGGTAAGAAATTCAGCTTTAGCTTGGTATATTACATTCAAGTTGTTGACGCCGTGCATCTACCGGCATATGGTTAGAAAAGGTACCGCTCTACTATTTTCTCTCCTCCTTAGAAGAACGTTTACGGGAATTTCAAGTAAACATAATCCCCTTAACGAAATGTCATAATATTCCGGACTTAAACTACAGAAAGATCAATTCGTTGGATGCTTGTAAACCTAGCCTACACGGCATACGCTATTCTTATCCCTGCATTAAATATACTAAATATAGGAGGCAACCCCCCGGGGCTTTATCTCAGTAAAGCTTAAACCAGTAATGCGAAATTTTTTTCGTTTATCTCGTTATACCCTTTTTAGCCACACCAATTTTCAACCAATTATACTTTTAACTTACTTTTAAAAAAAATTTCGCATTTTTAATTTAAGTTAATTTGGTTTTTTTTACTTTTTTTATGGTATATTAAATTTAATAGTTATAATTATTAACATTAATGTAAATAATAATTTATTTATTAAATATTTTTTAATTTTATTATTAAGTTTATCGATTAAATTTATGCGTTTTAAGTCTTTTAAAGTGTTAAAAGTGGGGTTAAAAGTGGCTAATATTAACTGTAATACCGGTCGTAACACGGTACGTAATAAGGTTGTATGGGTATAAAAAAAACCGGGAAAGTTAAAGTAATTAAATAATAGCTTTTAAAGTATTTTATACGTGATTGCGGGTGTTATAGGTGTTATTATAAGTATTGTTATTGGTGTTATTATAGGTGTTGTTAATGTTAATTGCGGTATATTACTGGTTGTAATATTATTTTTACGTTAAACGTTAAAGCTTGTAATATTATAACGCAATATTGTACGGGTATATAAAAAAGATGGAAAGGTAAAAAAAGTAAAATATTAGCCCCGAGTTATAAAAATAAAAAGCATTTTGTACGTTATTATTAAATATTAAGTTATTATAAATTTATTATTGTTAAAAAAATTATGCCACGTAAGTTTTTTTAACGACCAAGTTAACTTAAACCAAAATTTAAAAAACTTTTAACTCGTGACCTATAAATACAAACACATAAACCATGCGTTTTGTGGCGTTGGTAACGTAAGCCGTTAACGGGCAAAACCCGTTATTATTTCTCGAATTTTGGTTTAAGTTATTAAAATAACCGGGGCTGTATAATAGCCTAAATTTACAACCAGTTAAATTAAATAACCTTTTTATATAAATATATATAAAAATTGTTAAAATATATTAAAATATTACGTTTTTTAATTAATTAAAAATATATTTAATTATTTTATTTTTTATATTATATAATATAACCTTTTTAATAATAATTTAAATATTAATAAAAATATTATTTATTAATTTTTTAAATTAATAACAATTTTTAATTAAATATAATATAATAATAAAAATAAATATTATTTATTATTTTTAAAAATTATTTACTTTTATAAAAAAGTTAATATTAACGTTAATATTAATTAATTTAAAATTATTTTGTTTTAATTTTATTATAATATTATTTACATTTTTTATTAATTTTTAAATAAATTTAAAAAGTTTAATTTTATTAATTTTAATATTTTTTATAATTATTTTAACAATTTTTAATTTTTTTTCTATATTTTTTAATTTTTTATTTATTTTTTTTAAATATTTTTTAATATTAAATTTATTATTTTTATTATATTTTTCTTTATTTAATAAATTAAAAAGTATATTATTATTATTATCTTTTTTTTCTTTTTTTTTTTATTAATGGCTTTATTTTATTATATTTTAAAATTTAAAAACTATTGTTTTTATAACGTATTAAATGTAAAAATATTCTTTAAAATATGTAAAATTAATTTTTTATTTTAATTAACTTAAGTAAAATATATCTTTAAATTTATAAATAATATTAATATATAAATTTTTAAAAATTAAATTATATAAAAAAAATCTTTTATAAAAATTAAATTTATTTATTAAAAATAAAATTTAATTTTTTTTAATAAATTTTCTTTATAAATTTTAATAAATAAATAAAAGTAATTTTATATAATTATAATTAATTTTATTTAATAAATAATTTTAATAGTTTTAATAATATTAATTAAATATATATATATATTTAATTTTTTTTTAAAATATTTTTAAATTTTTTAAATATTAAAAAGTTTATAATTAAAAATGTTATTTATATTTTTATATAAATATTTTAAATTAAGATATTTATAATGTTAAAAAATTATTTTATAATTTAATTTAATAAATTTTTACATTATTAAAAAAATATATTATATATAAAATATATAATAAATATAAACTTTAATATTTTAATTTAAATAAAATATATACATTTTTTAAAAATTATTTAATAATTTTTTATTAAAATTATTAAAAGTAAAAAAAATAAGAATTATTAAATAAAATATATTATAATAAAAAATAAAAATTACGTTAAATAATTTTAAATATGGTTTATTAATAATATAATTTAAACCGATTAAATAAAAAAATGGGTTTAAATTTATATTATAACGTTTTAAATTAATAATATATTTTAAAATAATATATATTAATTTTCGTAAATTTTTAATTTTAATTTTTATTTTAATAACATTTTTACCTTTTACTTTAATAACATTATTACTTTTTATTTTAATAATATTTTTACTTTTTACCTTAATAATATTTTTGCTTTTTACGCCAGTAATATTTTTAACTTTTTTAATATTAATATTATTAAAACTTTTATAAAAAATAATTTGTTTACGGTTATAATATATAAGTAATATTATTTAATATTAAATAAATTAAATTATAAATATTTAAATTTAAATATTAATTATATAAAGTTATAAATTAAATATAAATTATATAAATTATAAATAAATAATAAAATAAAAAATATAAATAAATAAATATTATTAATTTATATTTATTATAAATAATAATAATATATATTATTATAATATTAAAAAAAAAATTATATTATATTAATAAATAAATAATAAAAAGTTAAAAGTTAAAATTATTATTTTTATTATAATATAATTATATTATAAATAAAATATATTTAAAACATTAAAAATAAAATTTAATTTATTTTTTAATATTAAATTAATTAAATTATTAAGAAATTTGTTAAAATAATTTTTTTTATTATTTTAATTAATATATATTAATTATATAATATAAATTTATATAATTAAATTTAAATAATTGGTTACATTTTAATTATTATACTTTTTATATTTATATAATAACTTTTTTATATAAATAATTATTTTTATTTTTTTTATTTTATATAAAATATAAATAATTTTTATTTTAATTATTTTTTTTTTAATCTTTTTTAATTTTATTAATAATTATTTATATAATATTTTATTATTATTTAATATATTAAACGTTTATAATTATCTTTTTATAATTTTATAAAGTATTAAAATTTTAAATATTATTTTTAAACGTAAAGTTATGTATTAAAGTTATTATAAAATTATGGTAAATATGCGCTTTTTTTAAAAAAATAATAAATTATTAAAGGTAATTTATTATAATTTATTATATTATATATTAAATAATTATTATTTATTTATTATAATTTTTTAATTAATTATTTTTTAATATTAATAAAATTTATTATTTATAATAAATATTATAATAAAAAATTATTTAATTATTATTTTATTTATATTATTACGTTTTATTTATTTTTAATTATATAATATATATTTAATATTAATATTTTATAAATGGATTATTTTTTTTTAAAATTTATTATAAGTAATTTTTAAAAATTATATCGAATTTTTATAAAAGCTGTTAATAATAAAGTTTTTAATTTAAATATTATATAAAATAATTTTATATTATTTTATAATATTTGGAAAAAAAGAAGTTAAAAATATAAATAATATTATTATATTTATAATTGCGTTGTTTTATTAAGTAAATAAGTTATAAATTACGGTAGTTTTATTTTTATAAAAGATTTAAATAAATTTTAAATTATTGAATAATTTTAAATTGTTAATAAATTTTAAGTTATTAATAACATTTAAATATTATATTATTTTAAATTAAAATTATAATTATTAAAGTTATAATTATTAAAGTTATAATTAAGTCGAAAATTTTAAATAATTATTATTTATAAAAAGGTTATTTTATATTTATTTTTTTAAATTTCTTTTATAATTTTTTTTTATATTTAATCTTTTTTATTTTGTATTTTTTTTATTAATGTTTTATATTTATATTGGCAAATTTAAAAAGTTAAATTTAGTTTTTTTTTTAAAAATAAAAAAAAAGGAACTATTAATAATTAAATTATATTATAATAAAATAATAATTAATTATTATTATTTTATTAAATTAAATTAAACGGTTAATATTTATTTTTATTTAAAATAATAATTTTAATAAGGTTTAATAATTTTTATTAATAAATAATAATAATTAAAATTTTTTAAAATTTATAATTTTTAAAAATTATATATAAATTGTTATAAAATTAGCTTTTTTTTTATTAACTTCTTTTTTATTAACTTATTTTATTATAAGATTTAAATATATTTTAAGTAAAGTTTAGCCTTAAGTTTTAAATTTTATAATTGTAAACGTTAATATAAATATAAAATTTAATTAATTAAAAGGTTTAATATATATAAAAATTTTATTTTTATTTAATATATAAATTTTATTTAAAAATAAAAATAAAAAACCTTTATTTAAATTTAATAAGTAAATTTTAAATATAATTAATAATAATATTAAAATTATTTTTAATAATTTTATAATAAGAAAAATATTTAAATTAATTATATATATAAAAAAATTTAAATTAAAAATAAACGTTTTTATTATATATTTAATATTATTAACCATTTTTAAAATTTAATAATTATTTATTATTAAAATAATAAATATATTTTTTATTAACGTTAAATAAGTTAATATTTTTAAAATTAAATTATTTATTATTTTAAAACTTTTTGTAAATGTTTTAATTTTATTTTTTTTAAAAATTTTAAATATATATTTTAATAAAAAAATATAAACCTTTTATTTTTATTTTTTAATAAAAAATATATAAATTTATAAATTTATTATATATTATATTAAATTTAAAAAGGTTATAATTTTATATTTTTTATTTAAAAATATATATTTTAATTTTATTAATTT